GTAGTACCAGTGCGTACCTCCGCTTCCAGGGGCGGCAAGGAATGATTCAGATGACGGGTTGTTCCTGACAGACTGCAGGATCGAATGACTCTTGCGATTATAGTGTACATTAACATGTGGGGAAGGGATGCGTTGGAATTGAATCGGCGAGGCACATAGTACATAGCTATGCAAATAAATAAGGTATCACTGCATAATGGTACCAGTATGAATTTCTACAGCCAATCAAGATGCAGATTAAAGCCCAGCAATTCTTTGCTTTGCCCTGATTTTTAAAAATGGGCTGCTAAACCAGGATGTATTCCAAATCCGCGGCTTTTGTAACCCCCGATGACCACTCGAACTAGGGGATGGCGGTCCGGGGTATGGATCAAACAGATCGATAACTGAGAAGCGACACATCAAGAAGCTCAAGCCAGGCTTATGTCTTAACTTTGCAGAACCTTCTTTCCATCTCTCTCTTCCTGCCATGATGTTAAGAATGCCTATATGCAAGCTGCAGGTGCAAGTTCCCATTTGCTTGTGTGACAGCCGCCCGTGCATCGGCCTCTGCATTAGCAACCAGTCTAGACCGCCTTCATGCCCTGTCGTTCGCTCCAAGCCCAAAACTGAGTTTTCGTGACAGCTGAGTTACCTGCACCTCGGAAATGCCACAATTTCAAACCAAGGGGGTGGGGTATTTGTCACCGGACAAATGATTGTTGTCTCCGCATTGAGGAGGCAGGTGAGAAAATTCCAGTCATTTCGCCAATCAACGGGTTGGAAAAAAAAATTATAGGTGGTCTTTTCTTGCGGTAAACCTGTTCGAAGGGCTAAAAATGGTAGCACAAACACTACCAATAGCCACGGGTGACAAGCCGTTCCCCACTTCATGTTAGTTTCCTCATTTTTCATCCGGTTCCATGCATGAGCGTTGACTCCACGAGGGAGGAAGCCAACCAGACCCCGTCAGAGGGGAAAAAAGAAATCCATCAAGGAACAAGGGGCAGAGATCCCGCTTTCCAATTGGTTTTACAGGCCTAAATTCTCTCCAATCATGAAACACCTTGGGGGGGAACCCTGACAGGGCAAAAGAAACGCTCTAGCTAAGGCGGACACCTCTCAGGCTTGGTCTCGCATGTCCTACCAAGTGGCGACGCCAGTGTCGCTCGCTTCAACAGGAAGGAGACCTTTCAAGCTAGTGAAGTCCGCGAAATGAGACAGATCCGTGCGATCGACGAAAGCACAACAGCCGAAGGATCGGCAACCTTGCAATCAAATCAACCACCGCGATTATAGGAGCACATGGGCTGGGCCCCGCTGATCCACGGTACTCGGAACTGTCAGTTCCTTCATGACAGCTTAACGGTTGACCAGGACCTGGCTCCACTCTACCCCCAAAAACTACAGGGGATCCAACCACCCCTACCAGCCACCGGAGAAGAGGGGCGAACCCGGGCTCCACAAGAGTGCGGAAACCAAACCAAGTCCTGCTTGTTGGTACAATGATCCCCGTGATCAGATTCCCGAACAAGGGCGAGAGAGATTGAGAGGATCCGAATGGAAGAAGAACGCATCGTGATTAATTTTAGGTGCTTGAGAAAAAGGAAGCGACAGCGGAAAGATGGAGAATGTGGAGCCTTTCAATGGTGAAAAGCCCCATACCCCCTCTCCTCCCCTTGCCCCTTGCCCTTGTGCTTCCCCTTCCCCTTCCCAATCAACTGGTATCGAAAGGTACGAAAAGAGGCAAGATCCGAGCTGTGGGCGCCGTTACCATTTCCTATTCGGACTTGTCCCAGGGCTATCATAGGTGGTCGAAAGATGTATCATCCATTACTCCGATTTACGAATAGTACTCCGTACTACGAACATCAATACAAAAGTACACGCCATCAATTGAACCAGCACGGAGCACAGGAGGGCCTTTCCCAGTGTATTTTTCCACGACTCCTCCCGGGGGGCAGCGCGGACAAAGCTCGCTTCCCACAGCACTGGCATTCCGTACTTTTGGCCGTTTCGATGAGTCCACCTCCACCGTCGATGATTACCCATTATGCACAGCTTCCAAGCCGAACTCAGGCTAAGGGACAGATCCCCCTTCCCTCCCTACTTGCTTCCCCAACAGCGAAAGAAGAGGAAGGTGGCGATTAGCATATTACATTCACGCCGGGGGTATGTCTGAATTCATGTGTCACCGAGGTGCTTGCTGGTCAGACCTTAACAAAGCCCCCCTAGCGAAAGCAAAAACCGCCTCTACCCATCTTCAGCCGGAGTCCCTGATTCTGTCCGTGAGAATACCACTACTGTACTCCGTACTTAGGATCATCCATGAGTACATCGAAGAAAGAGGGGGGCAAAGGGTGTGCCACCAAATCCCGATGCTTACTGACGGGGCTGATGGGCGGCACAAGATCCAATGGAAGGCCCCTCGTACTTCTGAAGCAAAGGCCTATTGGCCGGCTTTGCTTGATCGGGCGGAGTCGATGGAGGAGACCGTCGAGGAACTCCGATGAAGACGAGGTGTTTCCCTTCGGGTCGCGTGCAGAGCGCATATGCAATGCACGTTTCCGTATGGAGTGCCGTGCGATCGAGTTCATTCCCAATATGACATCTCAATCTGGGTCGCCATGATCGCGGGGGCGACGTCGTAGTGAAGAGCCAAGCCTCAGAAGTCCAGGAGCCAGGAGGCTGGAGCATCTCTCCGGCATGGACCGTACGTAGATTACGGAGTACATACTTGTAGACCCTCTTGTTGCCTCTTCTGCACGAATGGCACGATGCGACCTCTCGACGGAGTAAGCTTTAGGCTTTTCTTGAAAACTGGATCGGGTGTAGGTATAGCGCCAAACTGGGTAATCTGACTGGTGCGTTGGTCAAGGTCGGAAGTCTCGCGAGATATGCAATGCAGGTAGGTCTAGATGCGACGTTTGACCAGTGTCCACTCTAAACTTAGGCATGCGGCCCCTAAAACAGCTATTTGGAATCCTGATTCTGTTGACTCCAAAGGCGCGTTCTGATACATCAAATGATGCCGTGAAGACCCATTAGTCCCAAACAGGTGGTCAATGGGGTCGATGGGTATAATTTGTACAATTTCAAAGCCATGATCATTGGTTAGTCTGGATTCACCTGGTCTACCCCCTGCAGCACTGTCTTGGTCTCAAACATGACGTGAAGTCGTGGACATCGTCATTTCATTTCTCTGAGACTTAAATTGCTCCGTTGAAGTATATCCAAACTCAAAATGGTTTCCTGCATCGTTGCCTTTTTTTCTGCCTCGTCGCCTCGTCGCCTTCTCCTGCGGGCACAAAATGTCACGTGGTGATTACTTCATCCGCGATAAGAAAACTCCGGCCTGAGGCAGAAATGCGGCGCCCGAGGCATCAACCATACATCTGATATCATCGAGGCAAGGCTACCCTCAAACCTCTGCTTGCTGTCAAAGAGCCCATCATGGCCGCTCGCTCTCGCTTGATAGATCTTGCTAGTATTCCAACAGTGGCACAGCTCTACCGCACCAAGAAACTGCTTCCAGCCGAGTCAATCGACTCGGCTTTCCCTGCGTCACAACATCTAAATGACAGCATCGCACTGATTCTCAACGATATCACTAAATTAGACATCGATTGCATCGTCAACGCAGCTAACAACTCCCTCCTTGGCGGCGGAGGTGTCGACGGAGCAATTCACCGGGCCGCAGGGCCGCAACTCGTGGAAGAGTGCTCCGAGCTCGACGGATGTGATACAGGCGATGCGAAAATCACCAAAGCATACGAGCTACCCTGTAAAAATGTCATACACACTGTCGGGCCAATTTACTGGGACAGATCCCAGCGTCAGCGTCAGGATTCCAGTCAGCCCGAGACTTTGCTCCGATCGTGCTATCGAACCAGCATGGAACTCGCGATGCAGCATGGCCTGAAGACCATTGCTTTCCCGGCCATCAGCACTGGGGTATACGGCTACCCCATCGATCTTGCGGCGCGTGCTGTAACACAGGAGGTCCGTCAATTCTTGGAAACACATGCTGGAGTACCCAATGCCCTGCACAAGGTTATCTTCTGCAACTTCGAGCCTCGGGATATGAATGTGTATGCGCAGATGTTCACGTTCGTACTCTCTGTCTTTTATCGTGTGTACAACATGCTGACCCTCTTTTAGACAATTCCTCCCTCCGACTCCTGAAGATCTTCGCATCGCTGATCAAAGTGCCGGCCCGGGTGTTACGAACGGCATTTAACGGCTCTGGTCGATTGGTAGACGACTCAATGGCTTTCTTTGCACGCTTATGAATATCGGACTGGTATTGTTTCTGGTATCTTGGAGGGCTTTCCTTTGGGATCTTTTATTGTGGTTCTTGTCACGGTGGCGTACTGGAGAAATGCAGGGTGTTAGGGTGTTTGCCGCGTTTTCCAAGTGGATTGCAAGATGGAACAATGTTCAATATGTTTGATTTTCATTTCTACTTCTGCCTTCGATCTGAACTAGAAAAGTTGAACGTGAATAAGTCAAAACGGGAGCTTTATACTAGTAGTAGTGTTAGTTTATAGGTATTTAGTGCTAGATATTGCTCTGAGGACTTTTCCCTCCACATCTATCAATCTTTTGGTTCTGCTCCAGTCACTATATAGTTCAAGTTTCGACCTGGGCACCTGCGTACTAATTATTCCTCAGGCTGTAGCACTAGTATGAGTAGTAGTAGTTCGCAAGCTATCACATTGTCGATGCCACCAATTTCAAATTTATTTATTAGAATAGAATCAAAATCCTTCGAGTTAGTACTAGCAAAAGTAATATAACTATTGACTCAATGCCCAAGCAAGACAAACAGTGCAAACACCGGAGCTCATGAATTCCGCCCGCAACCTCACCAACAACCAAATCTTGCGAAACATCGCTATAGCACGCATTCCTCAGAAAGCCATGATGACAAGCTCTTGATCTCACCGAAATCACATCTAATTATCCTCCCTACCTCAGACACGAACCCACCCCCCTCCTCGCCCCGTCACCAGCTCAAAATGGCCAAACCACCCAACCAACCCAACTTCCGCATCCTATCCCCAAACGCCGCCAAAAACCTCGCGCAAAAGAAGAAGCCCGTCTCCGGCGGGACAGTACAAGGCCAGCACCAGACGCCCAGCGCACAATCAACGCCAGAGCCAAACATCGAGGGCCCGAAGCTCACCCCGAAACGACCCTTCAGTACCTTCTTCTCCCATCTCCGACAACGCTATGCCGCGCTCCCCAGACCAGTCCAGCGCACATGTCGCGGGCTCCGGATCCTGGCGCCCCTGGTGCCGATCAGCCTGTTCTTCTCGGAACACATTATGCAGGTGATGTGGGTTCGGGGACCGTCAATGACACCCTACCTCAACGAAGATTATCACGAAAACCACACGAAAAGTGATATGGTGCTGGTCAGCATGATGCCGTCGCGAGTTTGGCCGTGGGAGAGAACAAGACGGTTAGAGAGGGGGATGGTGGTTACATTCCGGTATGTATCATGTCTGCCAGAAAGACTTGGTTCCTTTTGGCTTTTGGGATTCTCAATACCTCCAAGCCGAGGAAATTTAAACAGGAAACATTTGCTAACTTGATTATACCGACAGGTCTCCCGCCAATTCCTCACACATCGCTATAAAACGTGTCGTCGGTCTTCCTGGTGACCGTGTTATGACCCGCAAACCTTGTCTAAAAGAGTCTCAAATCGTTCCGTTCAATCATGTCTGGCTGGAGGGGGATGCATCAGATCCAGAGCGAACGCTGGATAGTAATACCTACGGACCAGTCAGTATCAGTCTTCTTACCGGTCGGGTGTTTGCGATCCTGGGCCCGCGTATGAGGTGGTTAAATTGGGCGGATTGGGAAGATGGAAAGCTGGACAATGGTGCCTCGGATGGAAAGAATTATAGGCAGGCTACCCGGGACAGAGTCATGAAGGAGGCTGTGAATATGGAGAATCAAAGCTTGGATTAATTGATTGGCGCGGAGGTATAGAGGCACGATTACGCGTTGCATATTCTCTGTGATGGCGCTGGGCGCCGTGTACATATATGGAGCTATTTTGTGGGATATCATTGTATTTTTATGATCGTGCTGTACTAGTCATATATGTATAATCTCAAAAGCGTGACTGGATATCAAAACCAAAGACCCGAAATGCTATGCGTGTTCCTGCTGGGGAAAAGTGGTATAAACAAAACGAAAGTAAGGAAGAAAATAAAAATGCAAAAGAGGTTCCAAGGTTATTGAGAGACAATCCGGATATCTTCCGGCTTCTCTTCCTGTAGTCGATCGATCTCAGACGAAATGCTCAGAACCCATTGATCTTTCTCGACACGACTACGTGCCTTGAAAACGATCGTCCGACCGTGTTTTCCCAGGGTTGTCACATGTCTCAAAGAGCGCTTGGCTTTGCCCTGGGCGCCTGTTTCCTGGGCTCGAAATAGGCTTTTCTTGGTGGGTTGCCAGAGAACAAAAGTGATTGCGGTGTCCTCATCTCGGCTGGTAAAGACGTCCGATGAAAGATATGCACGTGGCAGCGCGTGCAGGCCTGGGTTATTACTATCGAAAGTTTGGTTGGCATACAGCAGATCATTCTCCGTGACAAGTCCAGAATAGATGTAGCAGTCATTCAGATCGATCGTTGTTTCGTGCTCTTGGTGGATATGCGGAACCACGACACCATTCCCTTTACGCAGCGTACTGCGGAAGACGAGCAGCTTGCCCGCAGTGAGGAGAACATGGCACTTCGTAAAAGTTGTATGACGGCGAGGCTTGCGATAAAGTTGTCCGGACATCTAATTTAAAAATTAGTTGTCATTCAAGAGCAATGAGTTCATGGAGACACAAACCTTGATTGTTCGACAACCAGATAAAGCACACATGTTGTGCAAATGTGGCGATGCCTCGGCCTTTTTTACCTCCCATTTCTTTGCAAATTGACCTATAACTGATTCCATTTCTTCGTCGATCTCCAAAAGCTTGAGATTCCGGTGCCGCACAGCCTGAAGCTCGGCTGCGTCGTCGGCGTGGCGCATCCTCCAGTATTTGACCAAATTGTCAAGTCGCTTAATCCATTCGTCGCGAGTAAAAGCATCGTAGGCCTGCAAGCGGATAACCAGGCCATTTTCTAGAGTCATTTCAAATGTTTTGTCATCGTCAAACTCCCTGGTCGCACCATCTTCTTGTCGAGAATCAGTGGGTTCAGGTTGGAAATCCACGGCCGGCCCTTCTCCAATATTTGGATCAGCAGGACTGCTGCCACGCTGGACAATGCGCACACCTGTCACTTGACATAAATCAATATATCCATCAGCCTGACTCATATTGTGGATATTTCTCTGTTGCTGGGCGTAGGCTTCCTCGTCATGTCGTTGAACATACTCGTTATTTCCGCTGGTGAGCCAAGAGATTTCGTCATCATCGATAGGGTATGGGTCGATATCCCAAGACATCGGCATCTCGTTCAAGATTTGGCGAGAAGTTGGAATACCTGACTCCTCGTCCATACAAATTGGAGCGAACTTTGGTGGCGTTGGAGGAAATGCCTTTGCTGGCCTGCAGAATAACAAGTAATGATCCTGAGTGAAAAAATACAATCTCTTGAAGAACATCTTGTTCATCCTTTGGTGCATTCCCTTCTGCGATGTAAGTCGAATCAAGAACCCCTCAATTGGCGGTGGCTCTTGCTCCTTCTCCCCCGACTGCTTAATTGCCGTCGAATAATGGTATCGTGGGCGTAGCTCAAGGTCATGGGAAGACTGCATTGCAATTGATCCATACATGTTTTCTTCATTAACACCGAAGATCCATTCCAAACGATCATATCGCTTCCAAGCAAGTCCCATTTTCTCTGTCTTTGACCAAGCATGCAGCACCTCGGCCCATTCCGGACGACCCTCGAGCATTTCCATGCAACCTCGAATAATGGATGTTGCGGCAAACCGCTCATCACCCGCAGATCGGCTGAGGATAGTGGTATGTCTGCTATCATCATTTTTCGCCCCTATTCGAGCCTCCAATTGTTCGAAAGGGTTTTTGAAGACCAGGGATACCCCTAGATCGGGGACATTGATGGGAAGTTTTGTTGGATGTCGCCAGCCAAGAACCTGCCGAATGAAGGTATACCACTCTGCAGCATGTGCTGTCGATTTGGGGCGTATAATGTATATCTTAGTTCCACGCTTCCGGGGATACCAGACCACGATAGTCTTGTCCAAGGTAGAGTAAAGGTTGACGCTGGTGTTTTTATGGTTCAACCGCACCTCATAGTAAGGGGCCGTCTTGCTGTTCGGCTTTGACATATCAGGGATGACGCGGGTTCGATACATCTGCAGTGAAAATGGCGCATGTTCAGCGGAGCCCTTTCTGCAGACTACCAAGAACTCGCGCCATTTATCCAAGGTCCGTGTTTCCATTCGAAGGCTGTCGTTCTCCGTGTAATCGCTTGGTAGTTTTTCTTTTGGCGTTTCTTCTACGAGAACTAGCATTCTCTCGGCTTTGATGATTTCGCCATCTTGTACTCTGCGACGACGGGGCCGATTCGCAACAATTGTCCCTCCTGTCTTAGAAATTCGAGATCGTAATCTTTCTTGCTTGTCTATAACATTGTCGTTGATGTTATATTTGGCCATTTTTCGGGTAAATCGTCGCGGCATATATCCATTTTGAGGGACGTCTTCGTGTAGTGCGTCGTCTTCATTCTGGGGCTCTTGACGCTCCAGTGTGAAACGGGACAGTCCAGAACGGTCACTTTTGAGTCTTTTCTGGGGCTTGGGCCTAGCTTTTAGCAGGTGTGTTGTTGAGTCTGCCTCACTGGCTACCGCAGAAGCGGTCGATACAATTGGACTCTGCTGACTCGGACCGGCAACGCTCAAGTTTTGTGCATCCGATGATACCGGTCGCTGGCTAGGTTGCAAGCCAGCTGCATGGATAGTCGACGTAGACGCATTTGAGTTTGCGAAGCTAGAGGCGTCTTCCCTGGCCGTAACGAAAGACGTTGAAGCGTCTCCACTGTCATAAACCCCATGTGATGTACTAGCAGTCGACCTGGCGTTTGGCCGTGGTGTCTCATCCGAGTCTTCTTCATCTTGCTCCTGGTCTTCACCTTGCTCTTGGTCTTCATCTTGCTCCTGATCTTCGGATGTAATGTCATTGTCATTGTCTGTGTTGGTTATTTCTCCCGACTCTGGCTCGGGATGAGTCAAGGTGCGAAGTTCTCCTGACGGTTCCTCATCCGGCTCCTGCAGTTGGTCCTCGCTTTCGTCCTCGTCCGTGGGGTCAATATTGGTGTGAGTGAAAGTAAGAGCAACCTCCTCCTCCCCCACCTCGGCAGGAGCCGACGAGGGCTCCGCTTGACCCGGCGGATGATCACTTCCCAAGTTTCTTTGGGTATAATGAGATGCAATTGGGTCGACCGAAAAGGACAGGGCCTGTGAGGTATAGTTCTTGAAACGGAGCCTCGATTTGTACCAAGATTTGCGGTGACCATGGATCCAACCCTCTGGAATCGGACCGATGAAGAAACGGCGGCTTGTCATATGCAAGTGATGAGCGGAGGCATGGCGCTGTTGATAACGAGGGAATTATTAGTTCTAAGTGGATACCGGTTGCGTGGTTTGCCAGGTTTAACCCACCAGTTTCTGATCCGTGTAGGACCCTATTGGCAGGCCCTGGTAGCCCTCATGGGGAGGACTGTGGGGAGCTTCTGCTTCTGCCCGTGCCGAGCCGCTGGCTTGGTCGGAACTGCTCATAGCGCAGGAGGATTGCCCACCCGGAGAATGAGCATTGAACAAGGGGGTGGGACATCAAGAAAGAGAAAGAAGATGCGGGGGGAAGATCATTCAGGCACCACTTTGGGGGAGAAAAAAAGCATAAGGCGATCGATCGAAGATCGTGATGCAACAGGCCAAAGATGATGTCATGTTGGGGAGAGCCAAACAGTGCAAACAGTACAACCCTCCTGAAAACAGACGATAAGGTCACGTGGGATATGGCATGATCGACACCGTGTTTGCTCTGTTTGCACCATTTGCCCTCAGGGTTGCCCCTCAGTGGCTTGCGTGGCAGCGGTGAGTGACAGCGGTACAGCTGTTGTTTCCATTTAGATTCAGGACCTCAGGCACTCCGACTCCAGTACTCTTCACCCCAGGTTATCTCCAATTCCAATTTCTATTCCTATACACACAATCACCATGTCTACCTCTTGGCTTGAATCTATCAAGGGCCAGTCCTTTGAGAATGTCACTGTCGATGCCAGCGGCAACATCAACACAGAGGAGTTCATCCGAGCTGCCAAATCCCTGGTCACCCTGTTTGGTAGGTACCCTCCTCTTCCTTGCATGCCTATCGTGAGACCTAATCCGTTTGATCCTGCAGAGCGCATTGGCGGCATTGCATTGAACAGTGTCAAGGATGACATGACCAACAACATCGCCGTATGTCCCCCTCCCCGCCCATGTCTCCGTCAATTGGATATTGTTGGGCCAAATGTTGACAATTGGAACAGAAAGTAGAGAAGCGCTTCAACGAGGCTCCTGCCGAGTCCCAGACCTGCAAGACCTTGTCAAGAACGACAAGTCCAAGAAGGCCGCCCAAGGTCTTTTCTGGCTCAAGCTGTAAGATCGTCGCTTTCATTGCACCTCTACCCTCTACCCCCAAACCAATCCAATTTCCCTCAGAATGGTTTGCTGATATAGTGCCTTAATAGTGCTCTTGACCTCACCGCCACCGCCATCCGCCGCAACCTCGATGACCCCACCGAGGAGCTCAACACATCCTTCACATCTGCCTACAATGACGTCCTTAAACCCCACCACAACTTCCTCGCCAAGAAGGCATTTGGCTTCGCCATGAACTCCGTACCATACCGCAAGGACTTCTATGCCAAGATCGGTGTCACTCCCTACGAGCTCAGTGCCGAGCAAGAGCAGTTCAGCGCGGAGCAGCTCAAGGGTGTCAAGGACCAGCTTAACAGTCCCTTGGCTCCCGAGATTGCAGCTCTGAAGAGTGTTGTGACCATTCTGAACAGCTTTGACGACCTCACCAAATGCAAATGATCTGTCTGTTAGCCATTGAAAGTATCAGCGATGCAAACTATACAATGTACATATCGATTCTTTCTCCGCGGGTGGTTCCCATCAACGAAACCTGAAAACCGAACTTTTCTTTTCGAGAAAGGAATACAGCCAGTTTCTTTTGTGTATTCGTAGGAGGAGAAGTGGTAGTCAACATGTACAGTTGGGCACTAAAAAAGCTAAGCATCACGGGATCAAGCTTAATTCCGCAAGCGTGCTACAGCTACGAGTACATGCGTTTCTCGGAGTCGGGCCGATATTTTCTTCGGATAGCAACTTGCGCGCCGCTGGATGTGGACCCAGGTACGGGGTGCTTTGTACTCCGTTCATACTCGTAGTCGGACAACCTCTTTCAGTGGGGACAGTATATAAGACCAAGATCATTATTGAGTGCCGTTTCACTAGCTTCAACGATCATCGTTGAATACGAGCAACTAGCAATTGAGTCGCATTGATGGACAGGAAATACCCGGAACAGGGTAAAGGAGAACCACATGGCTAACGTCGGTTCCATGGTCAGGTGCAATGGGCCTTTCATCTGGAACACCGGCAGAGACCGAAGGTAACTCCAAATATAGGTCGCAAAATCAGAATGGCGATCGAACTTTTAATTAAACAGAGATCCACCAGGGAATAGAGGATACGAGTAAAGGCCTCGAGCCTAGCTTTAATGTTCTCCCCGGATCGAGGGATAAAGAGACTTCCGCAGGTCAAGAGTTTTAGCAGGAAGTTTCATTTGCCATGTGGTCGATTTCAGATACAATGGTACCGATTTTCTGATGCTCTAGTTACTAGTAACTCGAGTTTCGTTCCATTGAAAGTAAATTGTAACAATGTCTTTGTTGCGCTTGCATAATGCTATCCGGCCTCGTAACGTGCCAGGCGGCATCTCTGCATAACCCTAATGATCCACCACCCACTTGGCTTAACGGTGGAGACGCCAGAATTGTCAGGTAATCTCCGACTGCAGATCATGCCAACTTCGTGCTGGCGGAGGCTACTATGAGTACATATGTACGAAATCCAGAGTGATCGGCTGAACAGGGTACCCATCACTTGCCGATTGTCATGAATCAGGTCTCAGAATGTGCCGGGTCAAATACTGCTGTTATCAAGAAGATCTCGATGCCAGTATCGAGATACATACCCAAGGTGGACGTGCTCGATCGATTGATTCCACCAGTTCTTCCTATCGAGCACTGTACCCTTCGCCTTCCTCACTTCACCATCGCCACATTTTATTAACATGTGTGTACTCATACCTCGGATCTCGCCAGCAATTGCCAGTATCCTTAGCTAACCGAGACTTTCTTCCCCCTCCTGTCAAATTATTGCCGGGACGCCTTTGCAACCGAAGGGGAGAAGAAGAAATCGTCAGCTGCTAGGGGGGGGCACGGGGATCACGGATCCACCAAGAATATCGTCTTAACGCGCTGTTCGCCCTAGGGTGGCAACGGTCTCCCCCCTTTCGACACGACTTCGAGCGGTCGAACAGACAAGCTAGGCTCTGCATGTGGAGGCCAAGACCCAGGCTCCACTCTCTAACCAAGATTCGCACACGCTCGTTGGTAGAACCCATGGAAGCCCTTTGGCAGGCGAACTTGTTTGAGGGATGTCGCCGATGTTCCCGACGATGAAACTCGCGGAGGTAGGCGGGGGGCCTGAGCGGGTGGTAGTGTACAAGGCCATATGGCCCTAGCAGGGAATAGTGGACTTTGTGGAAGAGCTAGAACCAAGGCACTGTTAGGTACCGGCAGGCACTGGCAGACACTGGTAGGCCACATGGCTACGCCACGAGAAATAGGAAACGTCTCTGAGCCAAACAATTGATGCGCAAATGAAATTCACTCAATGATCATTTGTCTTGTGCAAGAACAAGGTTTTTCGCTGCTAGGTTGCCTTCTCCGCGCAACCTTCTCTTCGGGTTGGGGTTTTTTGACTTTTGTACCTCCACAATGTGTCCATGGGACGCCCCTCAGTACACGCGACAACCGAAGGCCACAATGAGAAATCTAGAGTTGAAAGGGTTTCGATGACAGCTGCATTGCGACCTTCTAGCTTTTTTCTACTCCGTATTGGATGCCTTTTTCCCCAATTCACCAACCAAATTCTCATAGCTCAGGGTCATCTAAGTTCGACCCCACAACCCATCCCGTGGGTTCACCTTGAGATTGCCGATGCGGGTCGCAAGTGTTTTGGGTCTTGTTGATCAGTTTGACGATGGTAGCCGCGAGGCTCAGAAAATTGTTTCTTGCGTGTCTAGCCCCAGAGACTAAGGACGGACCCGCTTGGACGGCGGCCAAACCCCCTTCTCGCCACTAATGGCCGCTGGATGGCAATGTTTGGCTGGTGATTTGATTCTTCGCCGCTTCTCTTCTCCTTCTTTTCTCCTTATACACAATTCTTGATTGGCATTCTTGAGAGGGAGTTCTGAGGCCTCTGCAATTCTACTCTGGGTAGACGATGAATCTCGATTGATACAGTCTTTGATCCCGGCCACCACAATGCTACCCTTGGAAGGTCGCAGTTTATCGATCTTCATTGTCACGACTATTTTCTTGGGTTTCTCTTTCATTGCAGTTTGCCTGAGATGTTTTGTCCGGCTCAAGATCGTCAAGGCCTTTGGCTGGGATGATGCGCTGATGGTGTTTGCCATGGTAATTCCACCTCGCACCACATGCGTGAATCTGTTTCCTTGGACTGACACTTTGCGATGCGACAGCTTTTGAACGTGCTCTTTGCACTCTGTGGTATCACAGGCGCTTTTTACGGAATCGGTCAAAGATCCAGAACACTTGCCCCAGTCGCTGAGGGAGGACGAGGCACAATGGAGACCGCCATGTTTGTATGCTCAACCCGATCCAGTCTAAGCCCATACATATACGAATGAAGGCTAATTATACTAGTGGTGGTGGCTTGGTCAAACAAGCTATGTTTGGGTATGCGCTGTCTGCAAGTGTTCAATCGCCGTCGCCCTTCTCCGTCTTACTGTTTCCCGTCTGCATCGTTCGATCCTTTGGGGCGTCATTGCTGTGACCACGGTTATCGGCCTGATCTTCTGGTTCATGTTGACTTTGCAATGTCACCCCGTTTCCTTCTTCTGGCAACGAGCCCGTGGCCTTACCAACGGCACTTGCATGGATCTTGACAGCATTATCGCCATTGCCTACGTTTACAGTGTGACTGCCACATGTTGTGACTTTACCCTCGGCATATTGCCAGTCTTCCTGGTGTGGAACTTACAAATGAATGTACGCACGAAGGCTGCGCTCGCCAGTATCTTGGGCATGGGTTGCGTCGCAAGTGCCGCTGTCATCATTCGAATTCCCTACCTGCACGACTACAAGGACCCGGACTTCTTATGTATGAATTTTCTTCAAATCTCCAGGCCATCCTCATTCGGGGTCCTACAATTCGCGAGTCGAATTTCGAGAAAGCACTATACTAACAACATCTTCCACTCCAGACGCAACCTCCAACATCTCGATCTGGTCCAATGTCGAAGCCAGCCTGGGCATCGCAGCAGGCAGCCTCGTCACCCTTCGCCCCCTATTCCGCTGGTTTCGCGACCCCAGCTCTGCAGGGTCTCGGAGCAAGCGTACCGGTAACAGTGTCCCACTCTCGAGCGTGAACGCTGTGCGGTCGGATCCCTCCGGGCCCCATTATTGGCGCCCGGACCTAGATCCAGAGGATTCACATGCTGTGATCACCACGATCCACACCTCAAATCAGGGGAGCAGCCGAACCAGTAGCCAGGAAGATCTCAATCCTAAACCAAATAATGGGACGTTTTTTAGCGGCGTGAATGTGCAAAAGACGTTCTTTGTTTCGGAGGATGATACTTCATAGGGAGCTGAGAGGTGTGGTATATTACTACCTAGTATAGTATAATAATCTTTCTCTGGAAAAAATAAATTTCATGAATAATTGAGTTATTGATTACGAGTCCTCGGAATATATTTAAGCTCCGATTTTCAGAAATTCCAATTTGGCCCGCGGATGTACTTGAAATGTCAGTGTCAGTGTCACGGTCATAAATAGGGTTCGATAGTGGGTGTTTTCACAGTCAAACTTGAATTATAATGCTAGACCATGCATACATGCATTCGTTTTTCCAAGGTTGTAGTGAAATGGGCAACCTCACACCGAACACGAGTATTGACATCAGTACCAAGTATTCGTTCTAGTACTAGGCACCCCTTATACCAGTACTGATAGACATTACAAATGCCGGCAATTATTAAGTTCGATGCGCATGGAATTATTGTATGTGTAACTTTGGGATCCCTGTCTCGATCTATGTATTAGATCCCGGTGATTCCACAGCCAAGCCATTGGCGAATCCTTCATGGCGCCCTACCCGCAAATCCGGAACTAGTTAAATCAGAGAGCAAAGCAATCTGGTAATCACGTGGATAGTATACTGAGATATTCGTAGATCTTGATAATGATCAAATTCCCGGGCATGGTGCACTCAGCTTGCGGTGTCAGTATAGCCGCGCCGGTGGTGTTGGGTGGCTCCGTGGGGCCTAGGTGGATTGAACACAGTCTTGATTCATATAGGCAAAGACTGCTCCCCCAAACAACAGCCCAGCCGGGCTAGCTCAATCGGTAGAGCGTGAGACTCTTAATCTCAAGGTTGGGGGTTCGACCCCCCCCGTTCGGCTATTCCTACAAACCTTACCTGAGATATCTTTTTGCTTCCCTGTCGGAATCAACGGGAAGGAGTTTGCTGAATTTATTTCATATTTTTATCAATTTTTACAGGGTGGTAGGAGAGTGTATGAATACAGTCAAGTCAGTCTTGCAGTAATGTCTCACCTTACGTGAGGATTAGCCGAGATTATACTTATCGATTTGGATGAGAGCAACATGCATTGCAAAAACACATAACAGAATATGGTACTCTTAACTTGAAATCATGCAGTCAATCAAACCAGTCAATGGGACATACTCACACAATCATCATATATATTTCTTGTAGTGGTTCATAGTTCATGCTTCCTGCCAAGACACTAGTGCCTCAGGCCACAAGGATGCAAGGCTCCACCGCATCATCACCGCGGCTCCAAGTCAACAACTCCAACTCTATCTCCAACTGCAACTGTCCCTCCGGGCAACCTTCTTTCAACCTCAGGGCTGAAACATTTACCTTTGCGCCTTCTTCTCATGTCCCCGTAATCATGTCCCGGAGGACGCTGGGTGGAGGCCGTGTCTTGGGCACTCCGAGTGCGCTCTCAGCCCCGTCCCCGTCCCCGCAGCCGAAGAGGGTACTATCGCCAGCTGCTAGCAGCGTCTCTCTAAGCTCGCAGACCTCTGTATCGCAGTACTCCTCGACCACTCAAGACCTCACCTCACGAATATCCTTAGAGAATGGCAACACTTCGATATCCGCGCCGCCCGCCGCTCCCGGGGCGCAGCTATCATGCCCGATCTGCAGCGAAGAGATGGTAAGTTTACCTCCCAGCGTATTGGCGCATAAGGCTTTAACCATTGAAATCTTGTATACTGACTGCTACTAGGTGACTCTTCTTCAACTTAATAGGTACAATAGCAACACCCACTTCCCCCTTATAATTCCTTCAACCCCTCCACTAACATGTCCGCAGACATCTCGACGACCTTCACCAAAACTTGGAAGATGGCACACAGGATGAGGTTAAGGATTGGTTCAAGATCCAGATGGAAAAAGCAAAGAGATTTCAGCCACTGGCCGTGTTAAACCAAAAGCTCAAGGGTCTGGATGTATTCGAGTCGAATGAGAATCAAGCATCCTCGGTCTCGAGCCGTCCACTGGCCTCTCACTCCCATATACCAACCCCCGAACCCCCGAAATTACTCGACCCCGAAGACCTCATTACAAAGGAACACTGGCAAGCCGCTTGTATGTACGACGTGTGCTTGGAACCCTCATGCGGACAACGATTAAATGCCACCAATGGATGCGTTAATTGCCGGAAATGTGGGAAGCTCTTTTGCGAAGAACATACAATGTATCAGATGAAGCTTTCGCGGGCGGCACAGCACGAACCTATCAGAGGTATTTGGGCTCGTGTCTGCGAGACTTGCTATAAGTCGAGGGAGGGCTACAATGATCACAATGGTTTGTTTTGCAAAAATCCCATGTCTGGCTACGAAGCTCATATAAGTCTTAGGGGCGTCAAGAGATAGAATGGCTTCATTTAAATCCATCCGGCAGCAAATGGTCGATAAGGATCTCCTCGAAGTTTCGCGCCTCGAAAAGCGATTAACGCGACTCACACAATTATTGGCCAGTCTACCACCCGATCAAATTCAACCCAGCGCAACGAAACTCTTTTCCATTGGATGGCAAAGTGACCAGCGAAAGACTCTGGAGCAGACGGTTGTAAGCTGGCAGGATGATGCTAGTGTGTCGCGGTGTCCCTTCTGCCAGCAGGATTTTTCAGGGTATTCCTTTCGAAGGCACCATTGCAGAACTTGTGGACGAGTTGTTTGCGGCGACGTTGGAACTGGTTGCTCTAGTGAAGTTGGGCTGAGCATTGCACCTGGTAAGCTGCTAATAGTTCTCGTCTGCTTCCGACTGTTTCTAACATTTTCAATAGTTTCGAAATCGTCAGAGAAAGTAGCCGCTAACAATTTGCTCAACATCGACGTGAGACTTTGCAAGGATTGCAAGTCTACATTGTTTGATCGGCGCGACTTTGAGGCTGATATCACGCACAAGCCTCCAGAGGTCAGGTCTTACGACAATCTGATCCAGTTCGAGAGAGGAATTCGCTTGCACATGCCTAAATTCCAAAAGCTCCTCTCCGCACTGCAGTATGTCTACAACATAATCTTGGCTGAAACTCCGCTAACGATGTCCCAGAGATCCAAGACGCCCGCCTTCGTCGGCTCAAATAGCAGATGCATCCAAAGTACGCAAGCGACTTATGGACTCTTTCGCAAAATATGATGTTGCGGCTCGACGAATCCGCGACCTACCCACCAACTCCCCCACCCAAAAGCGCTTGCAAAAGGCCATCTACCAACAAGCCAGCAGTTTCCTCCACCTCCATATGTTACCTCTGAAAGCCCTACCCAAGGTCCTAAAACATGCACCGTCGAGCGGGGGACGCATGTCTAGCCCCGCCACATCGTCACCAAACACGCCAGTAAATGGCTCGCCGGCGCCTGGTGCTAAGCCCCAGGATTCCGCACTTGCATCCATTAAATATAACAATCGTGTCGCCGCCAGCGGAAGCACCAGCAGCCTCGCAAGCGATACAAGCAGCGCCGTATCGGCGCTCGAAGCAGAAGAAAAATCGCTACGCGATAGACTCATTGTCCTAGAAGAACAGAAATTCTTCGTATCCGAGATGATCGCCGACGCCAACCGTCGCCGGAAATTCGACGAGGTGAGCAGTCTTGCCGTCAACGTCGAGGACCTGAGTCGTGAAATCGACCGAGTGAACGGGATGCTAGCTGGGTTGGACTTCGAAGGCGTCTACACGGGAAACCTCCAAGCGAGCGCTTGAATTTCATTTTCAAGCAGTATTTACTTGTCCTTCATTTACCTTTTTTTTTTTTTTTGCTTTTGCACAGATGCATGGCCTGGAGTCTTGTCATTTAGCCGTTCGTTCTCTCTCTCTCCCTTTTGTTCCTGCCCTGTCGCTGGTTCTTGATGGGCATTGTCAAACCCCTTTCGATGATCTTTGCATAGCATCGGGCGTTTTAACGGTCGTTGGAATATATAATGAAATTGCATTCGCTATACTCAGTATCCTCCTAAATGATTGTATAGAAGCTAGCCAGTGCCAGTGTGGGAACATTAAAGCCAAATTACTAGTAGTAGATAATAAACGACGAAATAGTTGAAGATAGGGAGACTTGAAGCCCTAGGTACCAGGAGTAGCATTCCAAGGCTCAAAGAAACAATGGAACAAACTACTACTGGGGTGTGATTTAAGTTGACAAGTGAAAATCATGAATTTTATTACCATAGCAAATTACTATTTTAATGTTCTATAGTGAACAGCAAAAATGAATACGTTATCAGTAAAAAGATCATAATATTTTCTTGCACGCTAAGAAACAAGAGTTGAACGCATCAAAATCAAATTTTTTTAGATGATTTGACAGACTTTTTCAACTTTTTTTCCTTCTGCTGAGTCGAATACTGGTCCAACCCGGAGATTTCAAGTTTTCTTTCAATCTTTTCGTACAAAAAAAAAGAGAGGGTTCGTAACGTCATTTCTCTAAACATACAAATGCCTTGACAAAATCATCACAAGGCAAAGAATTCTTTAAATTTCCCGGCACCCGCCAGGCCTTGGGATCTACCGCTCATAGTCGCGGTGATAGCTGGTGCCGGTATTAGGGTTATCGTACTCTCGATGAACATGAGTAGTTCCATCGTCGCGGCGATCGACATCTCGGTGTCGGTAGACGCCACTCGGATCGAGGCGCTCACGGTGATGTCGTCGGGAACTATCGGTGCGATAGTCGAGATGTTGATCATAGGCACCGCTGCTGGGGTCATAGGCCGTTATACCACGACCAGTGTCGTAAGTTGTACCGTATGTATTGCCTACAGCATCGGTGCCATATCCCGTAGTTCCAAAGCCGGTAGTATCATAGTTTCCGTAGCCGGTGGCATCGAAGGTTGTTCCGTTGGTCTCGTATGATGTTCCAATTGTATCGTATGTAGCTCCGGTTGTGTCATAATCGTAATATTCGGCGTAGGTGGAATTGCCGTGGCGATCAGTCATTTTAGATGTTATTGCGTGATCAAGCTTATTTGGTCAAAGAAGGTCTGTCACGAAAGAATTTGTTGGTCTTGGATCAGAACAGATGGGCGTGGTCGATGCTGGATTCTTATAATGCAGTGTGGCGTTGGATATCACTGCATGACTTTGAATTGACATCATCTTGGCGGGGAGAGGAATTCGTTGGAAATGAGGCGATATGCGTGGCTTGAATAGATGAGATAGAAAATGACCACAGTAGCTGTCAACTGGGCTCATTGGTCACATTTCTTGGGGATATGCGTTCGAGACCGTCGCCCCAGGAGGCGCATGCTCTTGAACCAACCATGGTTGCGGATAAACAAGCCAATGAACCATCTGCCACCAACACAATACAACTTCTCATAATTTGCTCTTGAGTGCTTATTCGATTGAGAAATTGATTAAAGTCCCTCACTGTGAGCCTGTGATAGTAATGTACCATTTGGTTGGAGGAGGCGTGTGGCGAGGCAATGTTTAGAGCGGGTTTGGACTTTGCCACCACCGCCAGGCATACGCTATCAATCTATATTCATCAGACAAAGTGTTTGAATCAAAATTGAATTTCAAAGTAGTCGGGGAATCATACTTGAAATGTTGCCGATATGTAGGCAATGATCTAAAGTGAAAGGGTTGTAATCGGACTAGATTTTCTACAACATTTTGGAAGAACAGTGTAGAGTCATCTTGGGGTTAATGACTTGGCGGTTGTGCATGCCCTGGAGGGAAGAGAAATGGGTACGCTCATTGGCCCTAGAGGCCTTGTAAATACCATAATCGAGAGGGGGGTCGGCGGAAGCGTTGACGGGTCTAGGGAGATCTTGGCCGGAGGTCTCAATGAGAGTATCGTAGTAGTTAGCTAGGTTGATATCGGCCTTCTGCTCAGCAGAGTGGTTTAAGACATCAAAAGCTCGCGCTTGACACGGGCATTGCCGGTTGCTCAACCCATCATAACCGCCAAGGAACTCATAGACTTCAGGATAATCGATTGCAATGGTGGGAGAGGCAAGTTCATTGGGGTGAGTATTTGGATGTTTTTTTTTTAGACAAAACGATGTGGTGTACAGTGCTCGTGCTCCTCCCTGAAGAACAAAGCAACAGAAAAAACTGTCCTTGGGCATGAATCACCTATGAATGTACGCGGCTTACACTCTAGGCAGCGACTAGCTTCTAGAGTTGGTCTAGTTTGGGAGAAGGGAGAAGACAATTCAATCCCAGCTATTATTGCTGTAGCCATGTATCAAATGCGATACTTGAATTATAACTATGTTTTACAGCATTGATATTTTGTTGCTGCCGGTCAATATCTGCGGACCGGAGATAGTAAGTAGGGGTATCCATCCAATCTAGTTTAGCACTCTCTGCCCAGCGGCATCAATGAATCAGACAAGAATTCACTGGCATTCATCAAGTCCGTACTTCCGTAGACAACCCGACGGCGAACACCAGCCGCAGCGCTGCGATTAGCCGCCGCCGCACCGTCCGCCTGTGGCCCACTTGTTCGAGCCACCCAGTCCTGCAAGTTACCATATTCATCCATGCTTCCACCGCCAACCGTGAACACGATGGCTTCATTGAAGGCCTGGCGACGTTGGCCGAAGGTAGCACCAGTTCCAGGGCCTTGGATCCCACCGGGCATTTGCTGGCCTCGGGATGCAGAACCCGGAGGCATGGCGCCACGCGCGTTGGCACTCCGCGGGTCGAAGTAGAGGTAGTTCTCGGTCTTGGCGATTGCCGAACTAGAAGCAGCGGTGGGGTCCATAATGGACTCTGTGATTTTCGTCACGGTAAGGTCCTTGTTGGCGGGGAGGAAGTTCTTAACGCCAGAAAGAAGGGTGTCGAAGTTAGCGCCCAGGCCGCTGGATGTGATGCGGTCTGTGAGGCGATTGGAGAGGGATGAGAAGCCGCGGAAAAGGTCGTTGGACTGTTGTTCGGGTGCAGCGGTGGTCATCATAGTCATGCGTGTGAGCTCGCGAACCTGTCGAAGATATGCGATTGGCGTCACATCCGAGACACCGGCCTTAGTCAGAGCCTCCTCGAATTCGCTGATCTCAGCGCGACTCAACTCAGTCTCGCTGCTGATGAACCAAATAACGAAGAGACGCAACTTGTCCTCCGGGTTGTTTCCCTTGGTAGGATCATTAATCAGCTCAAGAAGCTGTGACTTGGTTTGTTTTGTGATATTTTCCTCCAGCTCGAAGAAGCCGTCCAGCTGTCGGTCTTTGATTCCCTTCAGTAGGGCGGTGGCAATGTTCATGTGCATATCGAGAGTGGCTTTACGCTCTCGCAATTCGGGAAGCAGCGTAATGGCAGCCTTGAGGTGATTTGCGGAAGAGCTGCTATCATTCTGAAGATCTTCAATCGAGGAAGCACCGGTCTTTCTCGTGATATCGGATGCATCTTCTCTGTACCGTGTTAGTTCGGCATCAATATTTTCGGCCACTTGGGGAAAAGGTGCGCCCGCATTTCGTAGCCAGAAGAAATCGTTGCTATTAATATCGTAGGATTTCTTCGAGACTTTGCCGGACTGTAGCTCATCATCGAGGGTGATTCGATTTAAGCGCATTTGGAGGACGTCCTGTACGAGGGATTGATATGTCCAAGAGTGCGATAGCATGGGAACCAAGTCGACATTTCGATCCATGACAATCAGAACTGGTCGGCTCGAGGGGACGCCCGGCAGAGCTCTCTGGTTGCCGGAGAAGAGATTGTCCTTGGAGTTGAGAATGTGATCTCGGAGTTTGCGATCAAGCTTAGTGGCGATCATCTCAGCTGCACCACCCTTCGGGGATCGAATAATTGGGATCGAACCTGGATTATTGATTAGTTCGAATTGTGGGAAAGGAGTAACATCAGAGAAGAGATAGCGTACCCATTGTGACGCTCACGCTGAACAGACCGCTCACTACCTTATCGATCACATCATCCAGTTCCGCATTACTTGATTTAGCGCTGTTGAGTTTATAGTAGACGTCATTACCAAGTCCGAGGCTGAAGAGATCTGGCTCTGCGACAATGAAATTGAGGTATTGGTCAAAGACCTGAGCGATGTTCTCTGATGCGCCGGAGGTGGCTATTTGGGAGGCGAAGTCCTCGAGAAGTGGACGGGGAACAGAGGAGAGGAAGTTGACATAGGCGGGAGAGTAGAGGCCACTCGAGAGATCACGAGTGATAGCTTGGGTGTTGGCTTCGTTGGGTTCGACCAGATAGACCACGGGGACGTCTGGGATTGGGTATCGTTGAGAGTTGATGTTTCTTGAGACGGTACATGGTTAGCACGGAAACTATCAAGGGAAACAAGCCACATAAGCAGATCATGAAGCTTACAGGTGTATAGTGATTCCCCAAGCTCGAAGGTCATTGACCCGCAACACGCTGCTGATAACGTCTCGGCCCATACCATCAAAGACCAGGACCTTCCAGATGGGATCACCATCTTCGTTCAGGATAGGTGTGGAAACAAGACCAGCCTGTCCTGATGGGTCATGAGAACCATCATCTGTGGGGCGCGGGTCATGGTTGAGGTTCAGGAGCTTTTGAATGGAAGCTATACAGATCGGTCAGCCATCCAGTTGCGGGCAGGGCCGGGGTATATGTTATGTTGTGTGATGTTATGGTCAAGGTATGTTAAGGAGAGGGAAGGGGAAGGGGGCAGTATCACCTACCGACCTGTCGGTCTCGGAGGGACATTGGATGCGCCATAGCAGGAAGCAGAATTGGCAGAGACAAGACAGCTCACGACATGGAATCAACGATAGGAGAAGATCGCGAGGGCGGGTGCGAGTCCGAGTCCGGCTCCGGCCACGGTGGGATGCCTTGTTGGTTGTGTGGGGGTGTAAACAAGGCAAACATAACGATCACATGGCAGTCGCAGAATGGTAATACACAGTGATACACATATATGGTAATTTAATGCTCCTTAGGTACTATGAATCCCCAATCAGCGGTAGGGGTCAGTGTAATTCTCCTGACCGCCGCCAAAACACGTTGCCAGCCTGCAGCTTTTCAAACTCCTTCCAACCTCAACTCTCCGCGTCACCTCCCATCTCCCCCCCCCCCCCCCATACCCCTTTCCCTCTCCCTTTCCCTTTGCCTTTGCCTTTTCCTTTTCCCTTCTCTCTTCGTAAAGTGAATGGCTATATTGCTAGAGTGGCTCTTGGTATAAGAGAGTACAGAACAGAGAGAAGGAAAGTGACAGCTCTACGGGGACAGAGACACTTTGAAGCAGAAGTCTGGGATCAGATACATTGGTACCGCAGGAAAAGAGAGAATCTTGCCGAGCACCGGTGAACACTGGTGAACACTGGTGTCTTAAAGGGATCCACGAAGATCTCCCCAGTGTATTCGAGTTCACTGCAGAAGGTGGTGACCCTAGGGTCGGAAGGTAACTGAAGGTAACTGGAGGCGCCAAGACCAAAAGATTATCGTCTGCCACCACACCACATATAAATCACCACATATCAGACCAGGTACGGGCCGAACTCTTGCCGCGCAACTCTCAACTCTGCCCCCTTTTTCCGTACTTCAATTTTTGTTTTGCTTGTCGTTATTTTCCCGAAGTGGCCATCATCTTACTCTTTCTCTTCTGTTGAACCCTTCAGCCAATCACAATCCCTGCCAGTTTTCACCGCCAGAACAAACCGGAAACCCGCTTTTGCGGCCCAAAAGGGCAAGCGGTAAAGCCACCTGATCTGCCCATTCGGCAGAGGCACGTGATATTCGGGGATCGACAGTAGCAAATAAACGGAAACGGGCGCGACGCAAATCACAAACTTGGCGTTGTGAACTCGCGGAGGTTGTCCAATAAGATGGAGCAGTCATCGGCCCAGCACTCGTTATCGGGGGGGGGGCCTCATGCTGCTCAGGATCAAGGCTTACCCCAGGGGTATTGGAATCAGTTAGAAACAATGTACCCTGACTCGCAGTTGCAAGCACAAGCACAAGCACAGCAACAAGATGTCCCCTCACAACAAGCCCCGACTGGCATCAACTGGGATCATCCGATCTTCTCTCAGACTCAGAATCAGGCACAGGCACAGCAACAGCAGCAGCAGCAACACCAGAATCCACATCAATCCCAGCAACGAAGTCCTCTCCCTCAAACCGACAGCAATCATGGCATCTATTCCTCTCTTCCTCAGTCATGGCAACCAAACCCCCTCCAACAACCTTCAGGGGGATATGCAATTTCGTCGCAATTCCAACCACAGCAACAGATTCCTCCGTACCAGCAAGGTCAATTGTCCTTTGACTCGCGATCTCTGACGCCTTCCGAGAGCTCGGCCTTCCCATCATACTCCTACCCTCAAAACTATTTTCACCAGCAACAACTCCCCGTTCAGAACGCGTTCCCCGAGCGCCCAGCGCAGAACCAGCGACAGGACGAATTCCAGAACATTGCGCCTCGTCCCTCAATCTCGCAATTCCCTCTCCCCACCTCCTACCATGCCGACCTCCCCACGATTGACCTAACCAACGACTTCCCACCTTCCGCCGAACCCAGTATCTCTCACCAAACCATCAACCCCCAATTTCTCAACCCCGACACCCAGAGTGCCAACCAGCATCAGCAGCACATATCCAACAACTTTCTTTATGGAGTCTCGACAGGAGTCCCGACGGAGTTTCCGCAAGATGGCAGGATGTTCGATTACTACCAGAATAATTTCTCAGTTCAACCTCAAGGCGTTCAACAAAATGCGGAAATGCCACAACTAGGTACATCCCTCTTCGTTTTCTATCTAGTCATTTCAATGCTAACATGTGAATTGAAATAGCACCTCGAGGGGCCCCGACACTCGCCATCTACCCGCCAACCCTGGAGAGCGTCCTCCAAAAGTCTTCGACAAAGAGCAAGCCAAAGTCCAAGAAATCCGCTGCGAAACCGAATAAGACACAATCCGGATCGGGAAGTGACTCGTCGGACTACGAGTCGGATTTGGAAATTGAACCTCCCGACGAGCCGTCCCCTCTCCCAGCGGTGCGGCCGAATGATACTGTGAACAGGGCAAAATACGATACAATCCAAGCCGTTTGGTCTCCGCGGAACAAACGGCCATCAGCGGATAAAGTGAAGAGTGCCCTGGTGGCTTTCCCCAAGATTATCAAGTCTCTTCGTGATGCCTGGAGAGATCAGGTTCAAGCAATGAAGTCGGCTGAAAATCAGGGAGACAATGATAAAGCTGCGCGTCTCAAGAAAGAGGTGGCGCTTCAGCGCCAACTAATGGATACTATTGTGAGGACTGCCTTGGATATGGGTCACCCCATGATCGTCGAGAAGTATGACCTCCCTCCCTCAATTCCCCTGACTCCCTTCGTTTCCCTTGTTTCTCTCGTTTTATGCGTTTCCACCTTGTTTCTGGCACGTGATCTCCATACACCTAGAAGTTCCAAGAACAATGAGCTTATCACCCACGTAATTTGTTTACCGTGGAGATGGACCAAGTCAAAGTCTCAAATAATATGGCTTCAATTAAAGAGCGTTCTCGTTCTGGGTACCATGACAATGCATCTCGTTCGAGCTGGAAATATGATGCCAATCAATATCCTCCAATGCCCTGAAAAGCCCAATAATGGGCACCTTGGATCAGTCATGGAGGGCTTTCCCTTTGAAAACCAAGCATAAGGCTCTCCAAGGATACTCAAAGTCTGTCCGCATTCTTAGATTTTGCTATCTGGAAGCCGATCACGTTGCACGCTCCTTTTGCTTCATTTCATACGTGTGCTTTTTTCTTCCTCGAACTCCCGGATTACTAATATTTGATTTCTGATATAGGCTTGGGGAACATCCTTTAGCGCTGGCCGTTATTCATTCCTTCCTCACGGATCGATTCCAAGCTGCCGATTTCGAGGGTTCTTTGACTATCAATATGCTCAAGGCAAGTTGATTCCTTGCTCAAACCGTGACGAATTCAAATTAACCGACTCCAGTTATTGGAACGCTTTGTTACTGTTGACGAAGAGATGTTGCAAAAAACCAATTTTAGCAAAACCCTTCCAAGATTCGTCAAAAAAGGCGGACCTTCCATCAAGGGTTTGGCCCAGAAGATCTTGGACAATGCTTCTGCATCTACCAAGCGGAAGCAGACGAATGCAAAGTCGAGTAAAGAAGACTCGACAAGCAAAGGGCTTCGCGGAGACTCGCCCTCTGAGATCGCGGGCTCTAAACGGGCTCGGGAAGTCGAAAATACCGCCCATCCTGCCACAAAGAAGATGGTAGTGACTTCGAATCCCAAAGATGCCAGCAAGTCTGCGCAGGGGCCCAATGGACATACCAAGGCTGGTCTTAATGGTAAAGTTGCAACATCGGCAGCTCCTCGTCCGCGGCCAGCTGTTGCTGCTCCCAAGCTCAGTAGTCTTTTTGGAACTTTGAGCTCTGCATCAAAGAGGCCTGGAACTACAAATGCTGAGCGAGCCGCAGCCGCAGCCGCAGCCGCAAAGTCTACGTACGTACTCTCCTGTTTGTTTCAAATACATGCCCCCCGCTATCTCATCAGCACGAGCACTCTCCATCTACCCAGCAATCGGTGTGTGCCAAAATTCTAATTATCTTTACAGACCAAGCGCGGAAAAGAAGGAGAAGCCAGCAGCTCCGCCCTCTAAGCCTGCATTCTCTTTGAATGATATCATGGCGGATCTCAGCAAGCCCAAGGAGGCACCCGTGGTCAAGCCAGTAGAAGAAAGACCCCCCAGAGACCGAGGAGGAGCGTGAGAAGCGGCTTAGGAAAGAATCTAGGCGGAAGCTGCGAGTCACTTGGAAGCCTGATGATTCTCTCACCGAGGTCCGATTGTTCACTCACGACCCCGACGAAGAGCTTGGCCCAGGCGACAACTCCTTGCGTGGTGTTGGAGACGTCAAGGGTGAGGGAAGCGTGCTCAAACTTCACAAAGACTTGGAGGAACTTGAGGAGGATGATTTAGGTGGCATTCGTGAAACGAGTCTTAACGATTACACAAGTCTTACTGGTGAGTCTGCTGCCTTGGTCTGTTTGGATCCCATGCTGACTCGAATAGCGATCGATATCGATTTAGGTGATCTCAAGACCGCCAACTTCATCAAGCGTGGCGGTGAAGCAATACCTGACAGTCCGGCGAAGGAGGCTCAGAACCAACGAGAAGCAACCACTCTCATGGCCTTCTACACCTCTCCCGCCGACATTCCCCCATCCCCCAAGGAGCCCCCTGCTTCCGAGACCAACTCCAATGATGAAGCCGCCCCCGAATTGGTTTTCTTTGGAGACGTGCCCGAGCATGTCAAGGTATGTTACAGTCTTGACTCATCCAAGGTATTAAATCAATGGCTAATGTCCATTCCAAATAGGCTCGAGGCGAGCGCTGGTTTGCACATATTAACCCCCCCGGCCGCTGCGCCTGCAGCCCAAGCACAGCCTGCCGCACCCGCAGCTGGCGGCTTCGACATTTCAAACCTTCTCAAACTCATCGGCAATGGGAACCAGCAACAATCCACCCCTCCTCCTCAGTCCCAACCCCCACCTCAGCAAGCTTCTGTGTCAGATCTCGAGCGCACTATCAACATGTTCCGACAGCAACAAAACCAGCCACCCGCAGCCCTGCCGCCTCAGATCCCTGTAAGCCAGCCACAAGCGACGCCCGACATCGACTTCCTGAAGATTTTCAATGTCATGCAGCAAATGCAGCAGGGATCGGGAGGATTCCCTCAAGCACAGCCTGGAATGGCACCAAATATGGGCGCCATGTTTGGCTCGCAATTCGGTGGCCAAAACCAGTCCGACTCACGAGGCCAGGGTTACGAAGACCCTGAACGCAAACGCATCCGCGAGGCTAGTCAGCACGAGGAGTTCAGCCGACAGAAGCGGACTAAGGCTAGTGGCCCTCAGCCGTACAAGGTCGGTCTAATTCCGTGCAAATTCTGGGCGGATGGCACGTGCAGAAAGGGCGATAATTGCACATTCCGTCATGACTCTAAAAACGCTTGAGGAGAGATCACACTTTCGACCAAGCTTTCAACCTGATCAGTGTCCTTCTTCCCAACATTCTGCTCTTCGCAACTCTTTCGTCGCGCAATGCGGCCATTACTTCCTCGACCTTTCTATTCTGTTTTATTTCATCTGCGATGACGTTATACAGCTAGAAAGAGAGAAACGCGAGGAAAATCTTTCGGTGAACATTTTATCGGCGTTTTTGCGTGTCAGCAACCATTTCACAGCTACGCGAGTGATCAAGTGTGGTATTCCAGCAAGCAGCATTCTTATTTTTCCCCCTTCGAGCTTCGAGCTTCGACTTCGAGGTCGTGTTCGATATCTCTACAAAGCATATTCTCTGCATTTGGATGTCCCCTTGGTAATACAGGGGGAAATACCGGTTCGGTGGTGTGGGCGCTCGTTCTGATATTTTTCGCCGCTGTGGGGTTTTTTTTTCTTTCTCTGTTTTGTTTCTGCGGTTTCTGCTGTTTGCCAGATTTCCAAGAGTTCCAGGCGCAATTTCAACTGGTTTGGTTGGGTATACACTGAGATCACATTGTTATGGCGCATGCTTTCTGGGAAAACTGGAAAAATGTACATTAGTTATCCTACTTACCCTCTATCTTATCTTCTGTAATGGAGGTTCGGTGCCTTAGGGCGCTTCTTGAACTAAGACTACAAGTTTTCAAGTTATCTAAATTTTCGTCTAACTAACCCGACACTACAAAGATAATTAGACCTAGGGTAACAAGGAGCCCTAGATGTGATGTGCTGCCACACTCTTGGCACAAACTGTAGATCTTTGTCATTTTCTCTTGCTTCCTATACCACTAACGCAGAAAAAAAAAATTTATCAGTACGAGACAATATATAATATCAACCGCCCGGACGGTCTAGTAGTGGAAATGTCAAGGTTCAAGTTGCAATCAATCCATACTACTATTCAAGTACTCAATCGACAACTCTTTAGTATAATTTGCGCCTTGAAAAACAAAACTGTGTGAGGCCTCTGCCAAATTCGGACCTTACAATCATTAGGTTGGTTAATCTTACTGTGGAACTAGAATTGCAGACGCATCATGTTGTATGCCTAGTTTATTTTGATTCATGTAGGCAAAATTTTGACAACTAAACATGAACTGCCCGGGTGGTCTAGTGGTATGATTCGCGCTTAGGGTTCACCCAAAGCATTGACTGCGCGAGGTCCCCGGTTCGATCCCGGGCTCGGGCCTTTCTTTTTTCTTTTATTCCCTCACTCTACGAAAACAGGATAATTTGTATAAGAGATTTAATCTCGGAATATCAATTGCCCGGGTGGTCTAGTGGTATGATTCGCGCTTAGGGTTCACCCAAAGCAAGCTTGCGCGAGGTCCCCGGTTCGATCCCGGGCTCGGGCCTTCCTTTTTTTCTTTTGCTCCTTTATTCTATCAAAACAGAATCTCTCATATAATTTGACCTCGGAATATCAATTGCCCGGGTGGTCTAGTGGTATGATTCGCGCTTAGGGTTAACCCAAAGCAAGCTTGCGCGAGGTCCCCGGTTCGATCCCGGGCTCGGGCCCATTCTTTTTCCTTCTTCTTTTTGCAAGCTTTACGTCCGACTGGTCTCTCTCTACCTGAAACGCACGATATGGTCTCTATCAGCAGAAGGCAGTTGTTTATTATTTGACAATCTGTATCGTAATACTATTTTACGCCCATTATGGTTCCTTATACATCGAGCGCATCATCAAACCAATCGAAACAATAATTTACAGATCCGATCTCATCCCAGCTAACAAACAGGTACCTTGATAGTTACATCCTTTACAACGTAGTCCTCATTACATCAACGTCAGGTGACTCCCCCTGACCAAGCTCTCAATGTTCAAATAGACAACCGTACTAGAGCGGTCCAGTTGTGTGGTGGAATAAGACACCACCCATCGGTATTGGCATATTGTAATCAGTCGTCGACTGAGCACAACCGCAATGATATGAATAGACGCGCCAAAAGTGCATCTCATGATATTCCAGATCCATTTATGGCGAAAATGGTACCACAGATTAGAGACGAGAATGGCATAGCTTTCGAGGGCTTTCTGGGAATGATCAAAGATATCCCGGACGAGTGCCGGGTGTTGTTTTGGAGATATCCCGGAAGGGAGTTATAGTGTACAGCAAGGTAGAGGATAGGGCGGTAGATTTTCTCAAGACAAAGGAGGTAGCGGCTGTAGAGGAGAAATTCTATATTTTCATTATCGGGGTTTAGGGGAGGGAGGCCATTTCGTGACAATTGATACCTAAACTCGGTCAGCGAATCAACAAATAATAAGGGCCAGTAAGAAGAAAGGGAGGTATTTACCAAGAATAAACACCATTAACGGCCTCGGCAGTTTTCTCGACGACACCGTCGATGTTATTGACCCACTCTTGCTCGACGCAGCGCCACAAGTCTATGAGCATGTCGTTTACCGTACGACGACTGCAAATCGATCCAATGTAAAATCCCCACCCCTTCTCCTCTTCCGTGCCGCTAATCTCTGATTGTGGTGATGCGTCTTCGCCTTCATCCATTGTATCCCCCGGGAAAGTCGGCGTCGACGTACTCGTCCGTGGAATTGTTGGGAATTGCGGTGAGTATCCGAGACTTTTAAGCCCGCTGCTCCAGAGTGGAAGTCCGCTCTGCGTTTCACTGTTACTGATTAGACAATTCCCATGAATCCATCGATGAAGAAAAGGGTAGGAGCATACTGCTCAGCCTTTATACAGGACCAGTATAGGCGAGGTTCGAGATTGTTATAGTTGACATCAGCTACCCATTAGCCTCTACGCATGGTTCGCAGGCGGACCTCTAGCCTGCAGGAAGCTTGCTGAAAGCAAAACCAGGCCTGTAAGGGTCGCATGAGATGTCTGTGATAAGATCCCGCGAGAAGAAAGCATTGTATGTCAGTCGGTGATGTGTGCAATGACCCCAGCCGTTGTTTTGCCGCATGGAAGTATGCCTCGGCAAGTTCAAACTAGCATCCGACTGAGGTGGCGTAGGCATGCGATCAAGATCGGCTGGGAATTCACTCAATGGAATAGATATTGATGTGCAGCATGCCAGAGCACAGTCCATGAGCTATTGAATTTTTGAAATAGAAGTACTCAGCATTCTTGCTTGGCTAGTACTAGTAAATGTGTTCACAGATAGAAAATGAACTGGACTCACCACTTGGCAGGACGGGCCGTCCCACCATAGGCCTTGTATTGTTACTTCGCGAGCATAACGCTCAAGTCTTTCAACATCAACAATAGTATTTCGCCGATGGACCAGCCGTATGTATTCTCGACAAATATGTTGGATATCATCTAAGGAAGAACCAACTCCTAATGTTCGGGGAGTCGGAATGGGGGGGCTCAGATTGGTTCTCTAATGAGTCGAGCAAAAAGGACCGAATATTCTTTTCCAGATCGGCGATAACCTTGTTGTGTATCGGCCAGCGAAGCATGTATTTTGTGGAGTTAGCCGCATACAAGGTCAGGGGATCGTGGTTCCCGGCTCGATCTTCAATGGCGGCAGTGTCTCCCCGGTTATTGTGGCCAGTAGAAGCATCTATCGGGGGATTCGAACTTTGCACGGTCACCCCAAAGAAAGAGCCCCTGGCTGACTGATTAGAGGAAGGGACTGACCCCCCCACTCTGCTTGATATCTTCCAGCAACGAGGTAATATGGCCTAGTTGCTGCAGGATCTCATGATTGGAGGACTCGAAGTTGGTCCTACAACACGAGGATGTTAGCAAGGGGGGTTAAAAGCATCGTCACAAAGCTTGAATTCATCAAGCTGCTTGACTCACTGGGTTGGATGCGGCGAGGTCTCGGGGAAGATGCACTCGACTCCCTGTATCGCACAGTAGCTACATATGGGTCTCTCATTGTCACACCGGGTCTTGCGCAAGCGGCAGGTTTGGCAAGCTGTCGGTGCGCGTGTCCGACTCTCTCGTTTCCTGGGAAATTTTGAATCCAGGTCCATGGATTTGTGACAGCGGTTTCCCTTTGAGGATATGTCCGAAGCAGTTCGGGGAGCATCAGGGAGATAGAGAGGAGCTGGCGGACTCAAGTGCGGGTCGTGGATAACCAAGGAGATTTTAAGGAGAGAACCTTGGGGCTATACTCCGGGGACGCTAGCGAGGAGACACCGAGTTAGACAGACTGAACAAAGAACCTGCGAAGTTAATTCTTGGAAGACCGGGTCGTGGATCGATTGCCGGCTGTGGCGTGTTCGTTTGAAGTTTAAGGCTGTTCCGAGACAAAGAAAAATGCACAGGTTTAGATGAGGGTTACAGCTCCTTTTTTGCAAATCTCATTTATAGGGCAGGGCTTCGAATTTGCTGATTGGGGAGTCTTTGCTTGCTTCACTGGGGCCCTTGGTAGGGTTCGTGGTGGTCCCCTCCCCCCCAGATGGTGGGGAGGTTGGAGCTACAGGGCTGCGCCTTTCACCCCCCAAGACCTACCGCGGCCAATTGAGGCGCGGGGCTGTTTTTGCGTCACTTGCAGCACCTTTGCGGTGTCAATGGACGAATAGGAGCGATTGATCTAGCGGATGGCCGGGATGGGATGTCTTGAGTCGAAAAACCTGAGTCGTTTCCTGGAAATCGTCACTCGAGGCCAAATTCCGGGATACCAAATCTGGATTATGGAGATCCAATGAATGTAGGAAGAGGGCTGTGATATACTGGACACTGAAGGCCCCCATGAGAGACATACAGGGTCATAGCTCGTATAGGCGAAAGCCCGCCGAGTCAAAGAATAGCAAGGCACGCCCGCTTCTTTGATGGATCTAATTTAAGTTCACCGGGGCCAAATCACCAAGCGCAAATTTTTTGAAGTGTAAAAAGTACCCAGCCCTATTTTTTTCTGAAATGACGAGATTAACTCGCATTTCAAGCATCCTCTTTTTCGGCCACGATCGAGAGAGCTAAGTATAGCTTGGTTCCTTTTTGACAAGCTAGCCATCTTGGTGAAATGCTAAGCCTTGATCTGATTCAAATTCCTTTCCGAATGTGGAGGCACTCGACGAGGCAGGCTTTCTGGCCATTTTGAAAATCTGACACGAGTTCAACTTTTCGCTTCGCTTCGCTTCGCTTCGCACATTTCACGTTTGAAGTAGAGATCGATCGATCGAGTGACGGCTGACTAGGGAATGAAAAAACAGCGCCAGTAGTCAATGGTCTCTCACCAGTGCCTTTTTATCTTTCAAGTTAGCAAATCCAGTCAGAATAGGACTAACATTTAGATGATTCAACCTGGCCTATGAATGATTTTTCCAAGAATCTCCGATTGTTTGCAAAGTTACTTACGCTATCGCCATCGCCCCACAGGATCCTCTAGTTGCGGATCCTTCAAGTAGCGCCGATTGATATCGATCAGGTTAAATAGACTTCGGCTGGTGTGCCTGTCAAATTCCAAATTGTAATCATGTGGAGAAAGGTAGGTCTCTATCGCAAGTTTAAAGTCGCTGTTTTATTGCATGCAAGCCTTGGCGTTTCCGACTGTCAGCACACCTGATTTCTCACAGATGCAGCTCCTGGAATGAATCAGGTCTATACGCGTCATGTGCATGCCATGTGGCGACCGATCAGTTGAGGGCGGAGATTTCAAAAAATGAGGCTGCATGCGGCTTGACTCAGGAGAGTGTGAAGACTTGGCAAGCCGGGATCCTTACAAGGTCGCGACATATTCGAGTTTGATATAGCTATAATAATATTTCCGTATTTTGGTATTAATAAAGAGAGATAAATGACTACCCTGGGCCAGGTGCTCTAGGTACCTCGCTAATTAAATGCAAACCCACTCTTTGAAGGCTGTATATACCCATGGCATCGTATGCTCCAAAACAGACCGTGCAGGGCGAAAGCAAGGCACGACTCCTCTAATGACGAAGAGTGCTCATTTCTTGTGGTGGGGTATTTTTGTGGGTATCAGAAGACATCTCGTATGAAGCCTCATACATGTTTTGTTGGCCATAGTCGTGGTTGACGGGCATATATCCCGGTTGCGGCTGAGGCGCTGAGGAGCCGGAATGCGATGACACCCCTCCATCAGCCGCAGCCGCAGCGGCTTCCTTTCTGGCGGTGTTTCTTCTCACCAGATAGATGAGGTACAAGACACCGAGTAGCAGAGGAACACCGAGGCCGACACCAACACCGATACCAGCCTTGGCACCCGGCGAAAGCCCTGCGCTGAAGTTGGAGTCTGACGCCTTGCTCGTTGAGGTGAGCTTGTGCTTGTGCGAGAGGTTATTGGGGATGAGGACGTGGTTGTAGTTGCGAAGTCGGCTTCTTTCCAGCGAATAGAGATACCCTTGGCGTTTATGCCGTAAGAACCGCCGTAGGAAGTGACGACATCTCCTTGGGTGTAGGTGTATTCGGCACCGGTGTCGGTGTTATACGAGGTGCATTGATTGGTAGCGTACCAGTGGTCGTCAGTCCCTGTTTGCGCATTATAGCCTCTGCACGCTCAATACTTAGACAAAGCAAAGAAGGAGAGATTCTAGTCAAGGGATATATACGTACTGGGGACAACATGTTGCAGCGGTGACGGCTTCGTTATCAACTGCAAGAATAGTTTGACCAGCAGCGGTGTAGCCATACGGACAGATTCCAGGTGAAAAATAAGACGAGCCGGTTGCATAGTCGGATGGCAGGCAATCTTTCCAGACTGAGGGACCGAGACTCAGGTACTACTCGACATTGGCATCTGTTGCGGTAACTTCAGGCGAAATCGCCAAATTGGAGTTTTCATAGTACCACCAGCCATAGTTTTCTGTAGTACAAGAGGGCGCCGGCGTAAATGTTGTAGTCAATGCGCCTGCCGACATGTTGGCAACCACACACAACCTTTGGGGTGGCAACACCCAGCGCGATTGAAGCGAAGAACAATAGGCGAAACAACAATTCACTGTCAGCAGCAGGGTTTTCAAGGAGCGAATCGTCTATTCTTCTACTAATAAAAAGGGCTGTACATTAACTCAAGCAATACTCAGCACTAGATCACTTGTGGGAAGAAATTGCGCTGATCCCGTGGGGTCCAAAAACTTCACAAGGCTGATAGTGGTGGAAATAGCGGTGCATTGAGCGTATCAAATGAAGGAAGGAGACGCCTAGCTACGAGTAGCCAGAGTGGGCGTAAAAATAGAACCCCAAACTGTTTCGTTGCTGCGCCATGTGGAAAGTGTGCATGTTGAGTGTCTTGGAGTTAGTGCAGTGGCTGTTGTGTGGGCTAAAGCATATCGGTCCCCATCGAGTGATCCAGCACGTGCCTTATTCAATGAGCTGGCTTCCACCACTATTACCGGAGGCATTCAAATCGCCGGTAGTGAAGTACCGATCAGGTTGGTGGTAAATCATGAGCCGGTGTGGATCGGAGCTAGTGAGCACTGAGCAGTGCTAAACCTTGGAGATGTTACTTAACTATACTGAAAAGGCAGGAAGATGTTGACCATTCCTAGCATGATTCACAGCTACTGGAATAGGGATGAAGTCCCATCTAAAAGGGCTAATAACTGATAGGATAATTAAGAATGAATGACACAGCATTAAAAATGCTGAACAAAAAAGAAAGGCCCGAGCCCGGGATCGAACCGGGGACCTCGCGCAAGCTTGCTTTGGGTGAACCCTAAGCGCGAATCATACCACTAGACCACCCGGGCAATTCATGTTTAGTTATCAAAATTATGCCTACATCACACTAAGTGACGTGGGGAAGGCAAAAAGAAAAGCCCAGGCCCAGGCTTGACAGGGCTTTGTTGAACATTAGTCCCCCAAACAGTAGATTGTGCTAGGAACTATAGTAAGAGAGAATCACTGAATAGTATATATTTAAAAAAGAACATACCTACTACACCTTAGGTAATTAACATTCTAACCTAATAGTGAAAACTCTCTTTCAGTAGAGTTAGGAGTAAAGGAAAAAAAAGATAGAGGCCTGGCCGACCAGGGCCGATAATGCTCTGTATGACCAAAGCACAAATTATACTAGAGAACAATCAAGTTAGAAACTTCGAGGTAGTGTGCATTTAAGATGAACATACCCAGTAGACCGGGCGGGCGGACAAAACCTAGAGATCAGTAAAGGGTATCCAGAGAACAAAGCAACATATGCCATAATGCGAAAACAGAGGTGTTAGTAAATTAAGGCAATTTCAATTTCTACTAGTATCATTTGGAAGAAAATAGAAGAGAGAGGGGAAGGGGTGATATTCAATATACTACCTAGGTAGTAGAGCAAAGGTAACGCGTGCCGCGGAGAAAGACTCGGATGATTACAATATATACCTACTACTACTACTACTATGATACTAGATGAATTTTATAAAGAATCCTAATTGGATGAGATACTAGTAGTATAACTATATCCAAGAAGTATTTTCCATGTGTGAGGATGCTTAGGTGCTTAGGTACGCGAAGATCAAGATCTGACGAATAAAAACCAGACAGAGTGTAGTAACGGTTGATGAAAGCAAAAGGCCTGGGGAGAAGGGAAAGAATAATACAAAGCAAGTACAGGGTACGGATGAATAGTGCGGATACCTAGGCGCAAGGCACCAAGACGTAAGGCAACCAAGCAACCAGTGTTCATTGTATCATTCCCCTCTTTAAAAAAGTCAAAATCTCGATACTTGATTTTCTTCATAATTTAGTGCACCGATTTACATCCTATCATCACCAGTATTACTATTGCCGTTGCCGAAACGGTAACCAGTGCCAGAGGGTTAGCATCGAACTCTAAGTGCCGAAGCCACCACCAGAGCTACCACCAGTGCCATAACTTGCGAGTTGCTCAATGTTTCGAATAAATTCGGTGTAAAGATGGGAAATATCGAGCGGTTTATTAAGTCATTTGCAGGTGTTATCAAGTAAGAGTAAGGCCTAAGCCCAGGCTTTTCGAAAACGGAGATCTCGGCCACACCCGCGGACGTTCAGACAGAGGCTCGGAGTGTCGTGTGTAAGTAAGCCAACCAAGAAGTTCAAATAAGTTGATTGGGATCGAGATAGGAATAGGCTTAGAGCAGGTTGGCTTGCACTTGGTGCTCTCAGTGAAAATACTATTTTGGCTTTTTTCAGAAAGCAGGTTAATTGATATACGGAACGAGACTTGGACTTAAGCGAGGAGCTGGGAACAGGCTCGGAACAGGGTGGCCTGAGACAGATAGAATTACACTTGCTGCTGGAGTGAGCTGGTCAGAGCCTAGAGAGACTTAAGGGTGAAATAAAGCTAATTGAGATAGATGTCGAAAAGGCGACAAGCAAAAGCGACAAATTAGAGTGATGAATCGATGAGAAAAAGACTGGGTAATGGAGATAACCTCATTGCGGCCAACGACGGGATACACATAGTGTTCGTACACATGCAGCTTACGCAATATTTCGCGAGGTGAAACTAACAGCGAGTATCAAATGTGATCTTCTGTACGCAGTTTCTCGAGTTATGTCCATATCAGGGTGTACTACTACGACGCTCAGGGCTTGGAGCGAAGGAATCTTATTACAATGTAAGGATGCTCAGGTACGCGAAGATCGAGATACGAAGAATAAGAACCAGGTAACCTGCAGTAGTGGTTCGACGAAAGTAGTAAGTTTGGAGAGAAGGAGAAGAGGAGGAGGAAGAAGAAGAAGAAGAAGAAGAAGAAGAAGAAGGGTGGGGGCAAGAACAGATAAATTGTGCGCGTGGCAAGGCAATAACTAAGGCAACAACCAGGGTTTGTTACACCGTGTATGGTATCGTTCAACGGGCTGCAAGTACCTTCATCGAGTCACATTTTCTCCGTATCTCCTCTATAAAATATCACTTAGGCCAGTTGTTCAAAGAAAATTCCTGCTGATTGAGGCGATACAACTTGACCCAAATGAAGAAAGAATCGGCTCTTTCGTACGCTCATCGCATCGAGGAACCGCCCCGACGAAGCCATATGTAGAGCCACGGGAGATTGCCTACTACCAGTTGTCACCTCGTGTGATTTCTACGGAATGCGATTTTTCAAAGTTGGGTGCTGTCGTCATGGGGCTATACTCTATGATCTAACTCTTGTATTAACCACTCGATGAGATAAATCAATTTCTGTATAACTCCAAGAATATATTCCACACATAGCAAGTAAGACAGTCGCTTGACCTATCGAAAAGATGGTAGTCAAAAAATAATGTACGCAATACCAGAGAGGTGGCTTGGCGATGCAATCATTTTAACATCTACCTTACGAACACCTTGATAGCCTAGTTGAGAGATATTTAATTACTAAATCCATCTGAATATCATTTGACAATTTGATTAAGTTAAATTCTTGCTTTAGGTATAGGAGATCCCACCTGATTAGGTGTTTATCTTCTTTTTCTTCATCCTTCCTTTACTAAAGCAGGCAAAATTACAGTTTAACAATGAGAAAATTAGGCATCAATCCGCCCGGATGGTCTAGTGGGTATGTGACACTTCTAAGTCTCCACAAAACTAGAAATATATATTCTAACAAATTCTTCAGTATGATTCGCGCTTTGGGAAACTAAACTGTGCGAGGTCTCCGGTTCAATCCCGGATTCGGGCCTCTTTTTTTGTCTTTTTTCCCATTTCTTACTATATTGAGGTAGTATCATATACATAGAACTGGACCACGGAATATCAATTGCCCGGATGGTCTAGTGGGTATGTTATTTCTGAATCTCCGCATATTTAAATATATGTCCTAATAAATTCTTTAGTATGATTCGCGCTTTGGGAAACTAAATTGTGCGAGGTCTCCGGTTCAATCCCGGATTCGGGCCTCTTTTTTTTTTCTTTTTTTGCCTTAACTCTCACCTCGATTGGCAAAGTTGAAATCCAACTTTAGGCGTTCTGGGTGTGCATAATTCTAACCGATCAATGGGCCTTTTTCTTTTCTTGATTCATTTTTTACTCTAATGACTGACTAGTCGGCCTCCTAGGTAGACTTCCAACACCAATGAAACCCCTGGCACCAAGGAATCAACTGACCAAATCTTCAAGGATTCTAATATCCAGTCCCAAGGCCACCCACAGGGCCATGGGCTTCCTATCATACCATAGTACCACTTGCAGGCATGGCTTTCCCTTATCCTCACCTGGCTATGTGGGAATACGGTAGTAAGCTTAGGTAGTAGCTCGACAGTGTGGCCTCCATGAAGTCATTAGACCTCGGACGGGATATGATACTACTACCCAAGTACTAGTTGCCCAGGTGAGGACTAGAGACCGTAACGAGTTCCAAGGTTGTTACTACTGCTATGCTACTAGCTACGGTCTGCAGAGGTGAAGCTTGAAATGAGAAATCGCCGTTCGTGATTCGGAAGACTACCTAGGTAGAGCTAGCAAAAAGAAATCACAGAGGGCCCAGTATCACAGTGACATATCCATCCACTTGAATCATAACTATCGCTTGGATGTGAAAACAAACACTAAGAGATGGTCGTTGAAGGAAAAGAGATACATGTACAAAGTCGTGCCTACCATTCAAGTTCATGCACGCCTAAAAACACAGGAAAACCAACGCCGAGGAAAATGCTGAGGAAGTGAGCCGAAGCGTAGCAAGGCAGCGTTTCAATTGTCACTACCGAACTCTCCTCGCGGGTTTCTTCGGGAGCACCTCGCCCAGTTCGGACCAAGCGTCTTCGAAAACGGTCTTCCGCGGACCGATTTGTCCCTCGTAGAAGTTCAGCTTGCGGACAACTTCCATTGCACCGGTGCCCAGTCCCATGGTCTTGCCCATAATAATACACTCAGAGACACCCTCAATGAGATCGGTACGGCCGGCACCACCGGCGTCAAACAGGTGATCTGCGGTCTTCTCGAACGAGGCGAGTTGAAGAACAGAGTCACGCATCTTGGCCAGACCGAAACGAGTAATACCCAGTACCTCACCCTTGTAAGTCATGACATCAGCCAGAAGTTGCATGTGACGAGGATCAATGTCCATGTCTTTCATGACCTCACTGATCTCAGTGACGATCGTGCTTCTCGCAGCTTCGATACCAAGGACCTGGCGGGCCTCCATGACATTGTTGGTTGTGGTTCGGAGACCGTCAACACCCACTGTGGTCATACACTCTCGTAGACCGTAGCCTTCGACCAACAAGGTATTGGTAGTGGACGTCTCATCTGTTCGGATGATAGCACGGTAGGCACGCGGGTGCCCAAGGATTTGAATACTGGGCAAAATACGCTTAAGATGCTTCAGACGCAGGAAGGGGTCAGCACTGGTAGCTGCGATCTCAGTCTTCGACAAGTTGTTTTTGCTGGATGGATCCAGGTCAATGGTGACCTTGATGGAGCGCCCAGTGGTACTGAACTTGAGGTCATCGCCCTTGAAACGCTTGTGGTTCTTAATCGCAGCGACAATCTGGGGCATACGAAGCTCAAGCTGCAGATCATTGATTGTTTTGAAGTTGATCCTGGCCTTCACGTAAGCCTCGTTTCCGTTCCAATTCTCAGTAACCGAGTGAATGATATCTCGTAGATATGTCTTCTCAATTCGACCCTTGACAATACGAGCTGCAGCAATGCTGTCCTTGGTGACCAGTTCGCAAGCCACAACAGGAGTACTGATCTCCTTGGAAGCGTTGATAATTTCCTTAATACGGGGCACACCCTGAGTGATACTCATACCGGCGACACCAGCGAAATGGAAGGTTTTCAAGGTCATCTGCGTACCGGGCTCACCGATAGACTGGGCACCAACGGCACCGACTGCATGACCAGGCTCGACTTGCGCTCTCTTGTACTTCAGCAAACATGCCGTGATGAAGGCCTTTAGAGTAGTCCCTGTCAGCTTGCCAGTGTGGTCTAGGCCCTTCCGACTCCTCGCGTCTGATGGATCAAAGTCACCACCACGAGAGATAAGCCTGTCAGCCTTGGTTTGGACATATTGTTGGATAGAATCAAGGAAGTCACGAGCACTCTCAAATTGATCAATGCCATTGTCGCTGCGATCCATATAGCCCAGTTGATTGCCCATCAAATCCTTGCGGATGAGCTTAGCGCGTTCCTTTGAGAGCATCTCCTCACACACCTCCATGATTTCGTTAGGTAGCAAGCTTCGCTCGTCGTTATTGTAGGTTGTGGACTCGGAGTGGATGAAAGTGCGGTCGAAGTGGACAGGCTTGGCTTTACCCTCCATATCCACCGGGTCCAACTTATCATCACCATACTGGAATTGGACAATGGCAGAGGACGAGTTCCGAACGGTGTCGTCGTACTGCGACGAGAGATCTTCAAGAGACTTCATCAATCGACGGGACATGTAACCAGTTTCAGCAGTCTTGACAGCCGTATCAACCAGACCTTCACGACCAGACATAGCGTGGAAAATGAATTCCGTGGGCTCGAGACCCGAGAAGAAACTATTTCGAACGAATCCCTTTGAGGGGGGCTGACGGGCATTTTTGGGGAAATGAGGCAGAGTTCGGTCCTGGAAACCATCCAGTACACGTTGTCCACCGATAATTTGTTGACCGACAAGGGCAACCATCTGTGAGACGTTGATACTGGAACCCTTGGATCCAGAAGTGGCCATGATCAAGGGGGAATTGTATTTGCTGAGCTGCGCGATACATTCGTCACCAGCCTGTTGACGGACCTTACTCAAGATACCGGACAGCTGGTTCTCCATAGTTTGCAACTCGTCACAACCAGGATACTTCTCCAGCGTACCAGCCTTGTACTGGGCAATAACTTCGTCACAAGCGGCGTAAGCAGTTTCAACCAAGTCATTCTTCGACTGAACCAGTTGCGCACTAGGATAAACATCGGTGATACCAATAGAAAATCCCATGTTAGTGAACCAGCGCGCAGACAGTTTAGACAAACGGTTCATGCCCTCGGCAGCTGCAGGAGGACCGAAATCACGAAGCATAATGTAGAAAACATTGTCCTTTTTTCCGGAACCGATGGTGGACTTATCCATGACACCGCACATAACCTCAGAATTGCGAATGACTAGCCAAGCATCATGCGGATCAAGGTCCTTTGGTCGGCCGTCTTTGGGTTGCTTAAATTGACGACATGCAGCGTCGAGGTTAACGAGAACGGGATCATCGGTATTGGGACGCATCATTATATTGAAGACCTGCTTACCCGTCCAAAGCGCCTGAGGCTTCAGAACCGCTGGTGGAGGCAAGTCAAAACGTGTTTGTGGACCCAGCATGTAAAGACAGATCTGCGTGAACGAGCCACGGTCGTAGAAGTTGTCCTTGCTACTGAGAAGGAAAGCAGCACTGATAAAATCCTGGATAGCAGAAATGATAGGCTCGCCGTTCTTGGGCGTGGCCAAGTTGTTCTTCACACCCATCAACTCCATAGCCTCTGCTCTGGCCTCCTCTGTCTGTGGGACGTGCAAGTTCATCTCATCACCATCAAAATCGGCATTGTAAGGGTTACAAACACACTCGTTGAGTCGGAAAGTTCGATGCGGTCGGACTTTAGCAAAATGGGAAAGAATACTGAGCTTGTGCAGCGATGGCTGTCGATTGAAGAGAACGATATCACCGTCCTCAATATGACGCTCCACCTTATCGCCTTCTTGCAGCTCACTAGCCATGTGTTTGAGGCTACCATACTTCAGCATGGTTCTGAACGTGGATCCCTTTTTGTACAGATAGTTGGCACCGGGCCACTTCGTAGACCCATTACGCACTCGTTCTCGTAGCTTTTCGATGTTGTATCGAGTGACAACCTCAGGATAAGTCATGTTCTTCGCCACCAATTCCGGGACGGCGACCTCGTCGACTCGCAGATTAGGGTCGGGCGAAATGACCGTACGACCGGAGAAATCGACACGTTTTCCAGACAAGTTACCACGGAAACGACCTTGTTTACCCTTGAGTCGTTGAACGAAGCCGCGAATAGGTTTTCCGAGATCCGCCTTGTTGAGACCGGGCACATCGCTGTTAATGTAGACTGCGATTTGAAGTTGCATATAGTCCCAACATTCCACAATGGTCTGAACTGGAGCACCCTTGAGAAGAGCATTTTTGAGGTTGATATTGCTCTGGACGATATCACCCAGCTTGGCAGTCAAATCATCTTCAGTCGAGGCAGCATCTTGGCCAACGGAGGGACGAATGCAGACGGGAGGAGCTGGGATAAACTGCCAAAGGAACATTTCCGGTCGTGCTTCTTTCGGATCAAGACCGATCAGCTCGCAGTCACTGTCAGAGATTTTCTTGAACAGTTTGAGAACACGGAGCGCATTTAGATCGTCTTGTGCCTTCTTGAAATGCTTCTCGACCTCAGGGTTCACGTGTCGTGCCTCGGAAAAGGAGTCATCAAAAACTTGTTTGCTCAGCGGGGGCTGCTTTTTCACGGAGGTTGATGCGTTGAATGCGCGGAATTTGTCGTGAGTGATCTTCAACGCACTCGAGCCGACCTTTTTCACGACACCGTTGATCGCGCTACAATGTTCACACTCCCGAGTCTTTCGGCATCGCTCATTAATTCGCTTCGCAATTTGTGTTCGTCGTAGGTTGTCTAGACCGGGTCGTCGCATCTCGCGCAAGAAAGAGCGCCTTTCCGCCTCCGGAAGCAAAATGCGAGAGCATTCCTTGCAGATTTCCTGAAGCACAGCAATAACACGCTTGAAATAACCGACGTGAAATGCCGGCAAAACCAATCTTACATGACCAAAGTGACCATTGCATTCCTTGAGGTGATAGCCGCAAGTTTGGCACGTTGATGTCTTGTTCGAAATGCCCATGCGCGCATCGAGAGGGCCATGGGCAACGACCGCGCGGTCACGGTCGAGGTCGAAAAACTTTCTGTCGGAGACTTCGACAACGGCTTGGCCGACAATATCATCATTTGTCCTGGAGAGACACCGTATGTTAGTGATTGTTTCCGCGCTAGCCAAAGCAGTCTAGCTCGGCTTTCGGGATAAGAATGGGAACCCCGTACAATACGCCGAATTTCAGCTCCTTGATCACTTTGGGGACACGGTCAATGACCTGGGCCTTGCCCAGATCAATCTGTGCACCCTCTGAAGGCTGCATCGCGCCGTTGTCAACGGTGGGACATGGCAGGGTGACTCAAGGCAATGCGATCGACACGAGCGGCTCTCAGCCACAACTTCGTAAGGCGGGTAGCACTGTAGAACCTGAGCTTCGGATCACCGGGAATAGACAGAACAGAAGGTAGCGAATAATACCCGAACGAGGATAGAGAGAAGAAGAAATGTGAATGGGGCTGGGAGAGGAATTGGAGAGAAGCAGCGTATGGCGGGGCGGTCCCACGAACTTTTTTTCTGCTGTATCTGACCGCCCGAGTATACTCATACTACTTCCATCAGGAAGGTAGGTGACGACCATATAGGAACTTGATAAAAGTATTGTTGATGTTGTACAGGTGGTATTTTGGTAATATGTAATATGTTATACACAATCATTTAGATAGGAAAGCTTGGAAAGCCTTCTGCTCGATGACCACATTTCCAACGGCTCGGAGCCTTTTACGACCTTCCTTCTGCTTCTCCAATAGCTTTCGACGACGACTCACATCACTGGCGTGAAGCTTGGCCAGAACATCCTTGCGGTAGGGCTTGATGGTCTCACGCGCGATGATCTTCTTGCCCACGGCAGCTTGAATGACAATTTCGAACAGCTGTCGGTCGACGTGTTGCTTGAACTTGGTTACCCATATCCTGCCTTGACGGGCCACTTGGCTCATGTGCATGAGCCGGGATACGGCATCAACGGGAACCTTGTTGACCAAGAGCTGGAGCTTGACAATATTGCCGGCCCTCCAAGCAGATTCTTCGTAGTCGAGACTGGCATATCCTTTGGTAGAGCCCTTCAATTTTCCAAAGAAGTCATCGACCAAATGCGCCAAGGGCAGTTCATATTTCATAATGACCTGGCTCGCGGTGAAGTACTCGATACTTTGCTGTTCGCCTCGATTGGACTCGCAGAGCTCAATGACCTTGCCCAGATATTCATCAGGGAAAGTCAAAGTAGCCAGCACATATGGCTCTTGAACCTCGGCAAGCTTTAAACGTACGCTATCATCGTCGCGGAACTTGGCTGGGTTGGTGATAATTTCCTCGGTACCATCCTTCCATAACACCTTGACTGGTACGGATGGCGGAGTGATTATGATACTCGCACCGTGCTCTTGTCGGAGTCGATCCTCAAATACTGAGCAGTGAAGGGTACCCAGAAATCCCATGCGGAACCCTGCACCGAGCGCTTCGGAGGACTCCTTTTGAATCGTAATACTGCGGTCATTCAGGATGAGCTGGTTAACACTGTCTTCGAGATGCTCGAAAAGATCCTGGTTCATAGGATAAACAGCGACAAAGACCATTGACTTCGGCTCCTCAAAACCAGGTAAAGCCTCAACCGTCTTCTCAAACCCGACTCTTGTGAAGGTGTCGCCGATCTTGGCCTCCTGGCTTCGCTTCATGCCGGGATTGAAGTAAATATATCCGACCTGGCCGGCCCGGATAACAGATTGTGCGGTCTCAGTGGGGTACATAATTCCAACCTCGCCGACGTAGTACTTGAGGCCCGTTACGAACGACACGAGTTGCTGACCTGCACGCACCTCGCCATCGAAAACGCGAACCAGGAGAATCACGCCCTTATAAGAATCATACCAGGAGTCAACAAGCAGCATTCGAAGGGGTTTCTTGGAGTCGCCAATAGGTCTAGATAAAATTTTAGTAAAGAGTGTCTCAAGTTAAAGCCACGTCTTTAAGGCAAGGAGACATACGCTGGAATCTTCTCAACGACAGTTGGTAGGATGGCCGCAACATTCAATCCAGTCTTGGCCGACACCATCACTGCATTTTCCGTATCCAGCTCAAACGCGCTCTTCATTTGGTCCAAAGCCCGCTCTGGATCCGCCGACGGAAGGTCGACCTTGTTAATAACGGGAATCAACTCCAATCCTTGCGCAAAGGCCAGGTAGAAGTTGGCAACTGTTTGCGCCTGAACACCCTGACTAGCATCAACTAGAAGGATCGCTCCCCCACAGCTGGCATAACTACGCGATACCTCAGCACGGAAATCGACATGCCCAGGCGTATCTACCAGGTGCAACAAATAGTCTTCGCCATTGTGGTTGTAGATCATGGTACATGTCTGTGCCTTGACAGTGATACCCCGTTCGCGTTCAACGTCCAGTTTATCCAGCACTTGTTTATTCATTCCGGGCTGAATGGTCCCCGTGATCTCGAGCAATCGGTCGGAGAGTGTGCTTTTGCCATGATCGACGTGTGCAACGATGCAGAAGTTGCGGAATCGGTCAATGGGGATATCGGCGATGCGGCGTTCGAGGTCGGTATCCGGGGCGCTTGGGGCAGACTTCGATCGAGCGCGCCATGTTGCAGAGGTCGTGAAAGATCGTAGGGAATTAATAGACCGGAGTGGAAAGCCAGCCGACGACTTGAGGCCCGCCGCCGGAGATCTCGGCGCTGCGCTCAGCCATCGGGCTAACTGCAGACATCCTCGCATCAGGATTCGTGCAGTGGCATGGAAAGCGAAAGATCGCCTATGTGAATTGGCAGTGAATGCAATTTCACGAGTGTCGCAATAATGCAAGCTCAAGTCAGTCGAGTTGCGGAGACAAAAAAACGGGCGCGCGGGCGGTCTGCGAACTCCGATCGATCGCTGCGGCGACTATCGAACATAAACAAACCCACTTCCAATCTTTCCCAATTGCATTGCTCCTCCATTGCTGTACGCTTCGTCCAATATCACCATGCCTGAGACGAAAGACAAGTCCAAGGTTCACAGGCTGTCCATCAGAGGTTTGTGAATGAGTTCCGGTAATTCTGTGACATGGGATCCCAGATCTAACAGTACCACAGGATCGGCCAAGCTTGTGTCTGAATTCGTGAGTCGCAGCTCTCACCCCCCTCTCGACAAAATACGAGTACTTATGCAGATATAGTTTGAATACTCGATCAACTCGATCCTGTGAGTTATTCCCAAAAAATATTCATTCCCATTAATTGAAGCTCACAACAACCAAAAGTTTCCAGCGAGGAGTCTACCCCCCCCAGAAGATTTTACAACGTAAGGTTCCACCCCTCTTCTCTGTGCTAGTGGGAAAAGGAACTGACATACCCCAGCGTCAAGAAATATGGCCTCAATATGCTCGGTTCGTGTCTTCGAAACCTCTACCTCCGAATTCCTTCCCCCGAACGACCGGAACTAATACTCTACCGAAGTGTCCGCCGATGACCAGGTGAAGGCGTATATCAAGAAGATCATGTCGCAATTGAACAAGTGGATGTCGGGTGGAAAGATATCCAAGCTAGTCGTCGTCGTCACCGACAAGGAAACCGGCGAGCACGTGGAGCGATGGCAGTTTGATGTATGTCGATTCAGCCTTTTGAGTACCGTTGTTCTCGACCGACTAATTTGCGTTTTAGGTCGAAATCTTCAAAAGCTCGAAGAGTTCAAGCTCCCGGAAAACAACAGATAAGGAGAACTCGGCTCCGGGGTAAGATATATTCCTCCCATGTTAATCGCTCTTGACTAATTCTGTTTGCCTCCTAGGGACGCGGAAGCCCAGCCTGCGGAGCCAGTTGAGAAAACGGAGAAGGAGATTCAAGAAGAGATTCAAGCAATCTTCCGTCAGATCACCGCTTCGGTCACCTTCCTCCCGGTCCTAGATGGAGACTGCACCTTCAATGTCCTTGTCTACGCCGATGCGGATTCGGAGGTACCTGTGGAATGGGGTGACAGTGATGCCAAGGAGATCAAGAATGCCGAAAAGGTGCAGTTGCGAAGCTTCAGCACGAACAATCACCGAGTGGGCACTCTTGTCAGCTACCGACTGGCGGATTAAGCTGTTGGCGCTACTTTATGACTCGATACGAGGATTCTCTATGCATTGGCGTTTGAAGGGGAGTTGTAATGTTAGTCCTTTGGTACAATCAAGGATAAGGATTGTTAATGAACATTTCATTGATATCTATACATTTGTTGTCACTGTTTGATATTTCCGTAAAACCAAGGCAGTTCCCTAATTATTGGGAATAGCTCATTGCCCGCCCCGCCATCCCAACGAAGGAGCTTTATCACGGCCGGATCTAGCCCTTTGTTGGAAAAGATATCTCCCTCCATCCCCGGAGACCAGCCCCGATTACTGCGCTTCCCTGCTAGCTCTTCACCAACTCCGTAGAGATCTCCTTTCCAGATGCCAATCCCTTTTGACATCTCTCCTCGTACCAGTGACTCGAGGGGAGTGACTTCTTCTGGGGGATTGATGCCAATTAAACTAACGTGATTGGCCTCCAATTGAACCTCGCCATCGATGGGAAGGGGAAGTAGGCCAACGGCTGGTAGGTGGAAATCCATAAATCTTGCTCTCTTAAACTCATGCGTAACAATAGTGATCCGCCGAGGCCAAGTACCCACATAAAGACGAAAATGGATGAGAGAGAATAAAATATTCTGATAAGAGTCTGTTGCATGGGGTTCAACTGTGATTTTGGACTCATCAATAGAATATCCGAAGAGCTGGTTATCCTTGCAGAAATTCTGTGAGATCGAAGTCAGCACCTGGGTTCTGAATAGAATCGTACTCGAACTTTCCACGGGGTAGCCATACGAAATAAGACTGCCCTTCACTGAGTTCCGTTCTTGGATTTTTCGTTGCGCCACTGGAAAGATCAGTACATAATCAAAAGTTGATAGACATGTCAATCGACCCCAAAGTACATAGGACACCACATACCCAGAGAATACCAGCAGCCCCCGATCGTCCTTCATCAATTCATCAAGCCCAGCTTTGGCATGGCTCATGAACGTAGGGGTTTCGCCTTTCTGAAATGGTTCTATTATCCTGAGAGCGGCGAACAAACATCAGGAATGATGTCCAGCAAGCTATGGCAATAATGGATTCGCATGGACTGACCATTCGTCCTCTGAGTTACCAGACAGGGGCCCTCCAATGTAGATTGCATGACAGCAGACAATAATTATGTGGTCAAGATCCATCACAGTGACCTAGTGCTCGCACCTCATCGCTCAATTGACTTAGTTGTTGGGGTTCAAGTTGGGATATCAGACCAACCTCGGAAATGGAGCGGGTCGTGGGTGGCGCCAAGAGATGCCCGCAGATCCCAAGAACTATATCCTTGAAATCATGGATTCTCCAAGCTACTAGTACTAGACCTGTTATAAATTTGAAAGCATACTACCTACTACTATAACTAGGTATCCACCTAGCCAATTATCTAATTCGAAACCGAATAGTATTCTTCCAAGGTTGTTGTAAAAGAGGTCCCAATTCAGGTAAACATCATTATGCCCAGGTGTTTTGAACTAATATTTCATAGTACCTCGCATTAAATCACTGAAGCAACCTCGAAAATCCCTCTTCAGGCGGCTGCAACCAATTCCTCCGATCATATTCCCACCCCTCCGCCCCCTCAATAACATGAAAAGTATACGCAAACCGACTATTCGGACTCGTATTCTTCTCACTCTTATGCAGTACATTCCCATGAATAAGCACCAAAGACCCAGCCTTAATATCCAAAATCTCAAGATCCTCATCACTAGGCTCAGAAACCTTCTCCTCCTCCATCCCTTTCGGCAAAGCCGGCCCCATATTCTCAACAAACTCCGTCCCCGCCCCATCAACCTTCCTCACAAATCGCCTGGCAATATGTCCCCCTTTCGCACCTTTATGTGAACCCTTCCACATCCCCAACGTCGCATTACCGGGCCTAGCATCCTGAAGCGCATACCACCAGCCCACCGCGGACGGCGGATCTGTGTACAAGAATTCCGAGTCTCGATGCGCGGGGACCGCGCCGCCGATGGAGGGCTGTTTGAGAATAACCATACTCTGCAGAACGCGCGGGTCCTTGAAGCCGAGAGATTTCGCGACGTCCGCGTTCCGCTGATTTAGGGAGATTGCTTTGAATGGTGGCGAGAGGGTGTGGAGTGAGTGGCCGATTTTGTTGACGGCTAGGTTCTTTGGTTTGATGAGGGCGGGTCGACCGGTTAGAGGGTCAGGTTCGGTGGTGAAGGCGTCTGGTTCGAAGAAGTAGCGGATTTTGTCGCCGGATGTTAGGAAGTAGTCGTCGCCGACGTGGTCGGCATCATCATCGTCGCCGTCGCCTGTCGTGAATTGGGTGAGTGGGTGGGATTCTAGAGAGAAGGTGTCGAGGAGGGTATTTGTTTCCGTGAGGGCGGATGCTATCTCGTTTGGGCTGAGATAGTCTGGTAGGACGAGGTAGCCGTTTTCTTGGAATGAGGTGACCTGCTCTGGGGTGAGGCCGACCATGTTGACGGTGTTCAAGATGGTGTACTAGTATCACTTGCGAATAGCTGAGGGGGTTGTTGGGTTGCCTTGCGGAGGGGCCAAGGTCTTAGCTTTTAGAATGGCGGGGAAGCTGATAAGCGATATCTTTTGGCCGCGGGATTGGCTGCTCCACGACTACAATGTTGCATGCCCAGAGCCAACGAGAACCAATTACGAATATAGTTCATGGTAATAATTTGCATAGCCAGCAAGTAGGAATCATCTGGACGATAATTTAGTGACTACGTACGTTATTGGTAATTTGGAGTAAATAGATATGCTTAAATTCAAAGGTATCAATCATTCTCCAAGAGCCCCGGAGTCGTCATTCGAGTGTATACAGACAGGAGGCGAAAATGCCAAAAAAAGAAAGAACCTAACGCCACATGTGCCGGATATCCAAGTAAAAGAGTCGAATACACAATCTGAAATCATGGTCGCCAAGACCCGGGATATAAAACAATCAACCGCCTAAAGAACCCCCAAAAAATAGAGCAAAGCAAAGCAAAGCAAAGCAAAGCAAAGCAAAGCAGAAACGTAACAATACATGAGTCATAATATGCAATGAGAATCAAATGGTATGAAGGGTATTGGGGGAACTTTTTAACTGGCATAGCCGATCGATGCTGAGGCGCGCGGTGGAGCATATTTCCGAACTGTGCGACTTGGACTGCACGCGACAGAGCCGATGTCAATAGTCTTTAGTTCCCGGCTAAGTGCGTCCATCCCGGAATTACCGCTGCTTGGGTTACTAGACGTCACAGGGTAGGAGGGAGCACCGGAAGAAATCGGTACTTTGGACGGTATAGGAGGGCCGGCGTTGTAGTCGTACAGCGGAGAACGGGAGCTCGGTGATGGAGACACGGAGCCGCGGTGAGAAGAACGTGGCCGGTCGATTGAGGCCGGGGTACTGTAGCCCCGACCATGGGTGTAGCTGTTCGCATAGCTGTCCTGACCACGATCGACTCGCGGGGGCGTTCGGTCTATGGAGTCGGAGCTGTGGACGTGGGTAGGAGTGTATCTCTTGCCTGGGCGATCAGCACCGTAGGTAGTTGTTTCCGTGCGGAATCCTACACGGGGTGGAGCCGCGGTGCGGGATGTGGTGTCGTTTCCTCGAGACGTCGGTCGGTCTCGGGGACTGTGCTTGAATCGAATGATGACCTCTGGTTTCCGGTTCTTTCGCTCTGGCTCAGGTGCCCATGTGTCGGTTGGCAAGTGATCCGACGGATCGATCTCACGACCATCATCACCGATGATAGGCTGGCTCAGGTCTCGAACAGGCTCGATCTCTGCTCGTAGCGCGGCGTCTCGAGCTTGAGAAGGTGAGTCATATGCCGGTACTGGATCGCGGCCAGTGGCCGAGCGGGCAGCATTGGGATTGAAGTTGTTATATGAGTCAGGGGAGAAGGGAATTGAGGAGCCTCCGCGCGAATCGGAGGACGAAGGTCGCGGGCTCACTGACTTCCGGGTTACCATACGGGTCTCTGTATTGGGGTATTCCCGGCTCGAGATACTAGCTCGATCGTCCAGTGGCTTCGGGGATGTTCTGAGGGGATAAACCGGGGCATCGTAGGGCGAGGGAGCCCGGGTGTTTGAACGAATGGACCCCGGTGATGGCTGTTGGGTAATCATCATCTCATCATCAACGTGAGTGCTTGGCCTGCGGACGCGGGTTTCAATCACTTGTCGCTCAATTGCGTCCTCACTTTCATACCCAGCAACGAGACTAGCCGGCATAGGCGAAGCATTGGGAGAGTGCCCGGGTGTATAGGGCTTGTAGGGTGATACAGCTTGGGTCACTGGTTGCTGAGGAGATGGGATAGGCTGAGCCATACGAGACCGATGAACGGGCGGCGGCGGGGGAGGTCCATCTTCGTCCTCATCTTCGACACGGGGCTGCATTGTTGCATACTCCGGATGGTAATCATCCCGACGATGCACAGGCTGCAGGGCTCTGCTGTCGTGGGATTGGTACCGGAGGTCATCGCCCGGACCGGCAGAAGAGCCGGGTCGAGAGTGATCAGATGGCATGGGCTCATCGACATGAGCATGATGGCGTGGCGTGAAAGTAGAGACATGCCCAAATGTCACGGGGTTTGCTGTATACTGGGGTGATATCATGCTATAGGCATCGTGGGGATGTACTGGCTCGTCATACATTGACCGTCCGCGCATGTCAGTCTCAAACGGTGGCTCACTTGTGGAGCGATAGTCGCGGGAGGGAGGTTGATCAGAGTCAGATTGGCTGCGTGGTTGCAATGGTCGTAAGTCGTAGGCTGATTCTGCGTATGGCATCCCCTGCGTGTTCCGTCGCATTGTCCCGGCCGGGGGAAGAGCGGGAGCTGGGGTATCCCATTCACGCTGATAATTATCGTGGGCCTCGTAGCCTCCTCGGGGATGCATGGGAGGTGGTTGGTGTTGTGGTTGTGGTTCATAAGACGGGGCGTCGTAAGCAGGTTCGGGGTTTCGTAAAGGAGCAGGGTGTGCGGCTGGGCCGTCAACCTGTGACATGCTGTGGGCGTGCTCACGCATAGCTGGTCGTGACGGTACTGGCTGCTGCAGCGGAGGAGCTGACTGTGGTTTTTCCATTGGAAAAGGGCGAGGAGGGACGACTCCGGAGGGGTCTGTTGGCAACGGGCGTCGTTTGACTTGGTTTAGTTGTCGAGGACCAGAGAGGCCGGAGCTTGTGGTTGTAGTGGGTTTGCCTTGAATTCTCTCTGCAGCTTCTTTCCGTCGTTCGATCACAGCCTCATCTTGTTGTCGAGTATCGTAGTAGGTCATTTCAATTCGAATGTCGCCTGAGTATTTGCCTCGGCATTGTAACGAGTGCCAGTGGTCATTCTGGCTTCCTCCGGGGATGATTAAGTTTTGCAAGTCCACCCATGTCTCTCCGATTAAGTCTGTCTTTTTATCGTCGTTGAAGACAGACACCTTCAATTTATAGTAGTCAGGAGACTCGTGTACAGTGAAACGCAATTCGTGGTCCCTGTGGTAGGCGAGATTAGCATCATTCAAGAGCTCCAGGGTCCCCGCTGCGATAGTGGTGATAAGCTTACCATCGTGGTGTTTGTCCGCCTCGTAGATCTGTTGGGGTCTTCTTCGCTTCTTTGCCAAGTCGTGCAGCACAATAGGGATTCTGTTTGCCCATGGTTTTGCGATTGGGCAGGTTCTTTGCTCGATCGATAATGGCGACGAGAGTACCGATTGGGGGTCCATCGACCGACATATCAGCGAAGATGCCGGCGGCATGATTGATTTTGAAGAGTTTCGACATGGTAGCTCTCTTCTAACGCTTGATACGGTACAAGCGAGAGCTCAATGAATAAGAAAATGGTAGCATCGAATGTTGTCTCAGGAGAGATCTTAGAGGAGAGAGAAGGAGAGAGAGAGAGCAGAGGAAGGAGGGGAAAGAAAAAAAGAAAGATAAAGGCTCCCTTATGGAATGACAGATGTGGTAATGCGGTATTGGTGGTGGCTGGGGATGCGGAAGATATCCGGCTTCTGATTGGCCGGTTCCCCTGAATTTGGCGCCTGGACTGGGCGATATGACAATACGTGACCATTTATGACCATACATTGATCGGCGTCATCGATAAACAAGGCCCAAGCTGACGATCATCCCCTCCTTCTCTCCTCCTCATGATGCTTATGATGGCTGGTTTTGCTTCTTTTTGCTTCGTTTGGCTCATGTTTCTACCAACAACTCGTCAGTGGCCCGCGAAATAGATTAGCCAGACTCCATTTCATTCTACAGACTACCCAACCCCGACTAGGTATTGAGAATGAGGTGGATCGGCAGCGTCAGCTCCCATCAGTACCCCAGCCACCTCGATCCACCGATCGATACATTCCTGGCGCAGGGCGGGCAATCATTGGCGACTGGTTCACAGATCTAGCAAACCAATAGTGCGGTGAATCCGGTTTCGTTGTTTCAGCAGAGCCTTTAGCTGTCACCCCACCAGGACGCAGCATACAGCATAGCACTCCGCAGTACAAAGTACACAAAGTACACACAGCTGTGTGCCCCGCATTGCCATAACAACCAACCAAACACCCAAACACTCCTCGACCGCCACTTGCATCCCCCGAGCTTCCTGATGAAACCGATTCTCGCCCTCACCTCCACGTATATCATCTTCAATTAATTGTCTGAATAGGTGAGACAGATCGAAACGGTGCCACCATCCCCTACTATCCCCTACGTCCCCACGTCAGACAATTGGCGGTTGCCTGTATTACTTCACTGCCCCGACCGAGGCCGATTCTGCCGGGCGTCTGGGGCCGAAATCTATTAAAAGGCACACCCCGTCCACAAGAATATGGAAGCCTGCTGTCACTGATCAGTAGTCAGCTTGGAAAATATCTTGATCTGGGATGATAGTATGACCATATATCATCGAAGTACGGAGTAGGGTGCACACTTTGAAAAGATCCCAACGATCCAGGGAGTGCTTCAATGCACCAGAGTTTACAGTGGGGTCTCGTTCCGATATCATACGAACACGAAGCTCATCCTCGCGTCCAGGCCATTCAGGCTTTGTCGTAGCATGCCATTTTCAAAGACCTTGGAATAAATGCCTCTCGGGCTTCGCTCTTTCTGTGGTATTTCGACGTGGGCGCGCGGCGCTAGTTCGCTGCCTTGTCGTACATACAGCTGGTTAGAACTCTGGAATATAGCGAAGTAATTACTAGAATACCTACTAAGATATAAAGAGCATAATACTAGATAAGGAGACAGAAATACTCGAAAGGAGATAGTAATATCCCAACGCCGCTTTCTGACGTAGACTGGTACTAGCTTCTCGACTTACCATCACACAGGCTATCTATGGCGACAACGTGACATTTTGTCAGGCATTTTGGCGTACCTATAACACGACGTACTGTGATTAATAGTCGACTTGGAGGTAGTGATTCCAAGATTACTACCAATGGGAGTCTCATTTCAATCTACGCGAATTGTTGACGTATTGCGCGATGTCGCTTTATCATAATCCCGCAGGTAATGCCGCGGGCTTTTGTTCTCGGCAATATCGCCATGCTGAAACTCCGATTGCGAATGTCCGGGATGAACTATATAACCAATAACTGCGAGCATGATTTTTATACTTACTATGAAAAAACGGTTCAACCATTAACACTGGTTGGTTTTCTCCGTCCACATCTTGAATCTTAAAACTTGATTTCCTGTTCTTCCTGTCGTTCCCAACATGGCCGTCGTTTCCGAGCCCACTGTCTCCAACAATGAGATTTCCCAGAAAGTCAAGAACTCACAGGCGTCATCCCACTCTCGAAGCATATCCTGGGTTAAAGGTATCCTCTTCCACACGCATCTTGACGACAATGTCTGCAGCCAGAATTATGCTGGCAAAGGTACAAAAGATGATCCATACATTGTCGATTACCTGAACAACGACCACCAAGACGCCATGAATTTTTCCGATAGGCGAAAATGGGCCATCACCATTTTCCAGGCCCTATCCACGTTTGTGGTGACATTTTCCAGCTCGGTATATGCGAGCGGCATCGGAGGCATCGAGCAGCGCTTTAATACGTCCGAGGAGGTGGCAACACTGGGCTTGTCGCTTTTCGTGTTAGGTTTCGCCATAGGGCCACTGATATGGGCACCTCTGTCAGAGATGTACGGCCGAAAGTCCATATATGTGATTTCGTTCATGGTGTACACTGCGTTCTGCGTGGCGGCGACCTGCTCGCCCAACATCACGGCCTTGTTGGTTCTTCGCTTCTTTGCCAGCGCCTTTGGTTCGTCGGCAATGACCAATTCCGGGGGCGTCATTGCCGACATGTTCAACAAGACGCAGCGTGGAGTGGCGATGGGGTTGTTTGTCATGGCTCCTTTTCTGGGCCCTGCACTTGGTAAGTGGTAGTTAGAAGATGCCGTTTTTACTTGTTGCCATTTCTTGTCATTTTTGCCCTTGTACACTTGCTGAAACTTGCTAAACTGTTTTTATTTTTAGGGCCTATTGCCGGTGGCTTTCTTGCAGAGAAACAGGGTTGGCGCTGGCCTCTCGGTTTAATCGCTATAATGGCAGGTGTGGTCTCGATGTTCACGATGCTGATCACCCCCGAAACATACGCACCATTCATTCTGCAATGTCGAGCGCAGGCCCTCTCCCGGATGACAGGAAGAGGATATGTGTCTCGGCTCAATGTGGGAAAGCCACCCATGACCTTCTTGCAAGAGCTCTCGATCTCTCTCACGCGCCCCTGGATCTTATTGTTCCGCGAACCTCTTGTCTTGCTGACGTCGCTGTACGTCGCTATCATCTATGGCACACTTTACATGTTCTTTGCCGGGTTTCCAATCGTCTTTCAATATACTCGAGGCTGGAGCCAGGGCATCGCCGGACTTCCGTTCATCGGCGTCGCAATTGGCGTCTGTCTTGCGACGCTAGCGGCCGGCGTGGACAACAAACGCTATGTGCGTCTGTGTGAGGAGACCGAAGGAAGAGGAGACACAGTCGAGCCCGAAGTCAGACTAGGTACGGCCATGGTAGGATCTTTCGTGGTTCCGATTGGATTATTCTTGTTTGCGTGGACGACGTATCCATCGGTGCACTGGATTGTACCCATAATCGGTGCCGTCTTCTTCTCGTGTGGACTTGTCATGGTCTTCATCTCGCTGATGAGCTACCTGGTTGACTCTTGTAAGTTTTGATAATTGCCCCGTGACCTTCTGCAACAATGCAAGTGCTCACCTGCATACAGATACCGTCTATGCTGCTTCTGTTATGGCGGCCAACTCAGTGGTTCGGTCCTTGTTCGGCACGGTGTTTCCGTTGTTTACCACCCAAATGTACGAGAAGCTCGGAAATCAATGGGCGAGCTCCGTTCCTGCGTTTCTAGTTCTTGCGTGCGTGCCTTTCCCGTTTCTTTTCCACAAGTATGGTTCGAAGATACGCAGTAAGTGCAAGTATTCACTCGAAGCAGCAAAGGTGTTGGAGACGATGAGTCGCCGACAAGGCGCAATAATTGAAGATGAGCCAAATGAATTGGAGAGGAAGGTTGAACAGACTGTTTAGATCACAATAGATAGCGGGTGATTTGCTACGCCCCTACTAACTCGGCCTGCCCAGGTAGATGGCAAAAATCAAATATATTTGCACGGGATTGTTAGCAGTGAATCTAAAATGTAGCGTACATGTACGAAGCGACCGAGAACCTGGGAATGTTAATGGTGGGCCTCCACGGCTGAATTCAAGGATTATGCGAGTCTCCGATCGGACCGGAACTTACGGAGTAAATCACCGTGCGTCGAAAGACTTAAAACAAAGCCATTACCCCGTCCGCGCAATTACAAGGCTGCAACAAACGCACTTCTCCGCCCCTGATGAATTCTAGGGCCGAGCCACCAAGGGTATCCGGAGAAGCCGGAAAGCGTGCCCTCAAAGCCAATAAGGCATGTGTGCCCTGCCGTGCACGCAAGACGAAATGTGATGCCGCCGAGATTGGCCTCCCCTGTAGCAGCTGTACCAGCAGGCAGTGTGCCAAGGACTGTGTACTACCGGTCCGTAAGGGTCGGACCAGGTGAGTTGATTGCTGATAGGAAGGTTCTTAGTTTTTTAGGTGCGTTCTAACTTAGATGGGCTCCAAGGAAATTAAACCATGTTTCACCGATTCCTGGTCATGTACGAGTATGTCATTTTAATGATCGACAGTGTTGCAATTTAAGTCACAACCGATCTAACCAATATAATCATTCGAACAGTCGGTCCAACCTTCGACCTCCGATCCTCTAGATGTCCAAAGCCCACGTCAGACTGGACTAGATCTGTTCTATCTCAATATCTTGAACGAGGCCGGGGAAAAAACTACAGAATCTAGTCGACACCACTCCATTCCCAGCACTCCCTACCGTCCAAGCCCGAAAGATAGTTTTAGTCCTCGGAACTGTCTATGGGCCAAGCTGCCTCAATTGGACGAGATTGACAACGAATTTCTTGCCAAGAAGGGTGTATTTGATCTACCTCCTTCGCGCCATCTGTGAGACCAATCTTACCATCCTCCATCTTATTCGGGTTTTTGCATTCGCCTCAAATCACTAACAAAACACAACAGAGATTCCCTCGTTAAAACATACTTTGAACACGTCTATCCTTTTGCTCCCGTGATCAACAGAGTTGACTTTATCCGCGGCTATCAATCCGGTGATTGCTCCTTGTTCCTGCTCTACGTCATATTGGCACCGGCCAGTGTCCATGCGCCAGCAGATGTGCTATCTGCCTGTGGTTTTGCTAGCCGCTCGGCTGCGCAAGAATTGTTCTACTCCAAGGCCAAACTACTTCACGACTTTTCTGCCGAAGAGGATCCATTGCTGATGCTGCAGGGATCAATAATTTTGTGCATGGTGATTCTAGACCACCCCACTGACCGGGACTTTGGCTACTGGTTCCACAACGCAGTCCGACTTGCGACCAAGCTTGACATACGTAACACGTACGTTTCCCATCCCTGGGTTACGGCCCCTGCGACGATGATTGCGGGTATTAACTGCTCACGGACCCTTCCACAGATGTGCTCGAGAAGACAAGCCCAATACAGTCTTCAAGCTGTACAGAAGGATATGGTGGGCTCTCTACGTATGTCCTTCTTCTCGTCACCAAGTTCTGCTCTTCCAGCATTATGCCAACTGTAGCTACGAAGTCTTTAGACATTTTTCATGTCTCTGTCAACACCAGACGCTCACGACTACTCGCAAACGCCTCCATGATCAGACTGAGGACGGAAGACGACTGGGAAGTGGAGGATAGCTCGGAAGTATCATTCGGCTTGCTATCGCCAGTCACGCCTCAACAAAGGGCCTTGCCTGTTGTTCAATGCGAGTTGTCTCGAATATGTAGGTGCTGGTTCTATCTGATTATTTGTCGCTGCTTCTTCCATCCTTTTTATCATTGATCTGTCACCGATACCAGGAGAATCACTAACTCTTATTTAAGTCGGACAGTGTTTATCCGGCATGACAAATAAGCCACAGCAGGATCCTCGCCAAATGCTGCACCCGCTAGATGCATGGCGCAAGTCTCTCGCTGTTAAGATGCATGTGGATGGGAGCATTGGAGCCGACGTGTGCTATTTGACTATGCAAGCCGTGAGCTACAGATATGAGTGCGTCTTGTGTCGTTTGATACGACGCTGCTGGCAGCAGACCCAACATGCGGACTGGAGTGAGTGGGCCAAACAGCGGCTTCGGTCCGCTATTCTGGAACTGGATACAATTACCAAGAGGGTGCTGGCGAGTGGCACTCTCCAGGACTTTCCCATATCTTTGTATGTGCCTTCCTTTATTCCTTCCCATTTCTCATTTCCCATTTTCCAAGCATTATCTATAGTATAAAGAGCGCGAAAAATGGAGGGCTAATGATGGACTTGCCAGTGTAACGACAATAATTGCTTTACTTGCTCTACACATCGAATCGGCCCTCGATCCAACCGAGACAGATCTCGTCCGCTCTATGGCCCATATCTCTATCAGCCAGACAATGCTTGTTCTCACACAGGGAAAGGAAATTCCAGCCCTGAAACGAGCCCTGCCATTATTCGAGGAGATTCTTGCCAAAAAGAATTTATACTTGGTTCCGCCCAACAGCGTCGGTCAAGTAAAAGATAAAAGTATGGTGGATGAAGATGCTTCGCTGTATTCACAGGCAGAGCAGTACGAGAATAATCCGTTGCTCTATGATGATTTCCTAGGATTTGATTTACTAGACGAGTGGCAGATTGGGCAAATGGATTTTATTGGTTAAACTGGCAAGGCTTATCAGGGTAGAATATGGCCTGGGCATCTCTGGGAAATTTCTAGTTCTATACCTATTCCTATGCTATCTCATTTGTTGTATCTCATAAATCTTAATATTGATTCCTGCTGCCTGATATATCGGGCATTTAATGCCTCAGGCACCCAAGCTATACCCGCTAACCCCATTGGGAAGGCTGAACTTTTTTGATCGGCAGAAAAAAGATCCTCCAACTTTCTCGCGACGCCTCTGTTTCTGCCTCTGCGAGCCACGGGGATTTCAGATTCATACCCCTCAATCCATCGACCATACACAGGCCTGCTCGGCGCATTTACCTACGATCATTAATCATGGCGGCGCCCGTCCTGCCCTTGCAGCAGGTGAAGCTCGCCTCGCTGCCCTCCACCCGCCTCACGCCAGAACAGCAATACTGGCGCACCTTTAAGAATCCGCTTCTGATCCCCTCGCCCGCCAATGGACCGGTCAATCTGATTACGCAACCTTCCGCTCCTGCATCTGCCGCCGCATTTCCCTCCCTGACACAACCTCCGGACATCTTTACCGTCACCACTGGCGCCCGAGTCCAGATCTATTCCATTCGCACTCGCAAACTCCTGCGCTCTATCACTCGCTTCGATGATACCGTTCGCGGCACTGATGTTCGTCCGGATGGTCGTGTCCTCGTCACTGGTGATGACACCGGCTCCGTACAGGTGTTCGACGTCAACTCCCGCGCGATTCTGAAGACATGGAAGGACCACAAGCAGCCCGTCTGGGTGAGCAAGTTTTCGCCAAGTGACCCAACATCCGTTTTCACTGCCAGTGATGATCGGACAGTCCGCCTGTGGGATTTGCCCGCAGAGACTAGCGTTCGCACTTTCGTCGGCCACACCGATTACGCCCGCAGCGGTGCCTTTATGCCTGGTTCTATGGCTTCTTCAGGCCTACTTGTCTCTGGTTCTTACGATCGTACTGTCCGGATCTGGGATCCCCGTGTGGAAGGACGCGCTGCCATGACCTTCAAGATGGGTGCTCCCATTGAAGACGTTCTGCCCATGCCGGCAGGCACACAAGTTCTGGCCGCCGCCGACAACAAGATCGCCGTACTGGATATCGTTGCTGGAAAGCCGCTGCACATGATTCAGAACCACCAAAAGACAGTTACATCTCTTGCGCTGGCCTCGAACGGCGAGCGTTTGATCAGTGGTGCGCTGGATGGACACATGAAGGTTTTCGAGACTACAGGATGGAACACCGTCTCGGGCTCTAAATACCCTTCGCCTATCCTGTCCCTGAGTGTTATCACTTCCGGTGTGGCGTACGAGGACAAGCATATCGCTGTCGGTATGCAATCCGGTCTTCTGTCGGTGAAGACCCGACTTTCTGGCCAGCAAAAGGTCAAGGAGCGTGAGCGCCGCAAGGAGATGGACGCACTGCTCGAGGGAAAATTGGAGGAGCACGACCGCCAAGTTGCGAAGAAGACTAAGGAGCGTGGCGCCGGATGGGAGAAGCGACTACGTGGACGGGACTTCATTGGCGAGGGAGTGGACATTGTGTTTGAAGGCCAGGATCGCAAGCGACGGAAGAAGGAACAACCCTGGGAGAATGACCTCCGTAAGGGCCGATATGCCATTGCACTAGACCAAGTCCTTTCATCGACCGACAAGACCGCCCAACTTACGATTCTCACCAACCTCCGCCACCGCTCCGCCCTGCGCGCCTCGCTCCGGGACCGCGACGAAGTGTCCCTGAAGCCGGTTCTGCAATGGGTTCACAAGCATATTCGTGAACCTCGCCTGGTCGATCTCAGTGTGGAGATTGCCATGAACCTACTCGATATCTACTCGGGGAATCTGGGTCAGTCGGCGCAGATTGACAAGCTCATTGAGCGATTGCATTTGCGGGTGCGCGACGAGGTTGAGATGGCTCAGCATGCATACCAGACTAAAGGTATGCTGGATATGCTGAAGGCCTGATTTCATTGTCATTGTTCCATACCATCATATGATATCTCAAAATGGCTCGGAGTTTTGGGCAGGGTTGTCTGGGTTTTGCTTCGTCGGTGTACATGGCGGGCCATTGATCATTGTACAAAGTTGCATAGAAATAAAAGTCGACATTTATAATGATCTTTCGATCGAGAGAAAAAGTACAGAGTACATACTAGTATAATTAGTGTAAACGGTGAGTACTAGTAGTTATGTGGGGAGAGCTGCAAGCTCAACGCCATTTCTTTCATATATGCAGTAGTATTAACCGAGGTGGATCTATGGAGCCGACTGTTCTCGGCAAGCCGTCATAAGTATGTATAATTATTCAGATGATAAACACCAACTAATAAGTAAACTAATGTAAATGTAAATGTGAGACCATAACCGTGACCGGTGTTCGTTTTAGGGGGGGATCTCCCTCTCCTCCCCAGACCATCGTGACTCTGACTCCTCCCCCTCCCCCTCCCACTTCCTCTCCCTCTTCCACTCCCACTTTTTCTACCTTTTCCCACTTTCCATCCTCAACCTTCCAACTTTTTTCGCCACCGGATTCTCTCTCAACACGATTGGTATCCCCTGATTAGGGTTCTCTCATTCAAGATAGTACTTCGATACGCCCCGCTCGACACCTGGCACCGTGCAACAGCTGTTCCTATCTCCACCTTGCTATTGTGGGGAGGTTCGAGACCGATTGATTGGCGATGCGCTGAGGGCAGAAAAAAATAGAACGAGAACCACGGCACAACCAGCCGCCCAGACCGCTGGAACGACCCAGAAAATCAATCACGTCACGTTGTCCCTCCATCATGGCCGCCGCTTTCGATGAAGAGGATCTCTCGATTCCTCTTCCCCCTACCGCCGACCGCGATCGCCCCCGTGAACGTGAACGTGAACGAGAACGAGATCAGCGTGCGACCAAATCTGCTGGCCAAAACCCCTCCGCCATGGCCATGCCACCGTCACGGCCAACCGGCCGGTCCGATGCTGCCGCTGTCACACAATCCCCCGCTACCACAAGGGACATGCAGCGCCTCGACCAGTACCAGACGGTGAAGATCCTCGGCGAGGGGTCGTTCGGTAAGGTGAAGCTGGCTATTCACCAACCGAGTGGCCGCCAGGTCGCTCTGAAGATTATCTCTCGCCGCAAGCTACTCTCACGCGACATGGTCGGACGCGTGGAACGAGAGATCCAGTACCTCCAATTGTTGCGGCACCCTCACATCATTAAACTGTATGCAACTCAAATTCAATCCCATCTCATCGATCGGCAGCTTTGCCCCTCCTTCCGTGCGAACCGAAATGACTAACTACCACACCCCCGCCTCTAGATACACCGTGATTGCGACCAAGACTGACATTGTGATGGTACTGGAATACGCCGAGCGAGAATTATTCGATTACCTTGTGAGGAAGGGGAAATGCAATGACGACGAAGCCCGGAAATTCTTCCAGCAAATCATCTGTGCCGTCGAATACTGTCACCGACACAAAATCGTCCATCGTGACCTGAAGCCGGAAAACCTGTTGATTGACAGCCAGAAGAACGTTAAGATCGCCGATTTCGGATTGAGTAATATTATGACGGATGGCAACTTCTTGAAGACTAGCTGTGGTAGTCCCAACTATGCCGCCCCGGAGGTCATTTCTGGCAAGCTTTACGCGGGTCCTGAGGTGGATGTTTGGAGTTGTGGTGTTATTCTCTACGTGCTGTTGGTGGGCCGATTGCCCTTTGACGACGACTATATCCCTGCCCTCTTCAAGAAGATCGCAGCCGGTAACTTCCATGTGCCCAGCTATGTCTCTCCAGGGGCAACCCGCCTCATCCGATCAATGCTCCAAGTTCACCCAGTGCATCGAATCACAATCGAAGAGATCCGACGAGACCCTTGGTTCACCAAGGGCATACCGATATATTTGGAACCCCCTCCTGAAGAATTCATCGCAACTGGCGTGGACCCCAATAAAGCAATTGATTCTCGCAAGCTGGCCCCAGGCAAGCCGCTTCCAGTTCAACATAAGATTCACCGGATCGCCGTGACGAAGCTTGAGAGAAGTATGGGTTATGGCAAGGAAGATATCGAAGAGGCATTGAGGCACCCAGAACCCAGCGCTATCAAAGATGCGTTCTCGATCGTCGTGGAGAATGAGATGATGCAGACTAATTCTCCGACCGAGGATAACTTGATGGCCCAGAATATGCCTGTCCAGAAATCACCTGCCGCATCACCGGCAGACCGCGCTCCTCCTCCCAAACCACAAGCTCAACCACAAACGCAACCCGCCGTTGCTCGCACTCCAAGTGTTGCGCGACGCATTCATGCCGAAGAAGCCGATGCGGAAGATTTTGATCAGCCGCGTCTCAGCCACGTTCGAATTTTGCCCACCAGTTTGCCTTATGTCCACGATCAACTTATGGAGCAACGCGATCAAGAACAAAAAGAACGTGATAGAGTGCTCCAGGAGCGTCGACAAGAGGCCGCCCTTCACGAGCAAGCTGGCGGTGAGCCAAGAGAGTTCACTGCCGAGGAGCAAGCTGCAACAGCCCGGTCGTTGAAGCCTCACTCACGCAGTATCGTCGACTTGGAAAAGCTGCGACTTGAACCACCAATTGGCCATCCAATCACACAGCAGCCGAAGAGATCTCGCAAGTGGCAATTCGGCATTCGTTCACGAAACCAGCCTTACGAGGCCATGTTGTATTTATACCGGGCAATTGCTGCTCAGGGCGGAGTCTGGGATATCTCACCTGTTGAATCGGGTTAGTATATCCATCCTCTTGTTCGTGAGCTCTCTTCATATACTGACTTCTCATAGGCACCAACATCGGACCTGACGCAACACCCTCCCCTGATAAGCCCAAACCCTTGCAAAGCAAATACCCCGACCTTCCTTCGGACTACTATATCCCCAAGGACCCTTGGTTCATTCGTGCCCGACTCTTGAAGGAAGGCGTCAAGGCTCCTGGTGCAACCACCAGTGTCTATAACAGTCGCAGCGACCTCGAAGAGCTACGCCGTCGCTTCCATATCTCCGGCATTTCCGCACCTACAGACGACAATTCCAAATCCCTCACCCCCGAAAACAGCGCACCCTCCGCACCCTCGTCAGCAACGCAAAGTAAGGGACTCCCAACCATCTCCTACGGTGTATGGGTATTCGTCGATATCCAATTGTACCAACTCGAGGAAAATAACTACATGGTCGACTTCAAGTGCGACGGCTATCAAAACGTCATCCGCCCCCACGGTGAAACCGATTGGCACCCCATCAGCAAGCGCTACATGAACAAGGAGAAAGAGGTGACCAGTCCATACCCGTTCCTTGACGTGGCCTCGGATCTGGTGGCTCAGCTTGCAGTGGCTAGCTAGTAGTCATTTATATATTCGTCTGCCTGTGACGATCACGATAACTTCCACCATAATCACCTCTTAATTTCCGTCAATGCTTTTCCTTTTTGTTCAATCCGGCGATATGATACGAGGTGGCGTGTTTTGTACGTCGGATCTCATTGCATTTGGTATCTATCTTTTTCTAGCGAGCGTGTGGGATATTATTGTCGCTTTTGCACATAGTGGAGTTGTTGCCTTCAATATCGGAAAATATTTTGTGATCGAATCTACTTAAATTCAACTATCATTCTTACTGTCGGTCTTGCAAACCGTATACGTATATATGAATAAAAGATCTACATTATTATTAATGTTAAGTTAGACGGTGGGTAATATTGAGTAATTCAAATTTATTTTTCTACTCCAGCTGTATTGACAATTTGAACAGTACATCTAGCTAATATCTTCATAATCTAGCAAATTTCAAGGGGTTTTTTATCTTTTTTGTTGCTCTCCAGGGCTCTCTTTGATCCCTTCCCCACAGACCGATAAGACATTCGAACAGCACCTCTTGGTCATCTTTTGCGCAATGGCCCTTCGCGTTTACCATTGCCATTCGGTGGCCTTTGGTAGGTCTCACGGGTGCTGGCATTAGAGCCGTTGGTCGTAGAGGGCTTCTTTACCCCACCATGCTCATTAACGCGATCCAAGCGTTGATGAGAACTCGGAGTAGTCCTAGCTGTTGAAACTCGCTTCCGTCGAGGCGTAAGGCGCTTCTTGCTCGAGGTCGAAGGCTTAGTCTTTGACTTCTGCGAAGAATTATCATTCTCCTTGTCGTTCTTCTTCTGCTTGCGTGAAATATTGTGATCTTCCAATGCCCACTGCTCAAATATAGGAATAATCTCAATGTCGGGGAATCGAACCTCGTTGTTCGCGCGCTTGGAAGTAGAAGTGGAACTGCCACGGCGAGCTTTGCCTTTCTTTGTCTTTGAGGCTTTGTCGGATTGAGTATCTTCGGCAGACTCCTCTTCCGCTTCGTTGTTGCTCCTCTGAAGGCCTTCCATATTTTGACGAATTTGGCGGATGATTTCTCGAATATCATTAAAGGTCAGGTTAGATCCGAGTCGTTCCAGAAGCCAGTCTGGAACAGGAGCAGTCACAGCTGTTGGATTCCTACGGCCAATAGGCGACGATTTCGCAGCTGGACCAGTGCCAGATGGAGAGCGAGGGGAACTCGTCGTAGATCCGGAAGGGTCTCCGTCAGTATTGGTGTTATGGCGACGCTCTTGCTCCCGTCGACGTAGAATGAGTTGGAAGCTCTTAACACCACCCCACTCCTGCATTCGAGAAAGAGATTCGATCAGGAGGTCACACTGCGTGAAAGGCCATTGGCCTGCGCGATATCTTGCTCGCTGGTAGTGCTTGCGGCAGTAGTGGACCCAGACATATTCAGGGAAGACCTTGGTGGCAGACTTGTTTCTGCCGAAAACATGCGAGATGATCTTCCTGTAATGGGTATGGGCCTCCCTGTCCATCTGGCAAGTGCCAGCAAACTCGCAAGAGATATTGTTGTGGGATGTTGCTCTTTCAGGGGGATTGTCTGATGTGTTCTCTTCACTTTCGTCTTCGTCCTCGTCCTCGGAGAGAGAGAATTCATCGGTCTGGTGCGAAGATAACTCATCAGAGCTGGCTGTCGAGGGGCTTGGGATATCATTTCCCAAGTTGCTTGTCTGTCGATTGACCTCGGTGTCAAGATAGGGGCTTCGTTGGCTGGAACTGAGAGCTGGGGGATTTGCCCCAGACCTGAGGGAAGGCATTTCAGAATAACAAGCCCCGACAAGATATGGCGACATAAGTTCTCTAGGGCCCTAGGTATAGTTAGCTCAAGAAGAGGAGTGACGTGTATTATCTTGTTTATAAAATGTCATACCTGATGTTGAATCCAACAAGGTCTATCCATCAAGGGCTGATGGACGGTGTATGGGATGGTGGGTGGGACAGGGGAGTAAGCACATCCCTTTCCGTTCTTAATGATGATTTTGGATGGAGCTTACTCAAATGATGAGGTAAAAAGAAAAATTAGAGGTTGTGATGAGAAAGAAGAAATTAGTCGAGAGCAAGACATCTACTTATAGCCGCGAAAAGGAAATTTCCGCCTTATTTCAGAACCCTCGAGGAAACTTCCACTTACATGATACCTCATTTATTAAGCAACAGAGATGGCTATAATCTGTTTTGCCTATAATTACGCCTTGTTTTGCATTTTGAGCGAGTTTAAAGTATCCCCAGCAAACTTTTAATTGCAATTAGCGAGTAAACTGTACGATCTTGGCCACAGTAAGCCATCTCTGGCCTATTGAATCATACATCATTCAACACTCGAAAGTATTTCTCTGGTATCTACTATAATCAAGGAGTGGAGATGTACAGGTTTAACAGTGTTAGAATAAGCTTCCTGGTCGAATAATTTCTAGAAAATTCTATTGAGTAGCTCGCAAAGCAGCCTTCTTGCTGGCAACTGCAATCGCGATGTCTAATGCATTTTGGCTGCTCCTCACACTAGCAATGTTCTTCCCCGCAATATCAAACGCCGTGCCATGTGCTGGGGTGGCTATCACCACCGGCAATCCCCCTTGAACGGTCACACCACCATCGAATCCAATGACCTTTAGGGCGATTTGGCCCTGGTCATGATACATGGTTATAATGCCGTCATAATTTGCTCGGGCGACAAAGATGGTATCACTAGGAAAGGGCCCCTTGACGTCTATCCCCTTCGACAAAGCAAGCTCTACACCCGGTCGAATGACATCAATCTCTTCACGACCAAAGAGCCCATTCTCGCCATTGTGAGGGTTCAACGCGCATACACCCAAGCGAGGACTTGCGATGCCAGAGTCAGAACTGTGCACTCAAGGTTAGTCTGAGACCGGCAATTCCGAGCGGGGGTACGTACAGCAAATTATGCAAAAGCTCGATTGAGTCGGAGACTGACGTTTTCGAGATCCTTGCAGACACATCTTTCATTGCGACATGGCTTGTCACTCGCGCCGTCCACAGGCCTGGAATAATATTGACCTCGCTAGTCGTTCCTTTGTGGTTCAAGAGCATCGCAAACCACCGCAGCTCATCTTCCTCGTGCATCCCAGCCATATGAAGTGATGTCTTGTTGAGCGGCGTGAATACAATGGCGTCCGCTTCTCCCTGGTTCACCAATGCAGTTGCTCGCTTGAGCTGGTGCAAGGTTCGCTCGCCTGCCGCCTTTGATATCTTCCCTCGTTCAATCGGCGTGGTCGGAGCTGTTCCATCGTGCAGAATCTGTATACTTTCGGGGATTGTCACATTTGCGACGGAGGCCGCAGCTTCGACTTCGGATTTATCTGCAAGAACAAGGAGGTCGGCTCTCGCGCTATTCTGAGGGTCTGCGAGAAGCTTCACTGCCAATTCAGGTCCGACACCGGCTGGGTCGCCTAGAGTGATAGCGATACGCGGTCGAAATGTTGCCATCATGAAGGTATTTTTGCCAAGTAAGCTACTGTTGCAAGGCTGTGGTAAGATTTTTACCTCGACAGCTACGTTTCAAATACTAATTTGATTAATTTAATCAACAGGAAGCCTTCCTAGGTGATACAGCATGTTCGCATCCCCGTCGGCATAACCCCGATCATCCCCGTCGGCAATGGGGCGGGGAAGCGGGGCAGCCTTTCTTCCTACGAAATGAACTTGGTGCGAAATAGGGTCGAAGTTTCAAGAGAAGCCGCAGAAAGAAATTGAGTACAGTTTTCTTTAATGGTGTGTTGATATGTACCTCGGCTGGTTTTTCGCATTCGGTGGGAAAAACGGATCTTACTGACATCGATGGAACAAATGAAATGGATGTACCACAACTGCCCTCGAAAAGAGGAGCTAGTGGGCCCTGGAGCGTCACTCAACTTTAATTCATCCGGGGGAGCTTCTCCTCATGTCGGTTTTAGTTTTCTGTTCTCTCCGCTGCCACTCTGACCGACTGAGTTTCGTTTACAGCATGAATCGCGAATTGACCGACTCCACTCATGTGGCCGGGGAGTCATCTCCTGCAAAGAAAAGACAGAAGAGAGGAGCAGAAGATGGCACAGAGATTCAACAGTCCAAGAAGGGGACAGCGTGCTCTACCTGCCGCAAGCTCAAGGTAAAATGTGATTCTGCAGATCGAGGTATGGGCAGCTGTTCACGCTGTCTTCGTCTTCGACTCAAGTGCGTCAGCGAGAAGAAAGTATGGATGACTGCCGAAAATATCGAGACACGACCACAGCCATACAATGTCAATTTGATCAAACTTGAAAGAGCACTCGAGGATGTGCTAGAAAAATTGAATTTGCCCGCACTCGACCTATATGCACCACCGGATATCGTGGAGCCATCACAATCATCACGACCGACAAGGCAGAATTCACCGGAGCCAGGGATTAGCAGCAGCAGACCGCAAGAGAGAGATATCTCACCCGGGCCGACCATCGGGATGGGAAGTCTGATTGAAGCAACAAGGCTTGACGGGCTATGTAGCCAGCTTAGAAGCTCGAAACAGAGGCGCAAAGGTGGAATGAGAAGAATGGACTCAGACTTGATCTCAGAAATGATCTTGACATATGAAGAGGCTGACGAAATGCTGGAACTGTTGGTCACACTCCCCTGGGACTTTTTACTTTTAAATTCTAATGCACTTGCAAATACAGATTCAAGACACTATTATCGCCACACCTTTTCTCGGCTACGATTCCCCAAGATGCAACTCTTGAGACGATTCGAACGTCCTCCACAATATTGTTCACTGCCATCATGCTAGTCAGCGCTCTTCACATCTCCGGACACGAATATTTACATGAAAGATGCCATAGTCGATTCCTTGGACTTGTCACCTCCGCAATATTCGATCGTTTTCATACCCTCGACGATATTCGTGGACTATGTATCGCAGCGCTCTGGCAACCTGACTTAAGCTGGAAATTGAGTGGCTTATGTATTCGCATGGCGACCGAATTGAATCTTCACCACGCGTTTTACGAAGCCTTTTACAACCCAGATGCCAATGAAGATACTTGCAGGGAGAATCTCGAAAAGGCTAGATTGTGGTACCTGCTCTTCGTTCTAGATCATCAATCAAGCATTGCCTATGGTCGACCACCGGTGATGGCCGAGCTGAGGCCGATTAAAGACTTTGAAGTCCTCCTGAACTCGCCATTGTGCACACCATCAGATCAGGCACTCATCGCTCAGGTCACTGGACTAGTCATCATGAGCAAGGCTTTCCAGAATTTTGGTCTTGAGCCTAAAAGAACAATGGGTGGCGACGATGCATCTGTATTGAACCATTTTAGGTTCACGGAAGATTCACGGGTGTGGAAGGACCGCTGGTGTCATTTGAGGATGATCAATATACTAGGAGGTGGCATTGACCTGCACTACTATTTCAGCGAGCTGGTATTGCACTCACTGGTTCTAAGAGGGCGCCCGCTAGAGACCCTTCATGATCTCCCTACGAGCCTTCGACCTCTAACGCTTAGGGCAATCGACGCAGCTCATCTGCTTCTCGAGCATTTTATCGAAGAACCAGGATATCGCGAAGGAATTGTAGGAATGCCACTCTATATGCATTCCATGATCGCTTTTGCCGTCGTCTTCTTGATGAAAATGTCACGTCGCTGGCAGAAAATCGGCATAACAATAGATCCAGTTCAGCGAACAAGGCCTTTGATCGAAGGCATAATCAAGTTACTGCGAGACTGCCAGGCTGGCGCCAGCCATATGGTTTTCAGCATGGCAAATGGATTCGAGCGAATGTTAAAACAGACGAACCCAAAATCCAGAAAGAGGATGACCGATCGGACTCCCCGAGAAAACTTGAAATACCCAGTTACTTCATGGCCAGATAGACCAAGTGACGAACAAAGGGACTTTCCTGAAATACTAACTTACGCTCTCGGGCATCATCCAATTGAGACAGGCATCCAAGTTGATAGAAGCCCTGAATATAATATTCAACTGACGCCAGGTGTTTCTCCTTACAACAATTGGGGTTTTCAAGATGAAGAGCTATGGAGCTTGGGCATGGGGTATGATCTTCTTGCCCCTGGAGGAGAAGGGCTTGCGAATGCGGACTTCCCATTTTTCTTGTACGAGGAGATGCAGCAAAATAATTAGCACTGAGCCTCTTTATGGGCCCTTCTTTGATTTCTCTATATAATTATTTATTGAAGCCTTCTATCAGAGCGCCATCCACCCAAAGACCATCAACAATAGGCATTTCCCGATTTCCTGGTCCAACCACATTTCCATCTTTATCATACCGTGGAAGCTCACCCATCCATCCCCAGTGACACTTTTGTTTAAGCCCCAACTCCTTCCAATTGTTGAGATCATCATCGGGGTTTTCATTGAAAGTGGGCAAATGATCAAGTAATGATGTGTCGTGCGCTAGAAAGACCATGATATTGGGATCAGCGTCGAAATACTTTTGCATTCCGTAGGTCGAAATCGCAGCAGTGGCCGGATCTTTGTAGGTTGAATGCGCATGTGTCGAGAGTTGGTAAAATGGCGTGGATTTTGTATCGACCGAGGGCCCAATTTCTCGAAGCTGAGGATGATGAGCGGAGAAGAACTCGCATGGACATGGCATCGGGTATTTTTGACTGCTGAGAAGAGAATCCGCGGGAATAGAGTTCGGTAATGGGATTTCCTCACTAGGCCTAAAATCGCCTGCGAAATGGCAAATGTCACCACCGAGAAAGACAAAAGTGTCTGGTGTAGTTCGAGCCAAAGCACATATATGTCCTGGCCAATGTCCGGGGGTGTCTAGCAGATATAGGGAGCCATCTCCATAGAAGTCGGTAGCACTGAACGGTCCGATGTGTAAGTCTGTGCAGTCAATCTCAACACATTCCCTGTCCTTGAAATCATCGCCGTTAAGATTGGAGTTTGGGTTCTCGGGATATGCGGGAAAAGGTCCCGTTCCTTTTCCATAGGACAGTTTCGTCGACGGGGGAAATAGATGTGGGCTGCCCATATGGTCCCAATGACTGTGAGACCAGATAATATCATCTGCGAGAGTTAGATTTCTGATCGATATGGATTCCAGGTGTGATTCCGAGTTCCATACCGATCTCATCCAGCCTCATGCCTTGCTCCTGCAAAATCTCTGTGACATCCTTCTCGATCTTCACGCCCGGGATCGCGGCCTCGATTCTCGTGAGTGTGAATGGTGGGGAGTTCCAATAGTCCTTTCGTGTTCCAAGATCAAACATCGCTTTCTTTTCTAGTCGCTCATTTTCGATCAAAAAGGCCACGGTTGTGACACTCATTCGTTCGTGCCCAGGCATTACCGGCTTGACAAAGGAAAAGGCATGCAATGACATGAAAGATTTTGTGTCTATCATGCGGACCCGCACTGTGTTGTTTGACGGAGGGGGTGGGTTGAGCCCACCTAATCCGATCGCTGTGCCCATGGTATACCTTCAGTATCAGTTACCAGGAGATGTCGCGAGAAACCTTCAAGGATTTTCTGGCGACCTTGGTCTTAACAATGATCGTGCGGGGAACATTCGGCTAAGAGCTCATCCACTATTGTCTTTTGCAGTTGATGAGCGATCGGACATGCTCGGCCATAAGACCGACGGGTTGTTGCCGGTCCTGAGAATCAAGTCGATCCCGGCGGGGCTCCCTGCATGGATACCCCGTGGGGTAATTATCCATGCATGGACGCCGGTATAATTGTCAGCAAGCCGACCACTCTGGGGCATGTTTTGGTCATAACTAAAGCCGTCAACATGAGTCCAAGAATGGGTGAAGAGCAGAAGCAAACGGAAGCTCCTGGGCACACCCATATTGAGCTCCTAACAAGCAAAATGAACTCACAGCCAGATGAAGCTATAACCGCGGCAGACCTTGAAGCCGGAGAGGTGGTTGCCAGCGGCGATGTGATGAAATACACCGAAGACGATGATGAAGCAATGAAGGCGCTGGCAAACTACGATGGTCCACCGTTGGTCCTGGATGATGCAACAAATCGGAGATTACTTCGCACAATAGATTGGCATCTTATGCCCGTACTGTGAGTTTCTATAGTGCCTTCTATGGACTTTTAAGTACTAATTCATACCCTCCAGTTTCTGCGTGTTCGGTCTCAACTACCTGGACAAGACGACTCTTTCCTATGCAAGCATCATGGGACTCAAAGAAGACATACATCTAGAGGGAGATGAATATCAATGGCTAGGATCGATTTTCTATATCGGTTGGCTGGCCTGGGAAGTAAGTTCGGCACAATTCTGAGCAGGTGGTCATTTTTAATTTCTCTAACTCCGAGTCCTTCTTAATAATTATAGTACCCGACTAGCCGACTCCTACAGCTTTTACCTCTGGCCAAATATTCAGCTTTCTGTGTTACAACCTGGGGAATAATACTGACTCTGTTTGCGACCGTGTCGAACTTCCAGGGAGCTGTGGCGATTAGATTTCTTCTCGGTGTGTTTGAAGCTGCCAGTATGCCGGCCTTCGCTTTGCTCTCTTCACAGTGGTATACTGTTCACGAGCATAATTTGAGAGCAGGTATTTGGATAAGTGCAAACGGATGTGGTCAAATAGTTGGCGGCTTGGTAGCATGTGGTATTTCTCGACGTCTCTCGGCAATCGACGCCGCCATTGCTGGTTGGAAAGTCATCTTCATTGCCACGGGCTGTTTCACGGTAAGTCAAAAGGAAGAAAAGAATACATTTCAATATGCTGAAATATCCTATGGCTTGAAGGTTTGTATAGGCATTTTATTTTACGTGGTCATCCCCGACTCCCAACTCAATTGCCGTTGGCTCAACGAGAGGGACCGCCTACTTGCGATCCAGCGCGTCCGTGAGAATGAACAAGGCATTGGCAACCGACATTTCAAGTGGTACCAATTTCGTGAAGCACTGCTAGATCCTCTCAATTGGGCCTTGTTTATGTACGGTGTTTTATCGGATATTCCAAACGGCGGCCTTACGAACTTTTTCAGCCAACTCATCGTGAGTTTCGGATATACTTCGCAGCAAAGTCTACTCTATGGTATACCCGGAGGTGCCGTCGTGATAATTGCCTGTTTGTTAAATGGCTGGACAGGTGATCGCTACCATAATCGGACGCTTGTGGCATGTGTACCGATGGCAGTAGCATTGATAGGCATCATCTTGATTATTGCTTTGCCTATCGCAGGTGACAGCTACAATATCGGACGACTGATTGGTTATTATTTGACACAAGCGATTCCTGCTACGGGGGCTACAGTCCTATCCCTTATCTCTAGCAATATCGCAGGCTACACCAAGAAAACAACAGTCGCCGCATTATATCTCATTGGATATTGCGCAGGAAATATCATTGGGCCGCAGACATTCAGTCCCAAGGATGCACCGCGGTATGTTCCAGCCGAGATAACTATAATGATTTGCTTTATTCTATGTATCTGCGATTTACTTTTCATCAACTGGTGGTGTCGTCGAGAAAATCGGCGAAAGGCAGAAATAAGAGCGAGTCCCGGGTATATTAGGCTACAAAACCAGGGGTGAGTTTTTCTGGCACTCAAAAAGCGTCCTATTTACTTACAAAGACCTTAGTTGGCGTGACTTTACAGACAAGGAGAATCCTGAATTTGTTTATGCTCTTTAGTCAAAAGGTTGTGAGGAGTGCATCAATGAAAAGAATGGCGATCATAACTTATGCTAGCGCTATGTAGTGCTCTACTTTCTACGGCGCTCCATAGTGGCAATCGCCCCAATGTTCAAGTTTCTACTGGGGTAACCAAGCCGGCGCCACCGGGCGATGTTGTAGAGAAGAGATGGTGAGCTGAGCAATGAGCATGAAGAAAATAGCAGGCAAAGCAATTGGTTAAGAATAGAAAATCAGTCCCCCTTGTCACGTAGCTCCGAATAGTCTAGGGGTCTTGGCCCTGAGACCATCGGGGGGAAGAGTAACAACGAGGTTGATTATTTGAAACGCTTGGCCTACCTCGATTACCTTTTTGCCTTTTTTTCTGTTTTTACACGTCGAAGGATCAAAACTAAGCCAGGGCATTCGAGCTCTTTTCTTCTTCTTCTTCTTCTTCTTCTTCTTCTTCTTCTTCTTCTTCTTCTTCTTCTTCTTCTTCTTCTTCTTCTTCTTCTTCTTCTTCTTCCTCCTTCCCTTTTTTCTTGTTTGTTGTTGCCCTTCTAGCTAGTCCATCGTTCCTTCCCATGCCTTCGTTTGCATAGTCACGTGCTTTATCTAGTTATATGGCACCATGACTAAGCTACCCCAGATTCTCCAACTTCAAATCTGTATAGTGAACACTATTAGTTTTGGGACGCTGCCGCCCCTCGCAGAAGCACTGGATCGGTTGTGGCTACGGAGCGCCGTATCCTTTTTCCCCGAATATCCCGCTCGCCTCCAATCCATGCGGAGAGCAGTTAACAAGCAGTTAATAATGTCCACACTTTGCTTTGCTTGAGGGCGATTGTGACGTTAATCAACACTAGGCAAGCGTCTAAATTCACGAGATAGATAATCAAGTTGCAGCCTGTGATAACTAGACCTAAAGGATTCGTATACATAGTTAAGAGCTGCAGTGATGAGGGCCTGTCACCGGTAAAATCGGTCGAAAACTGGTTGCCTGGTATTTCAGCCAGCAAGATTTTGAGGCCTGCCTCATCACTATTTAAACTTCTTATTTTCTTACACGACTTTGGTTTTTTGGAGCAAATACCAGAGAAATCGAGGAAGTTGAATCAATTCAAACAACATGGCTGTGCCAAACTACTCCATTCTCCCAGTCGTGGAGGCCGATCTCCCATTCCTCGCCAAATTTATCCACGCCTCGAAGCTCCGCCTCAGTATCAACCGCCTTTTATTCGAGAATTGGCCAAATGAAACTATTCAAATGAAAATGTACACGGGGGCTGTAACTTCCGGGTTCAAAGACCCTGCCACAGAGTCTTTCAAGGCGGTCGATACCGAATCGAACGAAATTATCGGTTACTTCGTCCTAGCTCGCAAGCGACCGGCACAGGACCTGCCGGAATATGAACTTGGTGCAAATCCTGACCAGGGAACCCCGAAGGGTTTGAATCCTTCTCTGTTCGCTGAGGTTATGACTGCATCTGCGGAAATTGCAAAGGCGACCGAAAACAAGGACTTTTTGGGTAGGTCTTCGGACTTCAGTTGGCCATGAGAGGTTACAACATTCTAATATTCAAGGCAGATTTGGTTTATATCTGTGTGGAGCCGCGGTTTCAGAGACATGGAGTTGGAGCGAAGTTGATTCAGCTTGGCTTTGATCGGGCAAGGGCGGAAAATATCCCTTTCGCGCTCTGTGCAGAGGCACCAGCTCATGGGTTTTATGTCAACTTGGGATTCCAAGAAACTAAACGTGCGGACATTGATCTCTCAAAGTATGCTCCAGCGTATAGTGGGTTTGGAGTCTTCAGATTGACAGGAATGATCTGGTATCCTTAAATTCCTCTATATACATCAAATGCTTAACTCCTGCAATACCAAGAGTAGTAATAGTTACGGAAACCCTGTCAAATTGAAAAAAAAATTGGTCCTTAGCAAGATCGCCGAGAGAAAACATTGCTCATTGCTAGTAGCACATCATCAGCATCAAAACCCTACAGCTATGCAAGGCAATTGATCATTTTCCCGGTGACTCGGACCAGCATACGGGACGTGCTTTGGAGTTTCAAAAAATAACGAGGCAGATTATCGCCGATCGGCGGATCACGTCAGGCGAACATAATGCTTGATTAGGCAATGAAATCTTCGTCCTAGATATTGGATTTGTGTAAGGAATTTCAATCAGAAGTAAAAATCGAGGAAAAACTAGTTTTCACAAAAGTTGACATTCAAACCCTTTTCTAAACGCTGTACTTAAGGTGACTTTCGAATGTTTCACTCTTATTGAAATCCCCGTCCTTTAGGGTTGGTACCCCACGTGATCGGCTCCTGGATCGGAGCAGGCCTAACGCACCTGAGTCAACCCGCAGTAACCTTGTGGTAAACAAAAATTCAAAGCCGGAAATTCAGTTGGGCGCTACAATTGATGATATACTTTATGGATTACATATTAGTATGGAAGAAGTAGTTAAAAATGCATCTTGTTATGCTATTGGTTTCTATGTATCGTGCAGGGTCATTATTGTAAGGCCCCACTAGGGTGCCCGAAAACAGAGCTCAACTCCAAAAAAGAGACCTGAAAGGATTCAGGAGTTGGCATGCAAATAGACAGTGTAATTTCACTGTACTTTTTGAGATGGGAGTAAAATCCCAGGAACATAAAGAAAATCATCATAGAGAAGGCTGGGCCGCTGAAAGCACAAAAGAGGTATCATCCACAAATTAAACGCCGGGGGTATGCAATGAGACTAGAAAGCACAAGACAGGAGAGAAGAAATCACTGGGCAGCAGTAAGTTGGTTCTGCAGAGCCTGGGTGAGAGCCTCCTCTTGACGCTTGAGTTCCATCTCCATCAGATACTGTGCGTACTTGGAACGGGGGTTGTGGATACCGCACTCGGTCTTCTGCTGGCCCTTCCAGCGACCGGAGCGCTCGTCCTCGTTGTCGGCAACGGGTTGAGTAGAGTGCCAGTCTCCAATGCTCTTGTAGCCGCGGTCAAGCAAGGCATTGTAGGGAACATCGTTCTCCTTCACGTACTGCTTGACTTGGTCGAAGGACCAGTTGGCCATGGGGTTGATCTTGATGAGGCCGGCCTCGTCAACTTCGATGACATCAAGGTCACCACGCTTGCCACCTTGGCTGCGACGGCGGCCAGTCAGGACGGCGTGGACATTCATCTCACGGTAAGCACGTTGAGCGGGCTCGACCTTGGCAACCCAGTCATAAAGTTGGTCATCGGCTTCCCAAAGACGAGAGCCATACTTAGTTTCGAATTCGGCAGTAGTCTCGGCCCCAGCAGGCTTGTAGACATGAACGTTGTTGTTGGGGTAACGCTTGCGGATACGGTCCACGAGCTCATGAGTCTCCTTGAAGTGATACAGGGTGTCGAGGAAGATCAGGTCGACCATCTGGGGGCGGGGTACCTCCAGCTTCGACAGCATATCAAGGGTGACCAGACCTGTCAGACCAAAGGCAGTGGTCTGGAAGAGGTGGGGGAGTGATGTGATGCACCATTTCAAAATATCTTGATGAAATGAGTCAGATTGATGTATGAAGGAGCGGGGTGGTTGGGAAGGAGTCAGAAGAATACATACCTTGAGGTTCGAGGAATTGAAGCTGGCGGTTAAGGAATTGAAGATGGGGCTTGGTGAAGACAATCTCGGGGATATATTCTTCGGATGAGCCACCGCTAACATATCCAGACTCGGTGCAGTTGTCTCTTGAGTCAATACCCTCGAGGTCAGAGGGGTAACCGAGGGGCGTCTTGGCCGGCATTGTGGCGGGAAGTATTTAGATGGCGAGAGAGAGAGAGAGAGAGAGAGAGAGAGAGAGATGGATAGATGGAGAGAGGGTGTGTACAAGCAAGTATGTATGTGAGTTAAGTAGAATGAGGTAATGGATGATCAAGATGTACTGGGAGTGGCCAGAAAGAGCTTGAGAAGACAGAGAAGACAAGGGACAGGAATATAAGGACACACAGGAGCAATCACGACATCATTTCGGATGTTCGTGCCTGGCATCCCATCCGAGCCCGCCATTACCGTTCATTCTGCCGCAATTGCAATCACGACATTGCAAAATACCGCCTGCTGAATCGGGGGAGTTGCTGAAAAATTCGGTTTTGTCATCCTCCTGGGGGATCACGCAATTCCTGCATTGTTGGTCTCTGTGGGTCCCCCTACCACCGAAAATCGCAGATTGTTGGCCTGCTGGCCTGCTCGCCCCCCTCAAAGGGTCTCTTTCTCCAGGCACCATCGAGGATCGCCTCACATCCCGAGTTGGAGCTAACCTGCTCAAGGTCTAGGGCTGATAAATTCCTGGGCTTCGGTCAAATTCGAATGCCTGCCTCCGGATGGATTTGTCTCAACATCCCGATCTCCATATTCCAAATCCCGCTGCTGACCAATGCATCTGGGGAAATCTTGGAAAATTCATGGTCTACTGTTCCTAATCCATGGTGTTAGCGGGGCAATATCCAGAAGATTCGAGTTTAGAAGTTACCCGATCAAGGAAGCTTCCCTAAGGATAGCATTGTGTGATCCATGAAGTATGTCATGGTGGAGTGGCGGGCGGAGAGATCTGCCAGGCTCGTTGATGTGATCACTCTTCGCCGCCTGGCAGAATATCCAGAGCTGGAGCAAAGTAGTTCGAGTACTTATAGTAGCTAATTAAGTACTAGTTAGTATCTCGATGGTTTTCCTTTTTAAAATTATGGCCATTCAAGAGGAAAAAGTAGTAAAAGTCTTGACTTACTAGTAGTATTACAAGGTGCCTAGGTGCAGGTCGTACAAGATACCCATCAGCACAGGTAGTATATATATATGATATACTCAACCTCAGCAGGTAATTACCACGTTGAACTTTCTAATCTAGTAGACTTGATGATAGGTATGTGCAAGATCGAGACAAAATAAACAAAGACAATTTTCAGTGCTCTGTCTGGCATCTAGTTAAATCATTGACAATATCTTTACATCTCTGCAAGATAGGAAAAGGGCCAAAAATAAAGGCCCGAGCCCGGGATCGAACCGGGGACCTCGCGCAGTCAATGCTTTGGGTGAACCCTAAGCGCGAATCATACCACTAGACCACCCGGGCGAATGATAATTGGGCTTAAACTTTTGCCTACATAGGCCTACACAGCAAGAAGGATAGGAAGGTAAAAAAAAGAGATCCTGATATATTATATCAGTGTCAAGGCCCGAACCGCGAGTCGAACGCGGGACCTCGCCCAATAGACTATTTTGAAAATAGCGAGAATGAACCCGAAGGGCGAATCATACCACTAGACCATCCGGGCTGGTTGATGTCATGTCACCCATATTATTGAAATATCAGCTCTCAAAAATAATAGTACATAGAGAGCGTGAGGATGCTCAGATACTCACCGAGATTAAGATACGATGTAGTGATCTAGGAAAAGGTAGTAGTAGCAGTTCGACGAAAGTAATAGCTTAAGGAGAAGAAGAAGCAGAAGGAGATACAGGTGTAGGCAGTGGATGCCTAAATCAAAGCCATCCGCGCCAGGCATCAACAATGGTAACAACCCAGGTTTAAAGAGTAGCGGGGCCACGTGCCGATCGTCATTTTTTTTTCTTGGAGGGGCTTCTTATTGCTTTGCTTTGTTTGTGATCGATCCACCAGGGACAACAATATCATATTCATATCTTTCTCTCCAGCTGTCTTCCAGCTGTCTCCCCGATGGCCGATTCTAACCAACCCCCCCAGCGGCCCTCGCTGGGCCAAATGCGCAGCAGCTCGTTCCTCCAGGACCACCAACAGTACAAGCCGCCCGTCCCGGTCAGCGCCAACATTGGTGAGGTCCTCGGCGCTCAACTCGACGAAAGCCTGTCCACTCTCACAAATCCGATCAAGCCCGATCCCGAGCGCGTTCACGACAGCGGTGTCATACACAGTATATTCAACCACCAGCAGACCCAGCTTCCCCACGGCACCCCGCGTATCGTCGCAACCATCTTCTACAAATCCGCCAACCCCGTCCACCCTCACATTCACCCCGATGTCACGTCCAACCTTGTCGCTGGCGATAAGCTGCCTTCCCCGCGTGTCCCGGAAGGCTCGGCTCCAACGGACGACCTGGAGAAGATTCCCCGGGAGCCATTCGCACCTGAACCCGAGCCTCTCGATCATCTGTACGGTCCCTATGTCTCGCAGCTATGTTTGACCAATTTCCTGCAAATCCTGGATACTCTCCCGACTCCGTACCAGCGCACAAATACCTCGCACCGATGCTTAGATCGCGAACAGCACCCCCGTGTCGTCGAGGTGACATTCTCCCCCCGCCTGACCCGGAGTATCTCTCATTCGCGGACTTGCGCAAGCACGAGAGCATCTGGCGCTTTGAGCGCGAGTGGAATGTCGAGGTCGTTCTTCAGGAAGAGAGCGTCTTCCGCCGGCATAAGCGCCTGGCGGTCTTTGACATGGATAGCACCCTGATCGAGAACGAGGTGATCGACGAGATTGCCAAGTTCATCGGGGTGGAGAAGGAGGTTTCGGTAGGTCCTCGCGTTGTCTGAATCTTGCACAATGACCAAGCTCATCAGATTATTGTTTAGGAAATTACCGAACGTGCTATGAACGGCGAACTGGATTTCGCTGCCTCCTTGAAGGAACGTGTCGGCCTTCTGAAGGGTGTCCCGGCCGATGTTTTCGAGAAGCTCAAGTCCGTCATAACGATCTCGAAGGGTGCTCGTGAGCTTTGCCGTGCCCTGAAGGCCCTCGGGTATAAGATGGCTGTTCTCAGCGGAGGATTCCAACCTCTTGCCGAGTGGCTTGCGGGTGAACTTGGACTTGACTATGCCGTTGCTAACCACGTAAGTCCTCGGTTTCAATTTCCAGAATATCTCAATCTACCCCTACTAACCCACCATATAGCTTGAAATCGATACTGCCACCCAAACCCTCACCGGCAAATTGGTCGAATCCAAGCCCATCATCGACGCCGCCCAGAAGCGCACTCTCCTCAAGTCGATCGCGGCCGAGAATAACATCCCCATCTCCCAGACAATTACTGTCGGCGATGGCGCAAACGATCTGCTCATGCTTCATGCCGCTGGCCTTGGTGTTGCCTGGCGCGCCAAGCCCAAGGTCCAGCTCGAGGCCCCCACCCGCGCCAACGGCGAGAGCCTGGTTGATATCCTCTACCTGCTCGGTCTGGATAGCGAAGATGTCAACGAGCTTTCCAAGCTGCACTAAATGCCCGATACAGCACATAGACCCTTCGATTTTGATCTTGTTGCGGTCCAACACGATAGCGCACATGCACACAACATTAACCCATTAGGCCCGTCTCGGGCTAAGATATCCATTTGATCGATACCTCTGAGCCGACATGACAACATCTGGCGAGGCATGTCGACATGCATTTATTTTTATTTTCAATCCCGGAGTTATTTGTGATTTCAACAGCACGAGACCCCAAGGGTAGGAGCGGGAGTTGGTGGTGGATGCGGTACATAGTCCAATCTAGCATCTGTTTTCAACCTTTGCTTTGGCAATGGGTGGCAGGCAGTCTGCTTTCGGGGTGCCGGGGGTGCGGCGTAGGTGAACGGAAGTTGTATAATGCATAATGCATGGAGCCCATAGCTGAAACGCAGACAATGTGATTGGTGGATCTTACCCAACCTGAAGATGACCCTAACGATGACAACCTAGACGAACTGCTGCTGCTATATTGAAGGTCTTGTATTCTTTTTTTTAAAAAGTAACAAGGAAGTAGAATTCCTCGAATATACAGCAGAAACCGTTGATGGTACATACACTGTCGTGTTGAAAGATTGAAACAAAAGATGAACAAGAAAAGAAAAGAAAGAAACACCAACCCAGCCCAGACCTAAAATGCAATCGGCGCCAAACCGAATAAACCACGAGAAAGAAAAAGAAGCAGCCAGAGAAAGAAACAAGCAGACCAAGACATGTGTGGTTTATTTCCCATGCATATTATATTTTCTTTATTCCAGACAAAGGAAAATATCAATGCGTCGCCTGGTCAGCGACAACAGTCTTATCAACCGTGCCTTCGGTAGTCGTAGCTCCAGCACGACGCTTCTTGAGCACATTCTCAATAAAGGCCTCACCAGCCTTATAACTGCTGCGAACCAGAGGACCGGAAGCACAGTACAAGAAGCCCATATCAAGGGCCCGCTGGCGCCAAGCCTCGAAACGATCCGGGGTAACGTATTCCTCAACAGCCATGTGGCGCTTAGTGGGACGCATGTATTGACCGAAGGTAACGACGTCGACATTGACGGCGCGAAGCTGACGAAGAGCGTCCCAGAGCTGCTCATCCGTCTCACCAAGACCCAGCATGAGGGAAGTCTTAGTGATAAGATCAGGACGAGCCTCCTTAGCAGCCTTGAGAACGCGAAGTGACTGCTGGAACGTCGCGCGACGGTCACGAACATACGGGGTCAAAGCCTCGACAGTCTCGACATTGTGCGCATAAACGTCCAATCCAGACCGAGCAATTATCTTGGTCATCTCCACGTCACCGCGGTGATCACCAGTCAGACACTCGACCAGAATATTGGGTGCTTTCTGCTTGATCTTGATGACCGTCTCAGCGAAGTGACGAGCACCACCGTCCGCCAGATCGTCTCGATCAACACTAGTCAAAACGACGTACCCCAGACCCCAGCGCGAGATAGCCTCAGAGGTATTCTCCGGCTCATGAGGATCCAGCGGGGCCGGAGCACGGTTCGTTTTCACGCTGCAGAAGCGGCATCCGCGCGTACATGTGTCGCCCATCAGCATGATAGTCGCCGTCGCAGCAGCCTTGTCACCACCGCCCCAGCAATCAGAGATATTCGGGCACCGGGCTTCCTCGCAGACAGTGTGCAGGTTCAATCCGCGCAAATCCTTCTTCAAGCGCTGGTAGTTCTTCGAGTCCGGAATCGGAGTCTTCAGCCATTCGGGCAGGCGGGTGATTTCCTTCTTACGGCCGGCCGGTCCGGCCATGGCTTTCTTGAGGGCATAGGCTTCCGAGGGTTCGAGGGGTTCTTCCTTCGGGCCCGAGACGAAATCGGCGAACGATGGGCCTGCATTCAGCTTATCCTTGAAGGAAGTCGCTTGCCGGCGGGTGCTTCCCGCTGGTAGGTTGGTGGCGGAGGAGGAATCGGTTGTGGCATAGGTGCGGTAAGAGGTGAATGTGTAAGAGGGAGCGACAGCCGATCGGACGGCAGAAATGTGTCGCAGACTCCGCGTTGGTGCTGCCATTGTGTGTGAGGGGAGGGGGGTTGTTGAGCTTGAAGAGGGAGGTTCACGCAATGCGCAGAGAAAGATAGGCCAGGTTCGAATCCCGCGGGAAAGCGTGGATGACTCAGCAGGCGTGATACGAGGACTTTTGTTCCGCGGCTCTCGGTGAGGCGAACCGACCAGGTTTCCCTACACTTTAAATAATAGTTTAAAGGAGAAAGATAATTGAAAAGGGCATAAAGAAGTTTTCTTAGAGGGGAGGTGGCAGTTTTCTATTTTGAAAAAAGATATCGAAAAATGGATAGCTGGTTGCTATTATGATTATGCACTAGTATGCTACTGATTCTAATTGTACAGGTTGCCTTGCATGAAACAAACAAAAAAGTAAAAAAATGAAATAAAAATCAAAAACAAACAGTTTCCAAAAGAGCGAGCCGCAATGCCAGGGTATTCAAGAAACACCATATCAGACCAAATAAACACCAAACAATGAGTCAATGAAAGTGTCAAATCAACCAAGTGGGAATCATTACTAGAAATTGAAGGAATGAGGAGGTCACGCCAAATGGCCATGACTGGAGTGAGTAAAAAAGGAGAAGAGATCAAGGAGGGGAACAGAGTTTGACAGGATGGTAGAAGGAAATAGGTAAAGGAGGGATTATGTAGCCTTGGTTTCGAGGACCTGCGCCAGGACTTCGACTGCGGATTTCAGTGTGCTATCGGATCGTCCACAGATGGCAAACAGCAGGTTGTCAACAATTTTCTCAACTTGTTGACGAAGATCACTGCTGCGGGAGCCAATAAACCGATCTTTGCGGTGACTAGGTGATCCAGTCGGGAGTTGGATGCCCAGAGTGCTATATGCTTTTGCGGGAATGGCATCTACGGCATATATGTCGTTTCGGACAGATAATGAAGGTCTGCGGCGATGGGTCGCGGCAAGAGAAAGGAGATAGTTGCGAGCAATGACTGCAGCGCACAGACAATCTAATAGATTCTCTGTGGCATCTGGGAAAATAGTGCGGAATGGCCGCAGGAGGGCCTTCTCGTCGTTCTTGCGGAGGAATACGATGACTGGTGACGTGAGACGTAGCATGTTGCGAGGGAAGTCTTTGACGGAGTGTTCGAGTTCTCCAAGCGTCCATTCATGGTCGTCTATTGTCCACTCATGTCGCCATGAACCTTGTTTCGCCAAGTCTTCCTTGTCAGACTTGATAGATCGGTCTGGGGAAGTGTGAGCAGGTGGTAATGGTGAGGCCTGAGGGCTGACACTGCCTGATCGTATCTCAGGCTGCGGTGATGTTTCGCGCTCTTCCGGCGCGGAGTCTGAACGTTCGCAAACAACAGTTGATGTGACGCTGTCTGATGTTAATGATCCAGGATCAGTATATGTGTCGTCGTCCTTGCTGTCCGGGTAACTGTCCAGAGAGTAACCAGACTCCCGAGTACCGTAGCCACTATCAGACATAGCAAGGGGGTTGTCTTGAGGTGTATCAGGACTGAATGCTGAAACTTCCTCCTGGATTTGGTCAGGCGTCATTGGAACTGTGTGCGCCGGTACAGGAGGCGGTGCCGGGGATGGATCCAATGAGGGAGAACGCGCTACAGACGGTGAGGACTGTCGCGCAATATCTACTAATCGGGGTTTGCTGGCAACGGCAAATCGCTAGAAAATTGATTAGCCAGGTCCAACATATGCCACATTGTAAGTACTTACCACAGGTTCATCAAGAGCCTTAGCCCCGGGAATGGCGTCTAATGAGGGCATGGGTGGATCCTTCTCAACGATCTGGAATTTCCTCCTGTTCGACACCCGGGGATTCTCATTTTGAATACCATTTGGAGACTCAAGCGGTACACCTTGGAGCCATGTCTTGCAATACGAGAAGTTGTTTGGCACCCAGCTTGCTTCGCTCGAGACAGTTCCAGTTCTCGGGCGTTGTGGTCTCGGGGACCTATCTGAAACAGATCCTGGGTTGAGTTCAGATGCAGGTGATGTGAAAGGAACCGGTGGAGCTTTAGGTCCATCTGATGGTGATGCTATTTCGCCATTCTCGCATTGCCGCATGAAATTTGAATGGGCTTCTTGCACGCTTGTGACATCAGCCAGTCGTGGGTCGACCGGACTTGTCTGCCAAGAACGATAGATAGTATGTGGTGAATTCTGAACCTGTTCCGGTTGTTTTTCATGCTCCTCTGTAGTTTCTTCAAGAACTTTCTTCGTGGACTTCTCCGCTGGTTTCTCTGGAGTCGGCGCTTCCGGCGCTTCCAACTCATAGGGACCATTCTCACCGTCCACGTGCGAAGTTTCCTTGCAGGCGAAATAAGATTCAGGTCCTGTACTGGCAGGCCTCGAATCTGAGATGGGAGGACTTGGTAGCAGTCCAAAAGCAGACATGCTCGTCGATATCAAATTCTGATCAGATCTCCACGTTCTCAATGAATGGCCGTCCGGCAGCCTTGATTGCCGAGCTGTCTTTGGAGCGAATGGAGGCGCACCGTCGCATGATGTTGATACGGGGGAGGATACCGATGCCGGTGATTTGGGTAGCATGAGCTGAAAGGGTTCCTTCATCCTCCGCACTGAGCGAAACGGAGACATCGTGGCTTGTCCGCGATCCATGGAGAATCGTGGCAGTGATGGTGAAACTTCATGTTCTGATCGTGGTATGGCGGGGGCCGGCACAAATGATAAACTCGGAAATTGCCTACTCCTCCTTCGGGGTTGATATGTGGGCGACCATCGGCGTGGCGACGGGATGGGCTCGCCAAGAGCCATAGCATCATGGCTTAATGAAGACGAATAGGAGTCCTGGTTCCTGATGTGAGTTTTGATGGGAGCCGGGAAACATGGATTCGCAGGCATTTTGGCGGCACCGTCCATGGTGGCCATGGCGCGGCCTTGATATGAAGCAGTCCTGATCCCAACTAGATAGAAGGAAAAAGCAAAATGACTGGTCACACAAGAGTTACCTGGATGAGAATGCGATGGGTCGAGTGAGAAATTGAGAGATTACCGGTCAAAACAAAACCGCCCGCCCATGCAGGGGCTCGATATGTCCTTATACAAACCGAGTTGCTAGCCAGGTAGTTCCAGGTGGATAAGGGTCACCAGGGACTACAGTATCCCTTGACAGGAACCACCACCCTGCCGTCAAGAAACCCGGGCATGCTGAAAATGGGCCCCCTTCAGGCTTCCCCTCCGGCACTCAATGAACTCAGCTCACAGCAGGCACGGGCCAGGACAATAATAGTGAGAATGAGCTCGCCCCATCCTTGCATTCCTGTTCAAAGTGAGATCAGAGCAGAGCGACGAGGTTTGATTGGTTCCGGATGCCAGATCTGGGTCCTGCAGGCGTCCGTCAACGTGGATGGACCCTCCCCCGTCGCCAAATCTCGTCATGGACCAGCGGGTGAGTGGAGCTCAGGAATGAGACAATTGGGATGGACAGCAGGGAAAAGGGTTGTCGTGGCGAATCAGACCCTGTGAAAGGGCACCAGGATCGTCAACAGGGTGTATGCGAGCGGGTCATCATTGGATGTTGTGTCTCGCCATCACCCCTGGTGAAGAAGAGAGGGTTCATCCCTTGCATTGTCCGGCTCATGCCTGGATGTGTTCTGAAACTGGAGTATAAAATGCTTCGCCATGGCGTTGGATTCCTGCCCAGCGCCCGTTGCCGTAGTGTGTAGGAGAAAATTTGGAATCAAATCCACGTATAGTAGAGCAGTGTTCTTCCACGAAAGTGACGTGTTCTGGCAGATCCATGATCGGCTGTTTCATATAGTTGCATACTTCCTGTTTTACTCGGCGAATTGTCTAGATAGTGGATCATAGATGATTGACAGGTCCAACTTTTGACCCGCGTAGATTGATAGATCTGAGTTTTTTCAGATTCGGGCACTGTAAGATTAAGGCCACAGGACTGCGATCGTGATAGATCGGGGGGGGAAGTCAGCAGAGTTTCATACTGGTCACATTCAGCCCGTGGAGGATGGCGGGCATTTTGGCATTTGGGCAGTTCCCGGTTGGCGGGAGGTGCAAACACTGCAAACACTACAGCTTATCGCTGTGGGTGGCTTATCGCGACGGAAAAAAAAGTTGACGGCGGCTGGGAAGGCATTCGGAAACTTAGCCCTCCCCATATTTCATGCACGACCCCTCTCAAGGGCCCCAACCCATTCTCCATGCTTTCCGAATCATTCGTTGCGTCGACGCTGCTCTCCGCTAAATCCCCGACCGCCACGCTGAGAGATGTCGGGATTTGCGTGCAGGAATTCCAGCCTTCTCCCCAGCTTCGATCCACTTTCAAGAAGAGCTCAACTAATGCCAATGGCCTGGCCGTGAGCCCTACGCATATCTTCTCCGCACAGGCTGAGAAGGCAGTCGTTCACGTCTATAGTCGGGAGAAGGGAAACCAAGAGGCCCTCGTCCCTTTCCCAGAACGGATCCGCAGCATTGCTGTTGCCGGTGCAAAGTATGGCGATGTGCTGGTTCTTGGCACGGAAGGTGGTCGGTTGATCCTGTGGGAGGTATGAGACTGGTTCTATCTTGTTGGCGGCGTGATCTGTCAAATCAATCGGAGCTGAAACTAACTTGCGAATTTCTAGACCTGTACTGGACGCCAAGTATCCACTACCGCCTCTCATCTTCAGCCCGTCACCTCACTCGTTGTCGACCCCACCTCGAACTTCATCCTGTCCGGCTCGCCTGATGCTGCTGTACATGTCTGGTCCTTGCCCGGAATTCTCTCCTTCTCGAAGCCCGCTTCAAGCCAAACACGCCAGCCCTCCAATGCCCCCATCTGCACCTTTTCCAACCATCGCGCCGCCATTACCGCTCTTGCGATTGGACACAGCAATGGCCGACACAACATTGCGGTCTCGACGGCAAAGGATAATACAGCAATTGCATGGGACTATTATACTGGTCGGGTTCTGCGGACATTCCTCCTCCCATCTTCTGCGACATCCGTGGCGCTAGATCCCGTCGACCGGGCTGGCTACGTTGGATACGAAGACGGAAGCGTGCAGTCAATAGATTTCTACCGTGGCAACACAGCGCAGCATACCATTCACGATGCCTCGCTTCAATCTACACCAGCACAAGTGACCTCAGAAGACCGATGGCTTCCACCTTCGGCCGACTCAGGCTCGACCCGTGCCCTTTCCCTATCTTACGATGGTACCATTCTGCTCTCGGCGCATGAGAGTGGAAAGGTTCTGTCATGGAACATTGCCCGCCGCAAGTTTGCGACAACTGTCGGCGACTACACACATCCCGTTACAAACTTGGTCGCGTTGCCACCAAGCGGCCTTCAGCAGGCTTCGAAGGAGTTGAAGAGAACCGCTCACACCATCGTCAAGCCCCGTCATGATAATGCTTCTTCCGATCCATCGCATGTTCCAGGTGCTGTCCCAGCCGACTACGTTTTCAACACTCACATTCTTGCCCCCTCTCAACCCCGCAACCCCAAATCGACTCTTTTCTCCCAAGCCCTCACACATGCAAGCTTCCCCGACTCAATGATCGACGATGGTCTCGCTGAATTGGCTGCGCTTCGCACCCCGGGCGGACCTGACGTCACTCGTGTTGTGCCCGTGGCATCCACCACTACAAAGTTTACTGAGGACTCATCCTCTCGAGACAACCACGTCACAGAGCTCGAAACAGAAGTGGCCATGCTCAAGAAGAAGGCAGCGGTGAATGATACTGCTCGAAACGCTACTGCGGATGAGGTTGTGCAATTGCGCTCGGACCTGGCGACCCTGCAGGATTACATCAATGAATTGCATGAGAAGCAGGAGGCCGCACAACGTGACAAGGTCGTGCGCCAAGCAAGGAAGGAAGAACGTGAGACCAAGAAGCGGGAAGCGTGGCTCGCTGCTGAGAAAAAAGGGCGCAATGGTGACGCCGCCATGAAAAAGATGGATGTTGATGGTGATAGTCTGACTAGCGATTCGGATGACCTCAGCGATGAATAAGGGGTTCTTCACAAAAGCAATTTCCGGGATATATTGTGTAGAATTTGGGACTGGAGTCTTAAGGTTATACATTTTTATTCATATACTCATGGGAACAGTTTCGCTCCCACCAATACCATGGCTTCTTTACGGAGTGCGCAATAACATTTCATTTAATGATCTGAACTAGCACTCATTCTCTTGTATTACGCCTACTTAGTAAGATAGCTGACTAGCAGCTTTAATGCTTATTGCAATACTTTAAGTTTGAAGTTAATTTAGAATGTGCCGTAATAACCTTGAAAGATCGCATAATGATGAGTTTGCCCATGCTTCGTTCAAAATACCATGCAAAGCCTCCCTCTTAGATCCTTCTTCTGGTAATGATCAAACATCTCATTGATCTCCTCCACACCGTAGGTCTTCTCAATATGTGTTTTGCAACCATGATCGGCATGCAAATTGATCATATCCTGACTCTGCTCAGGTGTACAAATCAACCGACCTTTGACAGTTTGCTCCTTGAAGTTGAGTGCGAACGGATCTACTTCCAAAGACGTCTCCGACGGTAATCCCACATCAACCAAAACCCCACCCTTTCTCAGGAATTGCTGTGAGAACTTAACCAATTCCCGTGCTTCGGCGTTGATGACAACCCGATCAACTCCAGGATTCGTATCGTAGAATGACGATTGAAGCTCCTCCACAACCCGCTTCTGGGCATCTTCAGAATCAATCACAAAAGATTTATCAGGCTTCAGATGCGATGGAACAGACTGAGCGGTTTCGATGCCTTCTTTCCGATTGTCGATAGCGATGACTTTGCAACCCATCGCCTTCGCATACTGCACACCCAAGTGCCCAAGACCACCGATCCCAACCATCGCCAGCCATTGCCCTGGCTTCACCCCCGCCGCGAGAATCGCACCATATGTAGTCGCGCCTGCGCAGAATAGAGGAGCTGCTTCTGGCCACGATATGGATTTGGGGATCTTTGCCACGACACGCGCATCCGCTTTCATATACTGCGCAAAACCACCATTGATGGTAAGGCCCAGCATACCAGTCAGATTTTCGCAGAGTTGTTGCCCTTGATGCTTGCAAGCATTACAAGTACCGCAGAAATTATAGGTATTGATAGATCCCACGCGATCGCCGATGTGGATGTTGTATTTGCCTGCATTTGATCCTTCCTTGACGACTGTTCCGGCTGGTTCGTGCGACCCGATCAAACCAGGCTTCGCTCCGTCCGACTCATAGACGCCTTGCATTACTTGAAGATCGGTGTGGCAGTAGCCAGCGGCGGCGATTTTGACGAGAATATCGTTTGGACCTAGGTCGGTTGGAACATCAACGTCACGGACCTCGTACCCCTTGTTGAAGTCCTTCACAACCGCCGCTCGCATTGATTTGGGAATTTCATTTGTCATGGTTGGATAGAATAAACCGATTGTTCAGGAAAATGAAACGGTTCAATTTGAAAAGTCTGCAGTTTTATTTCTACGCTCTGTTTTTAAACAGGCTGGATGAGAGAATCGGAACGTCATTCTATCAGTTTTCGTAACTTGTTCGAACTCCAAATGATGAAAACGGCTATGAGCAAGAAGTGAACCAGACATAGAGCAAATATAGTGCTACGCATTATCATAGGCATCCCATGGCTCTAAAGCTGGATAGAATCTGATAACGAAACTTGCTCTGGGATGTCTTGGCCAAGGCTTACTCACCTATGACGCAAATATTTGATAATGTACTTCTGTCCTTCCTCAAGCTGAGCTCCGAGTCCTTTGTGAACCTTCACGGAAGCTGGAAAGCCGCTTAGACATAAAGTCACTCAGTTCCGCGTTAATTTGCGTGACTTGTGGCTTGCTGGGTGGCAATTTCAAGGACAAGGGGTCTCCAGAAGTATAGTCCATCTCCGCATTTACCCCACTCGAATTGGCCTCGATCAACCATATTCTGAGTTCCCGGACACATGCTTTGTCTTGAGGTTTTGATTTATCATCCTGCGAGCTCTTTTATTGGTGCCCACTTGGACCTTCAGGGGTCTCGCCAGGATCTTGTATTCGCCGCCATTAATCCTAGACGATCGCCGCCAGATTCCATGATGTCAATTTGCCTCATGTCTTGCCACAATACGTACTATATATCAACATTCAAGATAATTCCTGTTCAAAGAATGCTTCACATGCCGAGCACGGTTACATGAAATTTACGAATCAACGAAGCACGTCGCATTCCACGAGAATCACGCACCTTATTCTGTACTAGTATCAACTTGAACCAGCAACCCATCTATTTTCGCCCACTTAATCCCTTCCCCACAATGTCAGAATTCTACACTAGTTCTTCCTACTATTATAATTCCACCACAAGTAACAGTGGTGACAAGACGACCAGAGGCCACCGATACTCAACATCCTCCCACACCGACCACGACGGCACAACCATCGTCCGGACAGCTCACCAAGACCTCGGCCAACCCGCTGTGATCGAAGAACGACGCTACGATCAAACCGGCCAAGAAGAGCTCGCACTACCAGGCCCTGAAGGGACATCTGCGGGCGGAGTACGACGGATCACAGACCTAGACGAAGAAGACACCGCTAGTTCTGCCGCCATTAACACAGGTAATGCATATGGAGCCACGACGCTCGGCAGATCTGTAGATGACGATGTGGATCGAGGCTCATTTGAAACAAAGGTGTATGATCCCAGCTCTGGAGCGTATGATGAACATTCCGATTTCGATGTTGATGGAGGCTCGCGGCATCATCGGGAGATAAGGGATTCTGGAGGCCGGGTATTCCATCGCGACTTTGATGTTGATAGGTCGGGATTGTCCTCTTTTGCTAAGGAGCGGAATGTTTTTGAGGATCCGCTGTCTGGGACCAGAGTGCAGCGGGAGGAGGATGTTGATGTTTCGGATATCATCTAGTTGTTGCACTGGAAGACCTCGCAGATAAAAATTAAGAAAGAAATGGAGTACGATATCCCAAAAGTGCCCTTTGAACGCAATATATCAAAAGTTGTACCAGAGATGCCTCGAATTGAGGAATAGCTTCATTGACTAAAAGCACAGCCCAAAAAAGAATGGAAATGATTAATACAGACACAGTGTAATAATGCAACCCAAAACGTACACAGTCACCCAAGTAGAGTAAATACGGCCACCGGATTTACTCCTGTTCTACCTTAATACTGGATGATCCTTCGTCAACTCCATAATATACCTTGAAAAGGGCATCTGTTTCATCTTGACTAAACGGGAACGCCATTGCATTATACGCCCGAAAATAGTATATAGCCTTCGCTGTGTCTTGATCGAGTTGTTTTAGCGTAGTGACGCCTTTGTAAAACCGACACATCTAGGGCAATTTAGCTTGGCCAATAACGTTTGACCATAGATACGGTACTCACCTCTCTGACACTTGCATCGTGAAAAAGGGTTGCATCCGGATCTGGTTGGGAAATGAAAACCCTGAGCGTGATTTTGCACGTACGGCCATAGAAGAGCGTGATGAATGTCCTGTCGTCACGGCGTTCCACCCGTTGAGCACGATGAATTATTCGTGTCTCGTCTTTTCCGCGTCTGCAAGCAGCCGGAGGAAGTAAGTATGATCGTCGATGCCTTGTCTTCGTTTGTCTACTCGGTTGAGTGGGAGATCGCAGCGTTGATTGGTGACCCCCCGATATTTGTATTCTGCTGGCTCGCCGTACCGCTTTTTATAAGAGCCATAAATCGATTCAAGTTCGGTGAAAGTCGAATCATAAGCGGCACCAGGGGAATGGGCTGTGGCACTGTTTTGTAAAGATATGAAGCACTCGTGGGTTGGGTATTTGGTATATTTATGAGATGACTCGATGGAGATGGAGATGGAGAGGAAGAGAAGAAGAGAAGAGAGAAGAGAGAAGAGAGAAGAGAGAAGAGAGAAGAGAGAAGAGAGAAGAGAGAAGAGAGAAGAGAGAAGAGAGAAGAGAGAAGAGAGAAGAGAGAAGAGAGAAGAGAGGAGAGAGGAGAAGAGGAAGAAGAGGAAGACGTTGGCTGAGCAGGTGATCACGCCAGCCTTTTCTACTTCCACACACAACAACAACACAACATAACAAATTTGAACTTGAACCAGCTTGCGCTTCTGCACACAATTTCTCAATTGGTATATTTTGTATATTCCCAAGTTTTCAACATAAAATGGCTGACACTAATCTACCGAACAGTGAAGCCGCCATCAACTCGAATGTCCGCACCGTTGATCATCCCACTGGAGTCCTATTCGACGAGTGAGCACCATGCACAACTTGAATCAACACCCCCGGACACATTGGAAAACTTACCTGGCAAAGGAATAGAACAGCATCCGCCACCTCCTCTGGAAGCGCAAACTTGCCAGTGGGGATACTCTTCAAGAATGCCTCCCTCACCGACGTCTCACCCCAAGCCTTCTGTCCCAGCGCCGTCCACGCAACAGTCGGAGAAACGGTATTAGATGTGATCCCCCGACCAGCCCACTCAGATGCCATACTGCGAGTCAGCCCCCCTAGCGCAGCCTTGGAAGCGCAATAAGCACCATGACGGTGCAGAGCCGCATGCGCAGCCTGCGAAGAGATACTCACGATCCTCCCAGGCGGAGGCGGACTAGTCGATGACTCGGCAACCTTCGAAGCAGCGAAATACAATCGAGCAAAGGCCTGCGAGCAGAGCATGGGCCCTAAAACATTGGTCGTGAGATGCTTCATGGTTTCCTCGGGCGGCGTGATCTCCATATCGCTGAGCGATACATATCCAGCCGTATTAATCAAGATACTCGGGAATGCCCGGTCGGCGAGTGACGAGGAAGCTGGGGCGACAATCTGCTTCTCAAGCGATTCGAACGCCGACTGGACAGAGTCCGCGGACGTGATGTCGCACTCATAGGTGCGGATATCGTCGATGTCGGTACCCCCGTACCCAGCCTCGAGCAATTCATCCCGCCGCTTCGCCTCAAAGGGCGCGTAAAGGATCGCGACTCGTGCTCCTTGCTCGCGCAGTTTCTTGCCGATACTCGAGCCCAGTCCGCCTGTCGCGAAATCGAGGTTAACCCCTGCCTCATCATCCCGAATGATCGCGCTGTCTCGGGTGATTTGTGGTCTCCCTACCTGAGACCTCCGGGGAGGATGGCTAATCTGCGAGCGAATGCCATGGTTCTCTGCTAATTTCCGCGAATCACAATGTTCTTCGCCGCGCGATAGTTTAGTTTAGTTACGCTCCGGAGATACGATCGTCTGTGTTGCAATAATATTGAACTTAGCTTGACGTTTGTGTCAGCTTCCCCTCGTCAAAGCGAGGAGTCGACGCTTCGAGTAATGATCGGTGTTCTCCCCGACTTGCTATTCCGGGGGAAATACTATGGGGAACCTGACGTCAAGCGTCCCACAACACATTTAAATTGGTGAACTAGTGCTTACCTGAGTTCACCTACTTCTTATGCCCCACAGGGTCATCTATTCCGTGGAAAACTAGAGCGTAATGGCCATTAGGTATGCATTGCTCTGGAATTTTCACTCTACATTTCTATGTTGTCTTTCAATTTGCCGAGTACAACTGCCAGAACATGCCTCGCCTACTCAAAAGCTCTTGCGGTGCTCCTAATTCAGATACTGTACCGTGCTTCATGACCATGACCAGATCCGAGTCCATCACAGTGTTGATTTGATGGGAAATTGAGATTATAGTCCGCCCTTTTAGCTTCTCACGAAGAAGCTCTGTGGCCAATCTCTCGGTGTGTTCATCAAATCCGGCCGTAGGTTCATCCATGATGATGATCCTACCAGGAAATAGAATAGCACGGGCAATGCATAAAATCTGCTTTTGGCCATTGGATAGTTTAGTTGAATGGATGTTCGCACTCAGGCCACCATTGTCTCGAATTTGATGCCAAAGTCCGACTTCCTTCAAGGCAGATACCATCGCTAAATCATCAATAGTTGATGTAATTCCCAAAGCAAGGTTTTCACGGATCGAACCGGGAATTACTAATGGACTCTGAGAAATTGGGACCAATGCAGAGTAGAGCTTCTCTTTAGGAAGAGTTGAGATGTCGACATTGTCAATGAGGATTTCGCCAGACGTAATCGTCACGAGAGAGAAAAAGCAGGCAAGCAAAGAACTCTTTCCACTGTTCGAGTTAAGTCGTCACTCATTCATAGGGGCTTTGCTGGCCTTACCTTCCGGTTCTCCCACAAATACCTAGTTTCTGGCCGCCCTCTAGGCTAAATGAGACATTCTGCAATACAGGGGTGGAAACATACCCCCTTGGAGCAAATTTAGTCCCTGATTCAATTGACTTGCCTCGAAGGTGATGCTCAAACAAAGACTTACCCATACGATGCAGAAACCCTTCGAAATTCCACTCGACCTTCCCACGGCCAACCCTCTGGACATGCTATCTGGTTCCTAGCCGGTTGTAGTTGCAGGTCTGTCACAAATTGTTTGATTCGCACAATTGCCCCTAGAGAAGTCTCCAACTGTGTCCAGTTCGTTATCAACAAGGTCAATGTTGTGTTGAATGAAAGCAGATTCACAAGAGCAACGCCGAGGGCTCCAGAGCTAGTCTTCTTGCTCACAAAAATAGCCAATGTAACCAGAACGGTCGCAATCCCTGCCATGAGGAGATCCAAAACAACCTGCAGCCACTGCTGAATGGAGTACATGGTGTAAAATGGCTTCTGGGACGTGTCGAGGAGCTCGGCATTTTGATCTGCAAATGATTGCTGCCAATGAAGTGCACGGATAGTTGTAAGACCCTCTGTGGTTTCCAAGAATTGGGCGTAAAGGGGAGCTTTTGCTTCCAGATCAAGGAGTCTGACTTGCCGGGAAGTGCGCAAGTAGAAAGCTTGAATTGTCCATACTGCCACAATGCAGAAGGGGATTACGACAGACATGTAACCTGATCCAGTAGCTATCAGGGCGCCTTGTGCGATGCAAGTTAAAACGTCTGCTCAAGAGTTAACTAGTACTTGTGATTAAACAACTTTGAAGGATCGGAGACCACGAACTCTGGAGACTTATGCCGAATGCAACAGGAAGCTGCATGTCAAGAAGTGACATGTCCTGGCTAAACCTGGAAGCAATCAGCATCTATTGAACACGAAATTTCGTGGTGTCTCACACAGATACCTTACCTATTAATGAGATTACCTGTATCTATCCGAGCTACGCTAGGCCAAGGTGCTCTAGGAAAACTTCAGTAAAAAATTCAGACTTATATCAGGTGGGTCTTGATCTCTCACCTCATGATCGTGTCCAGAAAAATTCTATGTAGTTGGACAGCCGACTTGGGAACAGCCCAGACAAAAAAGAATCTAAGATGCATGAGAAATTTCGACGAACATGTTGAGTGGAGTGCTTCAAACATACCCAATAAAAGCGGCCATCGCAATGATGGCGATAGACGATATCCCGACGTATGAACCGAGATAGATGTAGTTTTTTGGGGGGGGTTGAGCCACACCACCAGCTCAGCATAACCTCTGCAATGATTTAGTATTTGGCAGCTAAATTTTTCAGGATAGGACCAAAGAGATACTCACGCGGAAAGGAAATGCAGAATACGAATAGACATGCGAATACCAGCGTTAACCCAAATACCCACCAGCCAAAAGATCTGATGTAGTAAGCGTAGAGTGAGATGTCCCCACCACCTCGGGGTGTGCTAGGAACTTTCTCTCTTTTAGCGGTCTCTCCGGCTTCTTGCCTCACTTCTTGTACTCCCTCGAGCCTGGAAACACTCTCTTCGCTTTCTTCTTCGATACCGATGTCTTCGGAGCGTATTGAACGAGAAAGGCTCTGCATGTACTCATTCTTATTCACCAGTTCTTCGAAACGCCCTTTAGCTTCCACGCGACCATCTTTTGAAAGTACAACCAAATTGTCCGCTTCTTTCAAATGTTGCACTATTGATATCAAAAAAGCGATCAGCGCCGTAATTGCTCATATGGGCACATTAGACTCACCTGCTGTTGTCACAAGAACGGTAGCCATCCCGATCCTTCTGGCCAGACCGGCGCGACCGAGCACTTGCTGGAAGACCATTCTTGATGTCACTGCATCTAAGGGGCCAAAACAGTCATCTAAAACCAGTAAGGATGGCCTCGCGTAGATTGCTCTGGCTAAAGCCTAAGCTCATATGGGTCAGCAGCTAGAAAAAAAGCTAAAAGAAAATTCATCGGTATATTTACCACTCGCTGTTTCTGTCCTCCACTCAACTGAGCTCCTGAGCTCCCAGCTACTGTGTCAAGTCCGAGAGGAAGTTTTGTGGCTTCAATGTCCAGGTTACAGGCATGCAACACTTCTTCGAGCCATTTTTCGTCTGCGTGTGATTCTCCGATGATGTTCGCTTTCAGTGTCCCATTGAATATCCACGGATTTTGCTTGCAATACGCCATCTTAACCGGACTAACGGACAGATTCCCTTCTCTTAGATGCATTTCGCCGAGCATTGCTTCAAGCAAGGACGACTTTCCAGAGCCAATAGGGCCAGTCACCGCTGTATATGAAGCATGCTGTATCTCTAGTGTTATCCCATGGAGAATCGCTGGGCTGTCCGGGCCCAGGCTGAAGCTGCAGTCAGTCATGCAAACAAGGGGCTGGGACTGAGCCGATACTGAGTTAAGCTTCGTTCCTGAAACGTTCTGAGGTGCTACCCATTCACCCCTTCCTAGGAAATCATTCGCTCGGCTGTCCTTGGAAAGAAATTCTTGGATCCGATCGAAACAGCCTATCGCGGATGTGAACCTCGTCCATGAGACCGATAATAACACCACAGGACTTGTCAGAAGTGAAATTAAAGACAAGGACGTAAACACAACATCAGTGCTGGGTGTCTCTAGCCTAAGATTCAGCTGTGTAGCGGCATACACGGCTATTGTTGCAGCGGGAGCGATAGCAGTCGACAGGGCGCTCAAAACATTGACACCGACAATCATTGATCGATAAGGCTTAGATTGACGTAGTTCCGATTCGCGAAGTCTGTGTATCTTGAGGCCCATGTCGGACTCGGCACCGAACATTTTGATCTGTCTCAGTTCTTTGAGTACCACCGAAGTGAAACTGACTCTCTCCTGAACGGCTTGTACCCATATCTTTTGCCATTGCCGCATTCGAGGCGCGAGATAGGAGGACCCTAGTACGCTCACTTCTTTTGGTCAGTTTTCTATTTTGATGTGTTTTCATCGCCGAATTTCCAAGAACTTACCCAAAGCAACAGCCAAAGCGGCGACTGAGGGGTATCCAACGGATCTACTTAGCAGCACAAGCGCAATCACAATCTCTACCGGTGATGCCCAGAGCTCGTGGAAGTTCAACAGCCCGGTGACAATCCGATCAACATCGGTGCTCATTAAGGTGGTCGAACGTGTCTCTTGACATTGACCTGAAGCTTGGTGAAGGGTCTTCACATATATCTTCGTAACTAACGATCCACGAGTAATAGTGACCATGCGAATAGCTTGACGCTTGAACAAAGCAGTGCTTACCTAGAATGTTCAGCAACCAAAGAATCGATCCAGAAGGGGACATGTGGACCACTTACTGCTATCCCTACGTAAATTAACACGGTCGCACCGATGAAGCCATACTTGACCCCGGAGGGCTCACTGGAGCCGTTGTCGGACACGTAATTGATGAGGTCGTTGATGAGAAAAGGCTGGGCAAACTTGAACCCAGTCAAACAAAGGCGAGGGCCGACTGCCGCTGCAAGCGTCCATCTCAAGTCGTAAATGATATCACGAAAAAGTGCTAGCCGTCGCGTGGGTTTTTCTGGCAGTCATGAGTTAGTCTCCAATTCTATTAACTCAAACCATCCAAGTCACCTTTGTTACCTTTCCATCGCTGGTCGCCGCGGGAAACGAGAGACTTAGTCAAGAGTTTTCCATCCAGGGGATAGAGCTCATCGAGGGATAGCTCGCCTCGGAAGCCACTCATGAACAGCCCGTTGAGCCACCAGTAGGTACTCTGACTGAAGATCCCAGTGAAATTTTCTGGAGAAATGCGGCCGTATTGAGGGCTTAGAGTTCCTCTGCTCTCACTCGTCTCCAACACGAGCAACATGGACCGGACCACGAGAGCCACAGTGACTGTCGCCGCAAGAGAGTAGCTTTTAGGATGGAACAACCACAAAGTCCGCATTTGCACAATTTCAAATATGATGCTCGCCAGAAGATATAGGCAGATCAAACTCGACGGCCTCAGTGAACGTGCATGGTCATAGTGCGAAAGCAGTAACAGCGCGAGAGTGCTAATCATGCCCACTGTAGCAGACGCAAATGAGATCTTTGTTACCCGAAACTGCGGTAAACACCATAAAATTAGGACAACAAATTTCAGCGCCAGCATTAGCGTATAGAACACCTGTATAAAATCCAAAATAACATAAGCTTGCAAGCTTCCTTTGGAGCTCTAGAAAAAGGGAAAATGGAGACCGACCGTCTTGTAAGTGCCAACCGCCCCGCGGCGTATCTCTTTTTGCCCCCCCACGAATAAAGTACCACCGACAAAAGCATAGAATGAGGAATGACAGATCAGGAACTAAAGCAAGGATCCACTGCTCGAAGAGTAGTGTAAAGTCGAAGTCACGACGACAAGGCAACACTCTTGGACCGAAGTGAGTATCAGCAGAAACATCACACTGCATCTTCACTTTCAAGGTTTTCTTGGTGCACGCGAAAAAGATGAGATAGCAGAGATGAAGGAGGGGACTCGAGAAGCGGTACGCAGGTAGAAATCCAGGGAATTCGTGATCGGACCGGAAATTATTCTTTGTCCTCCAGGGTGTGATTGTGGCGCGCTCCGCGTCTGCAAACGCAGCAACCCTGCCTGATTCCAAGGTTAGATTGGCTGTCAGCGTTGGGATAAGCTAGTTGACGCCCGCTGCTTTCAAATACGACGCTGGTCGCGCCTCAATTAATTGACCAACTACTTCACTGCTTTTGTCTCAGTACTGGCTTCTTGATCGCCAGGACAGTAGACGTTGTAACTAGTTGGTGGGTGGCCCAGGTAAGGAACTAGGGTAAGTCTACCCAACTACCGAGGCGCCCCTCATTGAAATGTCCACTAAAGCACCCTCCTGGCATTGAACTAAAACTCAACACTCTATTATGGATCCATATGGATGACAAGCTTTTCTCTCTATGCATATTTAATTGAAATCTGGCCGATCACCCGCAGGCCAAGGCGGCATTGCATGCGGGGCTAGATTAAGCCACGCCGGCGGTAGGCCCGGGGAAATCTACACCGTTTTACCCTTCTACAGGGCACTATCTGGGAAGGTCAAGCCTCCTTTGTACGTACAGCGTGGATATCCATCCACTCAGTCAATTTATCGAATCGGCGACATTTGTGATGCGTCGAGAAATCTGCCTCGGCCCCAAGAGGCTTAGAGTCGTCCAGCCTCACCAGCACAGGTGTCACGTCCCCTGCACACATGAGATGAATTCGTAGTGTCTCAATGCAGTGGTCGACATGTGTTCTTGACATTTCTGGGGATTTCCGAAACCCCTCTGGCGGCACTTCGTAGGAGTCAAGGTACGTGTACTGTCGAATCATGTTCTAACGCGACAAATTCGTTCCTATTAGCCACATACTAGCATATCAAACAAACCATCATGCACATACCAGGCAATGCAGCTGATGAAACACTTCTACATTAGCTTCGGCGCCTCCGCCATATTGCGTGGGTGTCTGCTTCCAATTTGCATCCACCGACCGATTGAGCGAGGATAACTTGTTCAGCGGAACGTTGATATCGTTTTCTAAGTATTGTCAGCAGCTTGTCCAGAGAATGGGGCTAAGTACAATACTTACGTCTCCAAAGACGATCCCATGCGAGTTCTAGCTCTGGAGTTGGTGATCCTCGGTAGATGGACTCCTGATGGAAGTTATTCGCCCAGTCGACCTCGTAATATTCCACTGCCTCTAGCAATGGGGCTAAAAAGTTGCGATTAGCAGATATTAAACGGACCTCGGAATACCTATGCCGAGAACTTGAAACCCACAGTAAGATGATAATTGCGTTGCACATTTCTGGTCACTGGGTGTCCGACTGGTGAGCAATGCAGCAAACAGCAAACATGTCCCTCCAAGTAATGCAATTGAAATTGCCATGAGAACTTGGAGTCCGCAGCATTGTTTACTGGCGACAGATTTTTGTACCCCCATGAGAGGTGAATCCTGTTCAAGTTGCTCGTCATATTTTTCCGGACAGGATTCTTCTTGAGCTTGAGAAACTCTCTTGTAGGTCAATGTGGCGACCATCTCGACTTCGTTTCAAAAAGTAGACAAATTTTGGAGTTATGGCGGGTTAGGTAAAGTTCTGAGAAGAATTCAAATAAGGTCAAAGGAAGGACTGACAGCTTCCAGCGATTCTCATTCACGACCCCTAAGGCCTGAAATATACTAGTATTTAATAAAATATTCCGAGTGGCCTGCCAATATCATTTGACAAGGGTCTCAGGCGTAAGAGTGATCACGGATTTTCATCCAGACATACACTCACAACCGAGGGATCTTGACGAATCTCGTGGCTGGACAAGCCTTCGTTTTTAGCTCCTAGGGGCCATAAATCCATGTTTGTTGACTGATACTCATGCACTGTAACCCTGACCTTCGTACTAATGGTCGTGCCCAAGGAAACATCCCTGTGATAACAATAATATTCCTACAACTGACCACATACTCGGCTTTTAGGTCGCATTATGACGGCAAACGCGGCATTTTTTTTTATGAAAATTGTTAGGATGGCTAGCTACTAACCTGATACTTCTCAGCCGTGAGGAATCATTGGTGAATATCCACTTTTGCCTGGTAATAGGCTTGCAGACTGCTTGAGTAAGCACAATTGCTCCTGGGCATTCAGAGACTCGAGCTCTTCTCTCAAGCTCTATAAAGATGGGCTGTTTTCCTGCTCTTCTATCCCTAAGAACGTTTCCATTTCCATCTCGCTTACAGTTATCCCAAGTTTCACCTGTTCAGTCTAATATTATCGAAATGAGATTCTCATCTGCTTTATTTGTTGCAATTTCTGCCTCTTTGGTGGTTGCGGTTCCTGTTAGCTCGGGGACTGAAGCAGCCGCCGAATGGTTTGACAAGGCCTACTCCGAGAAGCGCTCCCCTGAGAAGGATGCCGCCGCTGAGTGGTTTGACAAGGCCTACGAGTCGAATTAAGTCACAGAGTATGTTTGTTCCTTCACAAAAGCTTTTCACTGGACATTGTCGCTAAATCCAAAAAAAAGAGGGTAGGGCTCGGCTTTTCGGTATTGCGCGATATTGTCGAGTCGTTCAATGTGATGTGATGATCAGTTACGACAACGATCATTTGTGAGAGGTCGATGGCCTGCTATGGATATGGCCTCTCGTCTACATTGCATGTAAAGCCATTCATTTAATTTGATATTTCTTGCTTTACTCTTCAAGTCGCTCATTATATGCCTATTGCTAAACAGCCAAATATAGACAAATCAGTCTGTATACCAAACTACCTAACACTAAGTGAGGTGAAGCCAATAGCCGGGATTTTCATTCTAGCAATCTTCAAATTCATCACCAGTATCTCTGCAGAAAGAGAGCACGGGGTGTACTCTCCCAGCAGTCCGGTGAGAGTCGCAGACTAGTTAAATACTTGCACGACCTACTGGTGCTTCTCGTAAGCTACTAATAGTAAAATGCGAGCAAATTATTTCCGAGGATAGTGAAGTCCATTCGGTGATATGCTATGCTAGTAATAGAGATCGGATCACCAGATCCATTAACGAATGTATGAATATATCGCGAAATCCCGCGCGCCAGTCCCAGGCCCCTGCCTTTGAAACACCAATCGGACTCGACCTGCGAGACGATGAATGATTGAGAAACCCGCCAGTCCGCACCGGAACCGGATGTCGTTTTGCGTATGCAGTACAAAGATACATTATACAGAGAGCAACGATATAAATACAACGGCCCGAGAAACAAAGACTCGAGCAGTGTAATCCACTTCTTACAGAAGCAGACCAAGGCCAGCAACGAAAGCACCGGCGATGGGGCCAGCGCGGAGAGTGGCGGCGGCATTGGGGGTAGAGGAAGGTGTAGAGCTCGGGTTCGCGGCAACGATGCCAGGGGCAGAGGTGACTTTTGCATTTGCGGTGGCAATGGCCGAGGCGCTAGCGCTAGCCTTGGAGACCATAGATGCCGGTGCGGTCAGGATGTTGGTGGGTACGTTGGACTCGTTGATGTTTGTGGGTGCGACAACGATTCCGCCGCCAGCGGTGGAGGGAGAAGAGGTGGTAGAGGTTGCAGCAGCCATGATGATGGTGTCTGTCGAAGCTGAGTTGGATTCCGAGTCCGAGTCCGAGGCCGAGTCCGAGTTGGAGCTGGAGTAATCACCCGTGCTGAGAACGGTGTAGAATCCGTTACCGCCGCCTGAATTTAAGAATATATTAGCTGCTGTTATAGGACATGCCATTGAGGCTCAAGCTGTATTCTCGTAATTGGGGCTTGCTCACAGTTATCCTCAGGCCACCCTTCGCAAGTCACATTGCACTTATCAGCATCCACCTTTGCGGAATCGTCGGGGAGCTCGTTAGAGCAGGCGCACTTCTTGCCGGAGCTCAAGGCGGCAACGCGGTATCCGCCCTCGGAGCATTTATCTGTGCAATAGCCATAGTTCTGGTAGATATACACGGTCTGGCTCGTCAGTGCGGGAACCTTGGAGTAGCAGCCAAGTGTCGAAGTATAGCCCGCAACGACCGGCAAAGCGAGCGCGAGGGCAGAGAGATATTGAGAATGCATATTGAGATATGTGTCACAAGGAAAAAGAAGGGTCCAGGAAAGGACAGGGAAGAGAGTGTGGCTGAAGAGAGAGGGTCGGGTGTTGAGTATGCGGAATGCGCTGATGAAACGAAGGATAGTGTCGCAAACGCAAAACACAAACACAAAGGTAGATAGAAAAAAAAAAACTAAAAGGAGAAGAGCCTCAGAGAACAGCAAACCCTGTCTCACTTATATCCTCTACTCAGTGCCCCGGCGCCCCCAAAAAGCTGTTCGCCCCTCAGGAACACTCGGAGACCCGTAATAATTTTATGGAGCCTTGAAACGGAGATGATGACATCGTGGTGCACTCTGATCAGCTTCTGAAACACTAACCGAGTGTTCTATTGAACTCTCCATTACGCCGTGATTGGCCGAAACCTCGAGATCGTCCCGATCGCCATCCCCAGAGTGGGCGCCTTGCTGGGTATGTATTTTCCTTTTGAGGCGTTGAACTGACAGAGCCGTCCCAAGCCAGTGGTGAATCTGAGGAGCTTCGTTTGCCACTTGGTTCGATTGGGGATAGCTCCATCCGCGCTACATTTTTGCGTTGGGTATCGTAATTCCCCCCCTGTGTGCTCCCTTGGAGATCGACAGATCAGCCTCGGCAGAACCCATTGAAGGAAAGGAGTGGCAGAAAATGCTCGCCAAAGGCTTCTCGGCAGCGAATTGCCGTCGAGAATGAGTTGGTACGGCGTGGAAGGCTCGCGAGGCTGTACTTGTCTGCGAAAAAAAAGGCACCGGCGTGTTCCTGGTCCATCCAGGGTTCCACGTTATTTTCTTAGCTTCTTCCCTGGGTTCCACCCATCCACCACCGGAACCAAGAACGCAATTCTTGGCCGAGTTGACCCTTCTGCCAGACTTGTCAGAACCCTAATCCCCTTGATCATGTATATAGAAAATGTATACATCCATTCGGGAGGCTCTTAGAGCTCCAGTATCGCAGAGTATCTTGCATTGCCGACTCATCGGCAAACGCTAGCCCAAACCTGCCTGAACTGGTTAAAAGCGCGGTAGCGGCCGCCAGCCGAAGGTAACTGAGGGGAAGATAAGATAGCCGTGGGATGTCGGCATTGCGTAGGGTAGGGTTCCATATAAACAACCAAAGTCGGGTTCCTGGGTTGAATCTATCTGAACCTCAAGACCTCTCGTGTATGTAGGAGCACCTGAGTATATCTTAATTGAATCCCTAGATCATGAAAGGCCTCGCTCTCCTCGGATTGGCAGTGCCCTCCGCCATTGCACTAAACATCCCCGCACAACAGATCCTCTTCTCCGATAAAGGCGGATTCCGCAATGAGCTTGTTGAGCCCTCTGGGCGGGAAACCTGCCCACAGGCATCGAAAGTCGCTGCCCCGCACGATGGTCTGCACTCGTCGCTGATATTCTTGGAAGATGAGGCATTCCGTGCTCGCCAGGCGCAGCGTCTCTCGAGGGCGGTGCAGGTGCCCACCACCGTTGGAGACTATGCGACGGACCCGTATGATGAGGCATTTGAGCCAGTTGTGAAGTTCCAGAAGCTGTTGGAGCAAATGTTCCCACTAGTGTAGGCTTCCCCGTACTGGCAGACAAGACCGCAAACCCGAGGGTAATTGCTAATCAACTATGCAGACACAAGCACGCCGAGATCGAGCATATCAACCGACTCGGCCTCGTATTCACTTTCAAGGGCGCCGATACCACTCGCAAGCCTGTTCTCTTCATGGCCCATCAGGATGTGGTGCCAATTGCTGACGCGTCGGACTGGACGTACCCGCCATTTGAGGGTCATTTCGACGGAGAATGGATCTGGGGTCGCGGCTCAAGCGATTGCAAGAACGTATTGATTGGCCTGCTATCGTCAGCGGAAGATCTGCTCTTGCAGAACTGGCAGCCGCAGCGTACTGTAGTGTTTGCCTTTGGTTTTGACGAGGAGTCTCACGGATTCCTGGGTGCTGGCTCGATTGCCCCGGCACTGGAAGAGAAGTATGGCAAGGATAGCTTCGAGTTCGTCCTGGATGAGGGTGGCATGGGATTGCAGAGCCTGGGCGGCGAGTCAGGCTCCAACGACGATATCGTTTATGCTCTGCCCGGAGTTGGGGAGAAGGGCAGTCTTGACCTGATCCTCGACCTGGCTGTTCCTGGCGGCCACAGTTCCGTTCCCCCAGCTCACACTGGTGTTGGTATCATGTCCGAGATAATCTACCAGCTTGAGCGCCAGGAGCTTTTCTCTCCCTGGTTGGAACCCTCCCACCCATCGTACGGCATGCTCGAATGCCAGGCTCGGTACTCCCCTGAACAAGTTGAGTCGTGGTTGGCTGACAAGTTGGTGGAGGGAGACCCGGCGGCGTTGGGAGAAGCCGTGGCTGCCTCTCGCGGTCCCGCAGTTCGCTACACTCTGCAAACCTCGCAGGCAGCAGATCTGTTTAACGGTGGCGTCAAGACGAACGCTCTTCCCGAGAAGATCTCCGCTGTCGTCAACTACCGAGTCGCTCTGCATATGACCCCCGATCAACTACGTGAACGTGCTCTTCGCATCATCGGCCCCATCGCCGAGAGCCACAATGTCACGGTCTATGTCGACTTCCCTGGAGAAGAAACCATTCGCGGCGAGAAGCCAGAAGATCGCACTCTGACTCTATCACCACTCAGTGTGCCTCTCAAGCCGGCCCCGATCTCTCCAACTGATCCCCTCACCTCAAAGGTCTGGGCTCGCTTTGCGGGTGTTGCGCGCAGTGTCTTCGAGTCGCACCCCAACCCTCTCGCTAAGTCGAAGGGAAAGCCCCAATCTTCTCCGACTGTGGTGGTGACTGGTGATATCATGACTGGAAACACCGATACGCGCTTCTACTGGTCTCTCTCGGAGAATATTTATCGCTGGAGTCCGTCGCGCGTGGGTGGCACGTTCAATATTCACACGGTTGATGAGCGCATTCATTTGGACGTTCATCTAGAGGCTATGATGCTGTATTATGGTACGTCGCTATTGAGATGAGTTTTTTAGGATTCACAAGCAGCATTGCTAACATTCTTACAGATCTGATTCGTTCCTTCGATGACTGGGACGAGAGCACCCAGTAGAGTTTGGTCTGATATATGACCGGGGATAGGGACCGATTTGAATCGAATTGATCAGTATTGAGTTTGGTCTATGTACTCTTAACCATTCGCCATAGATTATGATTGCTGCAGCCAGTGCCTATCAGCAGACGTGTCCCATTCTAAACTAACTGCCAATGGTTGTATTCTAGCTTCAATTGATCAGTATTGGAGCTATCCATAGCAGAGTTTGCTGTTGCTCATAAAAGCCTTGCTTGGATAGAAGAGAATTCCATTGTTTGCCTTTCGAATCATCGATTGTAGGGTATGGACTAAGTACACAAGACCTGACCAGCCGCCCAACTTGAACATTCAAACAACCACCACCAACGAGAGTCAACAAGCAACCACCGCAATTTGACAGCTCTATGAAAAACATTCTGGTATCCGAAGAGCATTAGAGACCCTCGAACCAGTTCAAGCGAATGGACGACGCTATACCGCGTCACGAAGAGCCAAATTGAAGTAGCGCTCTAAGGAAAATAATCCTACAGAAGTAGCAATAGTAGGATGCCAAAGGAAGAATAGCATTGAATGAATAAATGACAAGAAGGAGAAGAATTAGAGGAATTAGAAGAAGGGGGTTGACTATCTTCACGAGCTCGTGACCAGGAGCGGTGCAAAGGATCCACCGATGACTGGTCGGGCGACAAAGATAGGCGAGGAGGGGTAACTAGATTATGTTAGCAGTGACCCAGAGAATATTTGTGCTTGTAAAACTCACTTTCCGGTAACCGTCTCGTAGAGGTCAGTCAGGGGGCGGTTGGTGGGTGTCTTGTTGAGCCAGGTAGCCAATTGACCGATGAGCATTGATCTGGTGCTGGCCGAAGCAATGGCCGCAACGAAGCATTCCCAATCACCTGTCTTGAAGTCAGTAATTAATTGAGCTATGCGTGTAATCGCAAGCTTACCTTTGGTCAAAGTGTGACGCGTGTCAAGAGGAACACCATATTCGTTGGCAATGGTTGGGTAAAAGTCACTCTGCATCTGGTAGACGGACTGCGGAACCAGATTGAGACCAAGCTGAGCATCGGCAAAGAGATTGTAAAGAAGACCTGGGACGAATAGTAAGTAAGGGCTGACCGTAGAGGTGAAACTTAGCAAAATCCGGCTTACCGTGGCTGTTTGCATCACCATACGAGAGAGTGGTGTGTGGCGGATTAGCGTCCTTGTTGATACCAAGCTCCTGCCATTGGGTAATGTAACTATGGGCGATTGAGGAATAATTGGCTGCATCAGATGTGTGGCCGGTCTCATTGGCAATCACAGCCATGGCCTGGATTCCGATCATACCCTTCAGGGCCAGGTTGGTTTGGTTTCTAATTGCACTGGTCAGCCCGGTATTCAGGAACGGGGTTAATCTTATACTCACGCCAGAGATCCCGCGAAGTCATCGGTCGAAATTTGGTTTGCCGGGTACAAGGCGTCTTTGACAAGGTAGCTGGTCCACTTCTTGAGAATATCGTAGTGCTTATTCAGATAATCAGTATCCTTGGCCTCCTTGGCGTATGCCAGGGTCATGATGATCATATTTCCACATTCTTCCAGTGGCATAGCCTCATCCCTTCCATCAGGGTGGCCTGTGGCATTGGGGTAGTTGGATCCCATATCGTGCATGGCGTAGGTGTTGGGGTATTTTCCAGCCTCCTGGTTTTCGTACAGCGGCTCGAGTACCATTTTCAAAAGCTCCGGGTTGGAGTAGAGGAAGATAGGGTAGGCAGGGAAGACAACGTCGACCGTGTTCATGTTTCCGTCCGACGAAATCTCCTTCATGAACAGATACATTTTCTCCTCTGTGCCGCACAGTTGGGTTGCACCAAACGCCTGGCGGGCCGAGAGCGAAGTAATCGTGAGATAGTCTTGGCCAGCGACGGCAATCGAATCCCTGGCCACCTGGCTATCAAATGAGCTGGAAAGGTAGTTAGATGCCCTAAAGTCGTGGTGAAAGAAAGACAAAGCCTCCAGCTCTGTATCAAAGTAGCTCTTCCAGAGGGACGGAATAGAACTATACGAGGAGGATCCCTCATATTGAATTGCCTCGTCTTGGGTCAGACCGAGAAAAAAAAGAGTGTCGACAGGTTCCGAGTTAACGTTGCCGAGGTCGAATGAAAAGGCAAAGACAGGCCACTTGTCTGAAATAGCGCGGTACTTGGTGTCCGCGGTGTTGGAAAGAACGCCGTTACTCGCGAACTGTCCGCGAACATCGACATCTGCTCCAGACTGGTGCGTCATGTCGTTATCGACATCAGTCGCCCAGTACCAGTAGCCCCACTCGGCCTGCTCGTTGTTCTGGGAAAATGCCAGCTGGGTCTGACGATAGACTTTATGGTAAGCAACATCTTCAGTGGTTCCATAATCCCATTGGGCAATTGCATTGCGGTCACCAGATACCCACTCTGCGCCAAGTTAATCAAAAAAGCCACGGACATAAAACAAAAGGAAATTGGCGTCGACTCACCGGCTGAGATATCCGCGTAGACCTGCACCTCATGATCATTTCCATCCAAAGAGGCAACCTCAACATTCAAGTAAGAAAAAACAAGGGATTGGCGTCGGAAATCAGTTGGAGTAATAGGCGAAAGGAATGTAATGTTCATCTCCAGCTTGTCCGCAACGTTCATCGTAAAGATGCTCTTTGTCGAGGTGTACTCGAAAGCAGTCTGATTAACAGTTTTCGACCCGGGCAACCCCATCCAGGTGTAGGTATCGCCATCAACTCGAATTAGACCAGCCCAGCCGGTGACTTGGTTCCTATTCGCGACTTCATTAGAAAGACTGAAACAAAGAAAGGGTGAGCCGGAGGAACATACTGCCAAAAGGTAGGCCATTGACCAGCGAGATATCCACCATTTCCGCCGTCACTACCGGCGTTCTGCCAGGTACTCAGATACGGCGACTTGACAGCAAGTGGCACAGATGGGGGTCGAGCAGGGGAAAACGTAGAGACTGCTCCGATAGAGCCAGCAAAAGAGGCAACTAGCAGAACGAGGCGTAACAGCTGCATGATGACGGTAAGTTTAGCGACAAAGGATTGGACGGGATCGAAACGATCAACCAAGGAGCATGTCCTTTATGAGTGTAGAAATAAGTGTCGACGGTGGGTTAAGGAAGGAAAAAGCAACCGCTGGCCCAGAGCTGCAGATGTTCCCGATTATGACAGAGCAGATGCAGGAAGGGATCGACGTTTGTTTACCGGAATGCCAGGGACATTTTTATAGTTGAGGTCCACTCTACCAGACTAGGGGGGCAACGCCAGCCAAACCGACCAAACCGACCAAACCAACTCGGTCCCGCATGCCGGAATGTTCGCTCCACGGTCACGATGGGAAGTGGTTTAGCGCTATGGGGGAGTATGATTCCCAGGTGCAGCAGACGTGCATGTGGTAACAAGTTCGAGCGTGCGAGTCGGCTGATCAGCGTCAGTGCCCAAGTACAGAAACCGATCTCATGCACTCATTTCGGCCATATGGCAAGGGAGGAATAGCGGATGCAGGGGGGTACGAATAGGAGAAGGTGATAGGACCAGGACAGAATCAATTCGTGGTGAATAAGGCTTTACCTGGGAACCTTGGAGAAAGTCCGAAATGTCGGGTCCGAAATCTGAAATCTGAAATCCCAAATTTCGGTCACTACACAACGCTCAGTTGCATGTAAACAAGCAGCGGTCTATGCGGGATCAACGAGGGCGGCGCCGATGAACGGAAGAGGTGGAGGGACTGAGGCTTTGTGAGCGCCCGCAGGTGACTGAGCACACGGGATGGCGTAAATAAAGATGTGGAGAAAACGAGTGTGGCCCAACTGGTATGTTGGATGTTGGTGGAAATTTAGTTGGTGATGCGGAGAGAAGGGGAAGTCATTCATTCCCCAACTTCGAGTAGGAGGCTTCATGCATGGCATCCCCTGGGGAAGGCGCCAGGCGTGATGCCATCATGCGACCTCACACTTCGGCAGTCGGCCAAATCAATAGGGTTTCGTGCAAGCAATTCAGCCTTACGGAGTAATACCCGACAATCTACGGGGCCCCGGAGAAGAAGGGGATGATCATGGCCCAGCACGACTTCATGAGGAACGAGTCGAGTTCAGTCCGAAACTTGAACGAGCAATGAACGCGGGGACCTGCAGAAGTGGATCAAGTCTGGATCTTCATGGCTTCAAAAGTGTTCAAATCACAGTCAGTCCCCTTGCAGACCTGGCAGGGCGCTTCTCTCCTTACGCGTCAGCTTTCGAGATGGCCGGATCGTGGATGTCCCTGTTAAATGTACGGAGTACGGAGTACTCGATGCATCCTCGATACACCGAGATGAACCAGGACACCGCATCTGTAGTGTGACGGGGGTCGCGTGGCCCTCGTTAATCCAGCCGATTCGATTGGACTGCAGCTTGTTCTCGAGATACAAAGTACGTGTGGTTGGACTCTGGGGTGCCGATCCGCTCCTGATTGGTGCCTCCTTGCGGGCCTCGTGAGATGCGGTGAAGAACGCCGTAAAGGAAGCCGCGGGGTCGACGTATCCTCTACAGTCTGCATCTTCTCACTTCTCATCACGGGTCAGAGTCCAGATGGAGTTTGCTCCCCGGGGGCTGAGCAATTTGGTGGAAGAGTAGCGGAGAGAGTAGAAAGAAGCGGGTGTGGCTGAAAGGTGATGTAACATCCACCGTTAAGGCACAGAGTACTAGTATACTAAATACTAGGAGTTAATACTCCTAGCACACTAACTCCCCACGACAATAGATATCACTTTTGATAACAGGGCCACGCATAGCCCACATATCATGACAATATCTCCGTGCAACGTCGACTGTCGCGGTTTATTCCGAACGCCACCATGTGCAAATCGACCTGGTCTGCGCGATGCCCCTCCCCTTTTATACCTATAGATTCTGGAAGATATAATAGAGATGGGGAAGCTGGGAAGTGTACAGGTGAAGCCACAAGAGCAACCGTACTCTGTATCTTGGTGTCTAATTGAGTAGAGCAGTACTTGCACACTTCTGAACAAGGGTAACCAAGCCCGAGTCAATTATGGCACAGACTAACCTAACCCCACGTCAAAGAAACTATCATCCATAGCTATGTCTCAAATATTCAGTGCAGCCCCCTTGCCTAATGCAGCCTACCAAACCCAATACGGCTCGACAGTCTCTAGAGCGAGATTTATTCTAGTGCATAATGCAGAACTTGATCATATCTTGCGTGTATATGTGCAGACGATCAATTAGCACGAGCTGGCCATGAGTTCGGCTCACAACCGATGAGTCATTTAATGTCCGTCGCATTGAGCACAGGGATAATCTCTTTCATAATGCATGAATTCAAAATTCAAGACAGGCGACTAGGGAAGGGGGGGGGGGGGGCTGCCCGTCTGCAAAACTGGTCTTTTCTCTCTCTACATATTCAGTGTCATCCTTGGACATCCTCGGCATCCCTTTCTTCGAAATATCTCGAGGCTGAAAGGATGACCCAGTAAAAGCCGCACAGGCCCCTCCTCTTTGAAGGTAGAATGCACTTCAGCAAACCTCACACTTCCTTTCATTCAATAGAACCATTTCGAAACCCGGTATTCGGTTTCTTTGTAAATACCGAAGATCACCTAAAGCCCCAACGGGCGGTCCTGTTCAAGTTCAAGTTTCTTCTTTGTTCCCTCCCCGATCTGCTGGTCAGTAGATACTATGGCATATAAATACTCTCTTTTGTTCCAGCCAACTCAAAAAATCCTCACCTTTACGAACAATTTCGCTCTCTACATCCGCTATTACTCTTAACCATTCGCCATAGATTATGATGGCTATGTAGATCCCGAGGGATTGGATAACGGTCCCCCCCCCCCTCGTTCGATTGAATCGAGGTGCAGCTCCTATTACAAAGTATGAAGACTGCCCTTCGGACTGGGATCCAGAGGACCATGATGTTGACGAACAGTACGTCCCAATTAACCCATCTCGTCATCATGGAAACATACTAATTTAAATATGTTTCTTCTCTTTAGCGACATTGAAGCCGTTATTCAGAGATGCACTGATCGAATTAACGATGGTATTCTATGGTGGACACAGAAATTGGAATACTACCAGAAGTTGAAGAAAGAAAATGATGCACAAATTGCTTCGGTCGGTCCACCCAGGCAAAGAGCCATATTTAAAGGTTAACTTTTTCATGACTTCTATTCTCAAGCGCCTACTTTCCTTTAGGAACCAGGTCTCGATGTTAATACTGTCATTCGGGTCAAGGAGCTCGAGGGAATAAAGGCTCATCTTGAGAAAGAGGGCAATCCGCACAATGCCCTTGCAATGTAAATTCCCTCCTCGCAGCACACAGAAAGAGGCTCTTGGTCTGGCACACGGATAAGGTTACATATTGGTCGGATGAGAAGCAACTCTGCAAACCGGAAACATTTGATTGGGATAGATTATTGGAATGGGATAACAAAGTAAATGGATATGCGTTCTGGGTTGAGGGGGTGAGTGAATCAGCGAAGGGGGCGGGCAGATTTTCCTTTTCCCCGGCAACATAAAATCAAAATCGCCTTTTAAAAGTTGAAGAGTTGGCAGAATTAAACACAAAAACTATAGATGGGTAATCCAGGACCTAAGAAATCGTACGCGTTCAATATTCCTGCTGTCCATGGCGCAATGCGACGAGCATCAGTTTGGAATCACCATAGGGTATGAAAGCCCGTGTCCTCAATTATTACTACCTTCTACGATATCCATAGGCTAATGGTGTTCCGCTTAGATTCCATTTTATTTTCGAGTCCCTGGGGCAGAGAATCTACCAAACCAGACGGGTCACAACTGGCATCAAATCCAAGTATTAGACGACACCGAATCCGACATGGCCCTAATAAGCGAACAAGATATAATTCGGATCCGAAACCTAGCGAATGATCTACGCGTTCCGTTTATGGGCTACTCATCCTTCCATGCCGTGGACCGGATGTTCGTACTTCCAACCTGCGCACTCCAGGTAAATTTGCAGTTCCGCACCCGCCAGGGTCATGTTCAACTTGTTATTCGCCCTTGGCCGATTATTCAAGTTGCCGTTTTGCCAGGTGACATGCCACCGGGAATTGCTAGGCTTAGTGGACCATGGATGCGTAGTATAATGTACACGGGAAAAGCGCCTGATAATCAGGGATTTCTTTATGTTAGCGAAAACGTTACGAAGCTCAAGGCCCGATTACCTGCGGCTGATAAATCGGAATGCTAACCCTCTTCCTGCTACCGTCGTTGTTCCTGGCGTTGTTCCTCCGGCTTACTTTCATCCAACTTGGCCATGGTTTCCACCTTTTGGACCTGCTGGTGGATGCCTTGACCCCCTGATGGTGATGGTGGACCTAAAGCCGTAGTAGGAAGGGCTGGTGCTTAGATGGAAAGATCAATCACTTTTCTGGATGATTCCAACGTTTCACCAGGGCTGCTTGTGGTTTTGATTTACTGTGTCTAGGTAGGGTTATGGAACATAATTAAATCACATTTTATTCATACATACATACTACTACAACTCATGGATGAGAACGAGCCATAGCTCCTTCTACTAGTAACCTCAAATTGAATAAACCACAAGAGAACCATCACACAGAATTCTGACCCAGACATCGCGCAAAGGGACTCGGAAATATTCATTATGTAGTTCTTCGTGTACTGTACTCCAGGGCTTTATACATTACTGATACCACTTTCCCCTCCAAGTCTCTCTTTCCTCCGCGAACCACTGGCGTCTCTTAGCAAAACAAAACAAGAACAAAACAGCACACTCAAGTAAATACACATCCATCTAGCCAGCCAGACCCACCACTGCCAACCTAAATCAACTAGAACTCCTAGCCAACTCAATACAAAACTCCCCCCCACTCGGCCCCAGTCGTCGAAGACATAACCTCCTCAGCAATAGCCTCCTCAAGACGCTCATTATATCTCCTCCGGTACTCAGCCTTAACCTGCTCAAGGTGTCTAGGCTCCCAATGCAAGCGAACGAGTCGAGAAATGAGCAATTCAGACCGTTCACCCTTCGTCCTGGATTCACGGAGAGCTTGGTGGAGGAGTAGCGCATCACGCATGGGCCGGTTTATCGCGCCGTTTAGAATGTGGGCTAGTGTTTCACCCTGGGATGGTTATTAGTAAGGTCCAGTTTCATCCAATCCAATCCACTTTTTCCAATCAATATCTCCGGAAGGGAGGGGGGGGGAGGGGAGGGGAAGGGTAGCATGAAACTCGATGCAAAACATAGCATAACATAACGTACCACCAGATTCTTCGATTTGGCAATCATAGCCCTAGCAAAATTATGCCCATAAACACTCTCATAAGCACGCAGCACCTCACGCAAGTGCGCATCACTCCGTCTAACAATGATATGAATCATAGCCGTCTCACCCCCATCCCGACTAACCAGCGCACGATGAAGATCCGTCAAATCCTCCCTAACAAGCCTAGAATCAATCGGATCGCGCTCCTCCTGCCTTCTCTCCTCAAGCGCCAGCAAAACCGCAACACGGAACTTATCCGCGCGCAGCTCAGACCGCATGCACCGCTCGAGACTATTATCATAGCGGGTATCGCGGAAGCAGTTTTTGATTTCGCGGATTGCGGAATTCGAGCGTCCGATTAGTGACTCGATGAGTAATTCGCGCCGTGAGGTCCCGGCTTGGTAGTAGCAGTTTGCCCAGTATGCTTCTGATTCCCAGCGACCCAAGGCGGTGGCGTACGCTACTTTTCCGAAGGAGGAGTTGCCTAGCTTTAGGCGGAGGTGTTTGGCGAGATTGATTCCCTTGCCGTGCATTTTTACTTTGTTCTTGTACTCTGCGCGCAGGGTGAGGATTTCATCGGATGTTAGGCGTGGTAGGATGGAGAGGATGGCTTTGTTGTCGATGTTGCGGGTGTGGTTGAGCGCGGATTGCATTGATGAGGCGTCGGATGAGGCGTCGTAGAAGGAGACGCGCTTGCGGCCGGTTGTTGGTGAGATTAGGACTAGGCTGTCGCTGTCTCCGCCACGGAAGGAGGAGGTTGAGTCGTGCCGGTCGTGAGCGGATGGTCTTGTCGTGCGTCGCTTGTCGTCTTTGCGGTCGTCGCGGTCATAGTCACGGTCATAGTCACGGTCACGCTCTTTCTCTCGCATCTTTTCCTTGCTGCTGCGGTGTCGGCTGTCCTTCTCTCTTTCCTTCTCCTTCTCGCGGGAAGATGAGGCTTTCTTCTTGCGCTTTCCGGATTCGGAAAGCGAGCTGCCGCCATCTAGAGGCTCCAGGTCTGAGATCTCATCGTCCCGGGTTGGCATCATGATGGGCGATGGCATGGGGGACATCGATTGATAGGTGCCATGATACGGTTCCAGCAATGGACTCGCAGGTGGGTGGCCGATATGGCCTCCAGGTGCGGCAACGGCCAGATTGTTCGCTGACGACACAGACAGACTGTGGGGACGGCCGCGTCCGCCACCGGGGGTGATCTCCACAATCTGCTGCTGATGCTGAAGCGGAGCCGGCAACTGTGATTGCGAGCGAGAGTGCGAATGCGAATGCGGAGGCGCGTGGGCCTGCGGTTTATCGCCAAACTGGGGATCATGGCTATACCGCCAGGCAGGCTGTTCTGGTGCCTTGCTGCTATATTGATCCGGCAGTCTACGATGCTGGTCCGGCAATCTATTATACTGCTCAGGCTGTCTGCCAAACTGTTCCTTCGCCGAGGCAGTATAAGGCATCGTCGGCGTAGTCTTGGAAGTATAGCGTACGTTGGGGTCAACCTGCGCATACTGGAATTGACCTGGCTGAGCATACCCCGCCTGCGATACCGAGACGTCACTCGCCGAGGCAGTACGATAGTGCGACTGTGAGTGGCCTCCGCCGGAGACATACGGGAGCGGCTGCGTCGCCGGAATGCCCGCATATTGCGGCATAGGGAAAGACGGTGCGCTCGTCGCGGGACTCTCAACATAACTCGACGCAGGCGGGAAGGCGCCTGGCATTTCGGACGAGATAGGAGGCTGGGAGGTTGGCGGGACGAAGCCCGGACGCTCACACTCCGGAACAGGAGCCCAGTCGGAGGGTTGGGGCTTCTGCTGAGGCTGAGAAGGCGGGTAGTTTGCTGTTGGCTGCGCGTATTGGTACCGACTGGGACGGGCATAGCTTGGGTGCGAGCCAGGATTGTTGCCATAGGCGAGTCCATCATCCGAGTCCGAGTCATCATGTCGACTACGCGGCGGCGAGGAACGACGTTGCGAGCGAGAGTCGTGCTCGCGCGGCTGGATCAGCTTCAGATCATCTTCCTTGTCCGAATGCTCGTAACGATCTGGGTAGGGGTCGTGACGACGACGCGACGAGGTGCCCTCGCGGCGTCTGCGGTCACTGTCATCATCTTCTGAACGACGCACGTCGTAGGGAGCAGGGCTACGAGGAGCACGCGAGACGACATCCCGCGAGTCATCATTGCGGAGACGGCCCTCCTTGAGCAATTTGTATTGACGCTCGATCTCGGCGTCGTCTTCTGAAGCGTAATTGGTGGTAGACTTGGGTCCGCGAACCTCGATGGCAGGCGAGCGGTCACGATCGCGATCGCGCTCGCGCTCGCGTGGACGGTCTGAGGGCGAGGGTGAGACAGCAGGGACTCGACTGTCGCGCGACCGTGATCGTGAGCGCTCTCGCCCAGGAGACTTGGATCGGGTGCGCGACCGTGGGTCGTTGACCTGGAGGGACATTGTGATCCAGGGTCCAGATGGTGGGGTTCGGCCGGATCAGGAGATTTGTTGATTCGAAGTATATAGAAGTCAAATCGCAGCCAATTCACCTTTCGCGCGAGCGAGAGAAAGGGGAATCGGGTCGGGAGTTCAGGATTGAGCTCGGCTGTCAGCGCGCGACCAGGCTAGAACCGTCGTGGGACTGCGGGGGAGAGAAAGTTTGTGTGCCGATGCTATCGAGACATGTGCCGCGGTGGGGGGAAGAGAGGGCAGTGGTAGAGGCAGAGTGAGAATCAGCTGGAACAAAGGGGGAAATAGAGGTGTGAGAAGAAAGAACAAGAACAAGTTGGACACAGAAGCCGATCGAGGCTCTTTCTCCTCTTTCCTCTCTTCCCTCTCTCGTATTCCCCCCGGGCTGAAGCAGTCGATGCGCCGGCCCCCAAAAAGTTGAGCTGAAGGAAAGTTTGATTGGCCACGGCGGGTCCAACTTTCTGCAGGCGCTCGTAGGGCGACACGCCAAGTATTACAGGGCTTTTACAGAGTACATTTACATTTACATTATGGTATAGGATGCGATGGGCTCCAAACAATGATCCTTGAACTCGAGTAAAATACAGGACATGCCCTTTTGAAGGAGAATACAGTAGGAGATGAAGGAGAAGGAGAAGGAGAAGAAGAAGAAGAAGAAGAAGAAGAAGAAGAAGAAGAAGAAGTAGTAGTAGTATCAGTAAGAGTAGTAAAGGAGAAAACAAACACAAAAAGGAGTCCTCGTCGAGGCAAGAAGCTGGTGAAAGGGGGTATGTGCGAAAGAGCAAGCTATGCGAACAGAAGCGAAGCGAATCGAGTCGAGGCAAGTCAAGTCAAGTCAAGCCGAATCAATACACGCCAGATAAATCAGCGAAGCATGGAACTATCGGGTACGGCGACCATCATAAGGGTTCATTGGACCCGTGCGACCTCCATACAACTTGGATGACCGCGGTGCAGGCAGGCCATTACGGTTGAGTCGGTTGGTTCTCCAGCGCTCATACCACACCACGCGGCTAGCCTCACGCAGCTCAGATCGCCACTCACTGAAGACGGAGTCCTTCAGACGAACAAAGTCGCAGTGCTCCGCGTCGTAAGGATCCGCAAAACCCCAGGGGAAACGCCGACCGAGCGGCAGTTCGCCAGAGGCTAGCGAATGTGGGTCCGGCGACAGGATCGAGAAGGGGACGTGGGGATTGATGATCTGTTGGGAAGCACGCGTGCTCACACTGCGCACGGAGGGCGACTTGGGTACAGGCACGGCGGCCGCCTGTTCCTGGGTCTCGGCGTCGATGGCGGGATCGGTTTCGGTTTCGATTTCGGTCGGCTCTCCCTCGCCTTCGGGCTTCTTCTCTTGCTCCTCGGCAATGGAGTCCTCGTCCGCACTCTCCGACGAGGTATAATCCTCTTCCTCCTGGTCTTCCAACGTGAGAATGTCCAGCGGGTCAATGTTAGCCTTCTTCAGGCTGTTCCAGACCGCCTTGCGAAGGTATTCCATGTGGACGGAGGTGATGGTATCCGCCTTACTGATGACCGGAACGACGGTGGTCTTGCCAAGGATGGTGCGCAGGACCTGCAAGTCGAGGTTCTGGTCCAGGATGCCCAGGACGGGGCTATCAGTGGCCTTGGCGGTGCCATTGGCCGCGCGCTCAGCAGCGGCGATGTTTTCATCCAGGCGAACGGGGTCCAGCAGCAAAAAGGTGCAGTGGATATGGGTGTCGCGCGCACCGGGAGAACGCACGACCTTCATCTCCTCGGCGAGGGTCTCCTCGAACTTGCTCTCCAGGAATCCGGTGACAGCGCGGAGTTGCAGATCGGCAATGTTGCGCTCAATTCCGTTGGAATCCCACAGGGTCAGCCCAACCCGTTCTCCGTCAATCTCGGTCTCCAGGTACTGGGAGGTGAATCCCTCGTAGGCGGAGGTCTGGCTCTCCAGCTCCTCGAGCTCCTCAGGGCTGCGGGACGGATGCTTGTGTGGGGGCATGGTCAATGCCTTGCGGAGAAAGTTGAGGAAAGAGGTCTTTCCGGAGTTGCGAGCACCAATGACCAGAACGCTGTACTGATGTTAGTCCTATGGTCTATTATAGCTCACATCTCGCTTCTATTCGTCCGAATTGACTCACTTGTAGGAAGTTGGATCCTTGCGGCGACGGACACGGCGGGGGTTGTTTGTGGCGCTGACGGCACTGCTGGCATAGCTATAGCGTCCACGGTGGGTCATGCTCTCGGAGCGCGCATACGGATCGACGGGCTCAGTGGGCGAAGAGACCGGAGGGGCAGCAGGAGCAGCGAATCCAGACTGCGGACGAGGCACGGGGGGAGGCGCACCAAGAGTGTCGCGCTCCTCGCCTCCAAAGGTTTCGAGTTGAGGTGGAGGGGGAAGATCAGGCAGCCGTGGGGCACTCTTGGGGGCGTAAGAATCACGCTGGCGGCGCATCTCTTCCTCCATAGCTTGAGACTTCTTTTTGCGACTGCCGGATGCTTTGCGTTCGCTGAGGGGTTCGGTGGATTTGGAACGACGAAGGAAGCCGAGTGAAGTTCGGCGGGCATTGAGGGATTGGCCGTTTTCCGACGGCACCGCATCGGAAGGCGCGCGCGAGGAAGTGGGAGTCGACATAGTAAGGTAAGTTTGTTTTTAATGCTGGATTGATACGAGCTATACAAAACGGGTGCTTTTCCTGTTGGTTTGATCCTGGTCAGTGGGTAATTCTAACATCGCCTAAATAGTTCCTCTCTCATGCAGGAATCATGCATGGAGGGGGGGGGGGGAGAGGTGAGGGGGGGGGGGATAGTATTATCACCACTTACACAATTACTCTTGCTATCGAGAAGAAATTCGATACCAAATGAAAAAGTAATGACTAGGTCAAGGGTTCAAGAATGCAATTTGCAATTCTTGGGATAATCCGGGTCTGAGAGTATACCGCACGAGATTCAATCCGTCGGTATCGGCCTCGCAGTTGGATGTGGATATAGTCGGGGGGAGTTGATCAGATCAGACCAAATCAGGTTGTTTTGAATCGGATCGAATCAAAAGAAACGAGTGGAAAAAGTGAAAGTGAGGGATAGATGGCGACACAAAGCTCCCAGCCAGTGTGAGGTTGTCGCAGGGCGTCGCTACTGGAGGACGGGGGGGGGGGGATAGGGGAAGGGCAGAATTGAAATCCGGGCAGCCGGGTTGGGGTCTTCTGGATGGTGGGTATTTGGCTTTTGTTCTTTTTTTTTCAGAAGATTGAGAAAGGGCCTGCTCACAGCGTCCGACTCTAGCGGCGCATGGAGATAAAAGAGGGAAAAGAGAGAAGGGAAAGGAGTGGCGTGGAGAAGAGGAGGAGGAGAGAGAGGAGAGGTACGGAGTACAAAGACGATCCCAGTCGATGCGGAGGCGGTCATGGTCCATGGTCATGGTCATGGTTATGGTCATGACATGAATCTACGAGTAATAAGTACATAAGTACAATGCTTGCTAGGTTGCTATTACTACTCTGTATTGCCATTGCCATTGCCATTGCTATCTCTATTGGAGCACTGTTTGCCTTATACTTTCCCTCCTGCATTACTCTGTAAAAAGGATTGGCCCACGTTGAGGGGAAACATGATCTATCTCATCCATTGAGCACGAGATGACAGGTCTCTGGTTCGAGCTGAGAAATTCAGGGGTAAAACCCGTAAAGCGTAAAACGGAGAGCGCGTCGAGGCCCAAGAAAGGCCCCACTTGGCGTGGAGGAGAGTGCCGGTTCGTTCCACACGGGACTCTTGACTCCAGGAGCATCTCAGGTACGGAGTACTGTACGGAGTATACTCCCGACTCTATACTATTCTCATGATCTACGACCACTGGATTCTTCATGGTTTGCCACCACTTCCACTCTGCAGGTTCCAGAACCACCGGGTACTCCGTACTTGCACGAGTCTATAAGTACAGTACTCGTACCCTGCCCTCTCCCAACCTGGCTCGTGCGTGACGGACACCAGGGGCCGTTGACTCCACTGCGATCGGCACTCTTCTTTTCCTTCTGGCTCTTTTTCCCTTTTTTTCTTAACTCCGGGAAGTTTCCCTTCGGGGCCATGTGGCAGGGTCTGCATGGAAGTATTTGCGACAGGGGAAAGCGGATCAGATATCAACTTGAGCTCTCCCCTCCCGTCAGGTACCGTCTCCTCATTGAGTATAGATGGTTCCTGACTGAACCACGGCTGAGTCGGAGCAGATCCGATGGGGCTAATAATTTCTTACCTACGAGTTTGGTCAGGCTCACCGAGCTTGCCAGGCCTGAAATTGGGGGCGGGGCCAATCTGGTGGAAAGCTGAGGTTGACAACATCTGAAACAGCAATTTGTGCGATGGAGAAGAGTCCATCCTCGATTTAACAGCTTGCCAATTGCGTCGACCACTGGCACAAGCTGTGGAATATACTCGTAGTACATAAAGCAGATGGAATCAGAAGACCATCGGAAGAAACACAGGCCCAATTGCTGGCTTGCATTATTCAAGGACTCAGGGGCAGACCAATCACTGCCCAACTTTAGGACACAAATTCTCCAACGTCTAACTAACAGCTCCTAGCTAACCCAAAAACCATCTAGCATCCCATAACTGGAGTACGGAGTATATACCCGATAACCTCGCATAGATCTTCCACGCGATGCGATCCCTCGCATATTGCAGCCCAGCCAACGTGGGGCGCCGCGCCCGCGGAACCATTCAGTCTGGGACGCGACTCACCAATTACATTGGGTGAACCAGTAGGAGTAACTATGTATGGACTAATGTATGTACAGACTCCCTATTCCCTCCGTCTCCCATGAACACAACTGCCGAGTATCGTACACAGACAAAATGCGACAGCGCGACATCTTTTCTTCGGCGCAAACGCCTTCTCGCGTGGAAACGCACGTTCCAACTGTGGAGCCGGTGGGGCAGGGAACGAGGACAGGAATTGGGATAGCTCGTGGTTAGCGAGAGCTAGTTTGGAGAATTTTGCAGAGCTTGCAAGTAGTGTTCACTGTTTTTACCTTGGGTTGGAGCTGGGCGCTTTTTTTTTTTTTTTTCTCGGGCTCGGGCTAAATGTGGGGGGTTCGCCTATCCAGTTCAAGCTCCCAAGGGTTCGTTCCATTGGAACCGATAAATTGGACCTCGGGACATCTTAGATGCTTGGGAGTTTCCACAATAAATGCGGCGATATCCAGCTTGAATTATCTTATCGATACGGAGACAAGATGAGTCCACAGTGTACGAGTATTCTAAACTCTTGAAGCGTAAGGTCTCCACTATAATGATAAAAGCCATCAAGCATAAGGTAGGATCATCTGCACTCTGGATTCCCCTGCATACCCCTCACTCCTTCCCCACCCAGATTTTAAACGGAAGAACAATACAAGGAGTCGACGGACACACATGCTTCCGATCCAACGTCTTAAACTTTGGCCCATTCGGCCCAGCGACATACTTCGCCTCGCCAAAGATCGACGGCTCCCCCGGCGGCTGGTCGTCTCCCCATTTCCCATTGAAGTTCACCAATCCCAACGGGGCCCCAGGGCTAGCTGCTTCAAAGCTGAGGGTCGTCGTGTTATAAGTGTACGAGTATGCATTGAAAACAGGGTCCCACTCAAGACCACGGTCTGCGTAGTCCACGAGGAAACCATTAGGGAGGTTGACGCCGGGAATTGTGTGGTCGTGTTTTCTAAAACGGTTAGTATGTATGCTTCAGGATGGGTCTGCAGAAAGGAAGCAGTAGTTATTACCCGGCAATAACATAGTTAGCGTGTGTGCCATTTCCAGAGTATGCGTATGGCCGGATTCCCTTTTTCTCCACTGCACTGTAGGTGAACGCCTGGCCACTGGCGTGTTGGCTGTACCATATAGCCTGTGGGGCGCCGTTGGAGAAGCGGATCATATTGTGTTCCCTGTTCCGGTTTGGCATCAGATAATGCTTGTTTTACTCTAATCTTTGTGGTGGCTGAGCCAACTTACCAATCACCCATATGATCACCAAATTCCAAGCCAAGTACCTTATCGCCCTTGTTATATCTAAACTCACAGTCAGTAGGGGTTTCTCTTTCCCGTTTATCATTTCATTGTCACTTCGCATCAATGACGTACGCGTAGAAGTAAAAGTAGAACGCATCGACGTTTCCACTGCCATGATCTACCAAGACAATAACACTCCCAGATCCATTCGTCAAACGTCCCTGCTTATCCGGAGTGATACCTCTAAACCAAGCCGGTTCCGGACTCGCATCGATACCTTCGTGCGAGGTAAGATAAACACTCGTGTTTCCCAGGTCATTAAGTTGGTCGAGATTATCCAGCGTCAGAGGCAACGGCGCGCTCGCGATAGTCGTCCAGTTCACCTGCGGGGTGGTATGGTCTACTTGTTGTTGTAGATCGCTAGGCCGATATGGATCCTGGCTATGTAACCAGATAAGAGGTGCTGCAAAAAATCAGTATTAATGGTACAAGTCCAAGTTGTGCTGCTGAACCCAAGCACTTACCGTAGTCGTATACATACTGCGGGATGGTTGCGGCACCAACGGACGGAATGAAAGGCAGTGCTGCCAGCGGCGCCACAAGCGCCAACCGCGAAATCAGATGCATTGTGTAAATCAGGAGATCTGATCGTAGCATCGATTCCAAGTCAAGGGCTGGTTTTCAACTGAGCTCTGGACTCTTTATCTAGGAACGTCAGTATTAGTATTGGAATCACCAGTGACTGCTGTCACGCCCAGGCGGCACGCGCCTCTCCACCCACCAGTAGCCACCAAATAGCGAGTGCGAATGCGACCATGTGAAGATATCAGGTACTGTCACAGCTTCGAAGAGACTAAAAAAAGTCACAGAGGGGATAGAAAATCAAAGAAGGGAAAAGGCGCGGCAGGGGCGATTCTCGGTAGCGTCACGTCTCTCCCTCCAGTTTTGCTATATTCATTTAACACCATGGATCCGATCAGGGTCATCCCTTTAGGCTCATCTAAAGCAAAATAATCGTGATCCTAGAGTTTGAGAGTGTGCAGAGGAAAATATCCAAGCCTTCGCGCGTGGCAGTCTGTAGGAAGGGATACCCTGGAATGCCACTGCCATCTCACACGAATTTTCCATGCGGGCGACAGAACCAACCAGGAACATATGCCCATCTCGGAAATAGCGAGTGAGTGATATCCAATAGACATTGCACGGGTGAGCTGCATTAGTTCGAGGCTGCACCTGATCGGATGATAGGGCTGAGGGGATACTGGTACATCATAGATGGCTCTAGCGGGGGTCATCTGCCATGATCATCATCACAGCAAGAGCTGGAAGTAACCCTAGACTATGTATTAATTTTGAGTAATATTGACAAGCTTATACGCAATAATTACTAGTATTATGTGGTACTCAGCTCCAAGGTTAAAGAAAGAAAGACCAATCATGCTCCACTTACAAGTCAGCCATCGCAATCAACAACAGCTACAGGCTAAACCATACATAGCGCCAAACCGAGCACCTCGGCCCTTCAAGTCCCACTTCAAGAATATGCAAACTTAGATAAACGAAACAAGCTGGATGAGATCTAACAATGCATACTACATCAATCAAGTCCCATCAGAGCTCAGACTCACAATCTGCCCTGCTTCTCCTCTTCCTCCTTCTCCTTCGCCCTCCAAAGCTTGAAAAGCCTTAAATCCAACGGAATCTTATCCCCCAACCAAGTCGCCCGCTGTGTATGATTCCTCTCCTCCTCCAACGCCCCCTCACCCAGCGTATTGGGATGCAAAAGCGCACTCAGCGGGCCTCGATTAATCACCAACCAAGGAACGAAAGCGCCGAACTGCGCGGGCGAGAAAATGTTTACTTCGAACATGGCGACTGGGTGTGGTCCGATGGGTTTGTCCCAGAAGGTGTAGATTCGGAGCTCGGGGACTAGCTTTTGTCAGCACTGTGCTTCTCTAAACCAATTTGTTATGACAAATGGAATGCGTCAATCTGGTGGGGGTTACTGACATTCACGACGAATTCGTTCGTGGAGAGCTTTTGCGTAGGCTGCTTGGTCGGGGTTACTCTGATGCAGTCTTCGTGTCAGTACTGCAGGTGGTATTCCAAGATTTATAGCTTCCCTGTGCCCCGCAATACGGCGCAGTCGAGTGCCCCATACTCACCTGGAAATAATAGATGTGGATGTCGAAGCCACCACGAAGATCCTTGCTGAGAGGGTCGGGGAATTCCTCATAGGCTTTGCTCAGCTTGCCATGTTGGGGGTTCTTTAGGGATTTTCCATCCTCGTTGCGCTCGCTGTCAGATGCCCGGGCGGTTAGTCTTGGTTTGTGGGATCATTATGTACCCGGCCTACTACTAGTACTAGTGTAGACTCACTCGGATAGCGGCTCTAGGTTTTCGTAGCCTTCAAGTGGGGACGGATATGAGTAGGCGAATGGATCCGACATTTTCGAAGGGATTCACAGTCCACTTGGTTTCAAACTTGAACTTGATGTGATATGAGTGAGTTGACGGTTCCAAGCGGCAGACCTTTTGGATAACAGCGGCGGACCCGGAGGTATATATGTCTCTGCGTTGTAGGTTGGACGGGGTAAATTTGGGGTTGCAAATAGCCAAAGACAAGAAGAATCTAATCAATCGTTAGAAATGCAATGAGCTGCTGCCTAAGCATTAGAAACCCAACAGTGTCTGCGATGTCGTCAGTAAAGAGGGAGCTCCCACCATACCTGCCATTGGGCGCAAGTGAGGGGCCAATTCCGCACTTTCTGACAAAGCCGCGGAACTGATACACCCCACGTGATTATGTGATAGTCTTACTACGACAATTAAGTAGCTGCATTGAAGTCAAGAAAATAGATGTAGTAATAAACATGGGATGGTTATTAGTAAATGTGCTATAAATTAGAATGCATGTATGTTTGTCACAGAGGTAGCAAATGTCCTGGTATCTAAACCCCTAACGCCGTTAAAATATCCTCACAATAATGATAACAATAACAGCTTTGTTGCTACGAGTCGCAGGGCGTCTGCCCAAACTTGGCAAGATTTGTTAATCAACACCTCCTTCACATCAACCGGAAGAATCTACCACGAGGCGTGGACATCCGTATGTCCTTGATCGTCCACGACCTTGCCTCGATCCCATTCACGGCCTTCTCCTTTCTTCGACCACCGTACATCTTCTGGTCTCTTCTCCCCGCTCGCTCCAGCGGAGGTTGTATTGTCCTTCCACCGCTCAATGATTGTTTCATTCAGGCCTGCCTCCCGTAGTCTCTCCTCTCCTTTTTGTTTCCACCGGGCACGGTCGCGCAAGGCCTCAAGTGCCATGTCCCAGTCATCCTCCCCTGTTTCGAGGCCCGCGACGGGGCGTCTAGTTGGCCGATTTGACAGTGACTGATCGTCATCGGGCTGGATATCAGCCATAGGATCGTAGTCCGGTGCGAAATGGGAGTCGATATTGCTCAAGTTAGCTTTGTAGGCGCCCCGGCCACGCGAACGAACCGGTGCAGCGGTCTGAGGCGGAAGAGGACCAACCACATCTTCAAGGGGGTCTGATTCTTCCCTATCATGTCGTTGAATAGAAGGCCCGGATTTGCGATTGATCTTCTCGACTGGATCGGGAGAAGCTGCGCATTTTGACTCGTGTGAAGATCGCGTATCCTTGTCACACCGTGACCGTCGCTCCTCTTTCCTGCTCGATGGGGATGTCCGGGCATTGGAGGGAGATTTATGATGACGTCGGCTGCGGTGAGGTTCAGCACTTCGATCTCGACGTGGGGAGCGACTGCGAGACTCTGAGTATGTTCGCCTTCGGTAAGTCGTTGGCCTGCGACTGTCTCTGTACTCTTTGTCTCGACCTCTCTCCCTTGATCTGTCTCGATCGTCGTCTCTCCGTCGTGTCTTACGCTCTCTGTCTTTATGGGTATCTCGTGATCGACTGCGGTCGTCGTCTCTTCGCCGATGTCTGCGGTCCCGATCCCGGTCTCGGCCTCGGTCCCCGCCCGAGGATGGCGAACGACTGCGATGGCGGTGGCTTTTCCGGTGGGAACGATTCTGGTCACTCCGTTGGTCATCGCGTCGGCTGTTATGTCGACGATCGTCCCGGTGGGATCGGTCCGAGGTTCTAGTGCTAGAGTGACGTTCTCCTTCATGGACTCCAGGAGCTGGTGATAGCCTCTGAGAGCTCTGCTCACGTGAGCTCTGACCTTTCATCTGGCGCATTCGGTCTCGTGCATCTCTCTCTTCTTTCCGCTTCAAAGCTGTGTTATGACTATCCGTCTCTTTGATCAGATGTCGGAGAAACCGAGTGTTGGCTTTCGGCGCATTGACAGATCGTCTGAATGATGTCAATTTTCTTGTAAGGAAATGGGAGCAGGGAGGGAGATGGAGCATACTTCTGCGATTGATAAGCCCCAAGACCTTCCAGCGAGTACTTCTTGGAGTTTTCTGCGGCCTCCTTTGCCATGAGCTGCGCGACATAGTCGTCGTCCATGATTGGGTGCGGGGTTGTGGCAAATCAAACCACCAAAGAGAACGGATGAAAAGTAGACAGCAGAGAGATTCGCCTGAAAACTACCAGCATGCCAACATAATGCGAGATTCCAAAGAAGACAAAAACGCCTGGCCGTGTTGGCGAGGTAGCAGAGGCAGCTTTGTTCTCAGGATGGCGCCTGCCAGAATTCTGCCGTCTTGTTCCAGCCCCGCCGCCTTGTTATCAGTCGTCGCGATAGCCCGCGGGACTGCCCCGACTCTATTGTTGATGCTCTACGCGGTCCTCCCATATGCTACGCAAATATAGCAAACAACAGCCTTACGCCAAGTCTTGCCCACAAATAACCCTGCTCGAAAACGACACCCAAAAATGTCAAATGGCTCGGACACATTTGCAGAGCTACAGCAGCTCGCGCAAGATCAAGGAGATCTGAAGAAGCAACTTGCGATCATTCGCATTAGCGAGCCTATCTCCGATGTTGGCGACTTGATCGCCTCGCCTTCGAAACGAGGCTCCGACGTTTCTTTATCCAACTTCAATGATCCGACACCCGCAGTCCTCGAAGCCGATCTAACACACTACAAGGTACCATCTACTCAAGCTCCTTTCTCTCCAACCGCTCCAGTCACTGACAATTTCTCGATAAACAACAGGAACTCTTCTCCAAACTTCGATTCTCCTACCTTGAGCAGGTTACCAAAGAAAAGTTCCTCCGCGCAATCGTCGGGGACCCGCCCCTCGTCGTCGGACACAATGAGAACGTGGAGATGGAAACGCAATTGGCGGACGTGAAAGCAGAATTGAAGTCCCGAAAAGAAGAAGCACGTCTGATGATCGAAGAGATGGAGAAGATCGGGCGCGACCTAGCCAGCCGTGAGAATATCCCACTATGCCAACCGAAAAAGAATGAAAAATACGCGCATTGCGAACTATTTTTGGCTAACCGTGATGCATGAGCACATACAGGCTACAAGAACGTCGAAGTCCAATTGACGCAGCTTTCGTCTCTTCCCGAGTCCATCGAGAATCTCGAGTCCACAATTGCGGGTCTTAAAGCGAAGCAGGTAGCCGGCATGGACACTTCGGATCCTCGGTCTTCACAAAATCTCCCGCTCCCAGCGACTGTATCACTGTTGGCTGAACGAGAGGCAAAGCTGGCGGCATTGAATCGCCAAATTGCCGCTGTCCAAAGTACGTTGCCACGCAAGACACGAGAAGCGGAAGCTATTGAAAGGGAATGTAGCGTGCTTGAGCGACGGAAAGCAGAAGCCATTGCCCAGGCACAGGAGGCGCAGCGGAAGAAGCAACAGGGTGAGAGTGATGGCCTGGAAGAGATGGGACGGTGGTATAGAGGGGCAGAAGAGACACTTAAGGAGATGGTGGGGGTGTAAGCGTGAGGCTCTGCGCTGACAAGCGAGTTCCTCTGGCTATCAACGACTACATGACGGAGCAACGACGGGAATTGGAGAATGGGGATAAGGCGTTGAGGGTATACTATTTCTACTGTACATAATCAAAGGGCATAACTATTTCGTGGTGCGGGGGCAAAACATATTTTCAAGAAGAATTCGGGTCTCGAATTGAAGCCGTCTGGCTGTTTTTGATTCATTCAATTTGCATAAGCATACATAAGCGGCTATGCGGCAGTCGTCATGAACATTCCAGAGTATCGATCTGCCCAAAGCGAAACCCGACCGTACTCCTGTGTCTTCTTTTTTAGAGAGAAATTTACTCCTCATCCTCCTCCTCGGCCTCACCCTCACCACCGGCAGCGGCGGCGGCCTTCTTGCGGCGAACACGGCCGGGACGGCCGCCACCGAAGGGAGAGGTGAGAGCGAAGTCGATGTGCTTCTGGGAGTCCAGGCGGACCATGAAGGAGGGAACGTTGACGATCTGCTTGCCAACACGGATGTGACGCTGCTTGATCAGGACACGGGCGTGGTGGATGGACTTGGCGAGGCCAAGCTTGTAGACGCAGGTCTGGAGACGGCGCTCAAGGAAATCCTCGGTCTTCAGGGCCAGGACGTAATCGAGCTTCATGCGGGACTCGTCGAGGACACCGATACGCACAAGACGGCGGATCAGGGCGTTACCCTCGAACAGACGCTTGGGGTCCTTCTCATCGAGAGTGAGCAGCTCACTGGACGGAAGAGAGGTTAGTACAATGTTCACTAGACCAAGGGTCTCCGGGTGACCCAATTGCAATCCAAAGATATATTCCACATACCGAGCAGCACGACGAATCTTAGAGAGGGTAAGCTGGACACGCCAGACCTCACGCTTGTTGCGAAGACCGTACTCTCCGACGACCTTCAGTTCAGAGTCACTAGATATGGGATTAGTATTGGAACACACGACATGACCAGAAGCACGCTTCTGATCAGTGGCCGGAGAGTACTAACAGACGGGCCGACTCGAAGGCTGCGATGGAATTAGTCTTGCGGTCTTCAATTTATTTTTTTGCGATTGGGGGAAATTTTGCGCAGAGGTTAACTTACGGCGACGGGGGACCTTGTAGGTCTTGGAGTAGACACGACTATATGAAAAACAACGGTTAGAACGATGCGACCGTACCTAACGACTTCGTCTATACTCACGGGGCCATGGCTGCTGGATGTCTGGGTTGGCGGTGGGATATCGATCAGAGTCAAAGTGGTGAGGGTCGAATTGCTTCATCCACATTGCCTGGAAACCTAAGCGAGGCTAGCCCGCTTTGGGAAGACGCGGGTCACGGGGTTTGCCCTACCCTATGTCATGTGACACACATTCGCCAGCCGGGCGACTGTGTGTCTCCGCCGCCCAAGAACATCTTTTGATGAAGGCTGTCCGTGTCGATTTTCCTCAACAAGCACCAACGACAACACCGCCGTCATGCCTCACTCGTACGGTCTGCGCGCCGGCACTCGGGTACGTTTGCGATCTCTCCCCGTCGAAATTATCGAATTCTCGCTCCCCTCAACACCAACGCCGACCTTGGGGCCCCGATATTGAAGTTGGAATGAATCGCTAACCACCTTCGACGAACAGTATGCCTTCAGCCGTAACTTCAAGGAGCACGGTATGATCCGCATGTCCACCTACCTGAAGACCTTCCGGTATGAGCGTCAAACAAGACTCCCCGATCCGAAACGATTAAAGATGGAACAGACATGCTAACGAATTTTCTTAGTGTTGGTGACATTGTCGACCTCAAGGTTAACGGTGCCGTCCAGAAGGGGTCAGTACCACCGAAATTTCCCCCCATCCATCGCACATCTATCTCTCCTCTCTCCGACGAGGCATATCACACATCAAGCTCGCCAATGCGACATTGAAGATACATGAAAATTGACAAGTTTAATTATAGTATGCCCCACAAGGTCTACCACGGCAAGACCGGTGTCGTCTACAACGTTACCAAGTCCTCCGTCGGTGTCCTCCTGTACAAGCGCGTCGACAACCGCTACCTCGAGAAGCGCATCAACGTCCGCATTGAGCACGTCCAGCACTCCCGCTCCCGTGAGGAGTTCATCAACCGTGTCAAGGAGAACGCCCTCAAGAAGAAGGAGGCCAAGGAGAAGGGTATCCACGTTCACCTGAAGCGTCAGGCCGTCGGTCCCCGTGAGGCTCACACCATCAGCTTCACCGACAACGCTCCCGAGACCGTCGTTCCCATCGCCTACGACACCCACATCTAAGCGACGTTTAGTTTTGGTACTGGGTTCGGTGTGTGCGTGGTTGCTTGGTGTTTTTCCAGTTAAGGGTTTACAGCCGCTTTTTTTAAATCCCCCTTACCCGGGGGTTGGAATGGACTTGGGCTGCATGAGACGACACGTGAAGGGTCTTCTGATGCCCTGGCACATCTCTCGCCTGTGCATAGATTCCCCGAATGAAACAAAAATCAAAAATTTCGAGTTCATTTAATCTTCTTCGTTTCCCTCTCTCTGCGCGTGCGCTTCTGTATGCTTTGGGTATGCTTGGTGTATGCTTTGCCCTGCAGGATTGTTCTAGACCGATGGTAGACGCCCGATCTCAACTGCTCACTTTAGATAGCCATCCGCCGCGATTTCCGCGACCAACAAGCAGTACCTTTCCACCTCAATAGACCGATCTCGACCGCTCTACGAAGTAGTCTGGGGAGCTGTAGCACGCTTAGGCGGACAGAGAGCGCCGCCAGGCGTGCATAATGGTCTCAGACCGAATGATCAACCCCTGTCAACTTCACCTTCATAACTCAAAACTAGAAGTCTAGACTCATCGACGTACAAGCCTGGGCTGGACAGCTCCAACGCACAAGAGGCTTAGATCTAGCTAGCAAACTCCGCGAGTCAGTTACTACAGCGATCACCCTTGGGATGAGATCATACACCCCCCCCAAGTGGAGTAATGATAAGTGTGGCAGGGCAAGAACTAAAGTCACGGTGAAAGGGACCCCTGGCAAACAGATCAGATCTAGATCATTACATTAGAAGTCTAGTTGTGGCCATCAGCCCCATTCCCTCTCCACAAGCTTGACTTAGCTTCGCACTGCCACTAGCACCACCTACCACCTACACCGACCTTCGCGCGGTGTGTCGTCTCAGGGTCTGGCGTGTGATCAAGTACAAATGATCAACCTGATTTGTTTGTAATTACTGGGATAATGAAGCTAGCCAGTATCTAGTAGGAGATTACGTTATGGAAGAGCGGGCAAAGGGTTGGACAGTCGGAAAAATCGGGCTTAACATAATGATTGGAGGCTCGAGCCATCGCTTCCTTAAACTCCGTCTTGTGTTAGCAGAGGAGACGAGATTCTGTTTCGTTCCGTTCCGTCCTGTTATATGTACGGAGTATGTACTCCGTACTACAGTTGTTTTTCAACGTCGGTAATCCAGATTCAATACCACTAAACACACCAGGGAAAACCCCGAAATTTCGACCAAAATATTAGCAATACTCGTACCGAGTTGCGTCGATGCGGCAAGCCGGTCCTCTAGGAAGTTAAATATCTGGGGCACAAACTAATCGGAGATCACCACGATTGCGGTGGAGAAAGTGCAATCTTAGAAAAATGAAATCAAATTAAAGTCCCAAAAATACTACTGCTACGAGTAATAATACTAATAATAATATTATTCTTACTTTAGAGGAGATGACAGTGAAATGAAAGTGGAAGGGTGGGAAAAAGGCAAATTCGCAGAGGAACCTGCACGGGTCGACTATCTGGGAGAAGTGTGTCTGATCAGCAACAGTCGCCAAGCTTGCCGGAGGAAGGGCGGAGAGAAGATTAAGAAAAAAAAAGCCTCAAATGGCACATCCCCCAGAGTCGATCTGGGTTCTCGGCGCGGGGATGGTTTGCCACCACCAGTCCAGTGGCAGGAGAAAAGAGAACACCCCTCCTGCAACCAGCTGTGTGACTTGGTGCCTGCATCCGAGTCCGAGTCGTGCATCGGACCTGAGTTGGGTTATTCGCCCGACTGCAGTCTGCGTGTGTGTAGGTACATGGTACGAAGCACGGAGTATTAACTCGTTGGTTAGTGGTACTCCGTCCTGGTCAACGGCGCCATTTAGAAGGGGCCGCGCGGATGCATCGAATTTCTTTTTCTCCCTCTGTAATGTAAGAAAAGCGGGAGATTTGATTTTAGCTAGTAAGACACACCAGACATCATGGCTGGCTTACGAGATTGGCGTTGCCGATCGTCGAATTGGACTAATATCTCCATGTCTAAGTCTGGTCTGGCTCCGACATGCATATCGGTGGAAGAACATGTTTGCGTTCACCTTCCATTCTATTCCATCTCGCCGAACCGATAGACCAGATGCCATCGGAAGATAGTTCGGTTAGAGGAAGGAGGGAAAACGAGCGGTGGGGGCCTCGGGCTTGGAGCTATTTTTGATTTTTTTGGCCCGATTTTCTCTTCGGTTAGAACTTAGTACTCGTAGTATTATGTACGTCTAAGAATGTATACACGCGCCCTCGAAGGTTAGACCCCCGGGGCCTAGGACCGTCGTGCCAATGAGTTCCGGGGTACTCGGGCTCGATCTCGAATTGGCAGGCACTACCAGCCCTGGATGCGGAGGTACTACTAAGAAAAAGCAATTTGGTATATAAATACTCTCGTATGCGTACATGCAGATGTAGATACCTCCGAGGTTGACTGAAGGGCGACGCGGCGTTGCGGGGTATTTGTTAGTGGCTGCCGAGGGAGTGGTGAGAGACAAAGAATACAGGGAAGGGAAATGAAAGTGGTGCCACCGACATGAAAGAGTGAACTATTGAATGATCTCAGACCCCGCACTCTTGCATGAGCCACATTCAGCCTCCTGTGGCTGATTGTACTGGTGGCTGTGCAGGCGGAGCCCAAGGTTGATTGTCGAGTTTACGATACGCAGTGGAATGGTTTATTAGTATTTGCACTGCCACTAGTATAATCCTAGGATATGGCATATCTAGTTGAGAGTCAGTTCGCATGAACCCTTTGCCTTCTCTTAATCACTCCTACTTTCAACTTTGAACCGTCTCACTTTGACCGTCCCAACTCTCTTATTTTCTTTTTTTCTTTTCCCAGGGACTCGACACAGCTGACAGGATGGGGCACAACGAGGGTCCGGGCGTAAAGTGTGTCGATCTCTCGCGATGGCGTCCTATCGGTCCAGGGTCGATATCGATTTTCTCTCTTTTTCCTTTTCTCCTTTTATTTTCCTTTTCGAAATTTTCTTCCTTTTCTCTTGGCGCCCGTGCTTCTCTTGTTGGTTGGTTTTTTTTTCCTTTTTTTCTTTTCTTTTCGGCTTACTTTCTTGCTATCGTACCCCTCTCCTAGCCAGGTAGGGCACGCGCTGCGGCCAGTCAACTCCCACACTGAGGATCCTGCAGTTTCGCGCAGAAGATGTGGATTCTGGAATGTCCAGCGGCGGGAGAATTGTTCTCGACTGCAGATCCCTGAAAGAAATGTCTGAACCACCGTTCTGCATTCCTAGCACCACGTCGGCACCCACAGTGGTGGGTTATATGACCCTTTCTCCTGGGTCCGCCTTGAGGTGTATGTAGTCTGGTGATGAGACAAGCACTAGGGCTTCGGTCTGCAGCCTTTGGTTTCAGAATTCCGACTCCGTACATTACTACATAGGATTGCGTCGCCACTTTGGCAACGCGAATCTTCTACCATACTAACGCAGGGAACGCCTATTTCGCCTTGGGAGAGGGTTCGTGCGGTTGGGTAACGAAGACCCCTCCACTTTGCCTGACAAAACCGAGAATTCGAGGATTGGAGGAGAGGGTTGAATACCCAGGTTGTGGTGTGGTTCTGATTAATCCTCTGTAGTGATCTGAATGATTCATATCACCCATTTATGATTTCACCGCCACACCCAACGGTCTTCATCAGGACCGGGGCGAGATATCCTAGGCAGCCAGGCTCCCTTCTAACAGTACCAGCAGTCTAGCAGCCACCAACAACTCCTGAATGCAGATATGCCATCTGAGATTCACGCCACCGTCCTCCCCTTCCTGATGCACACCGTAGATTTTACACACCGACTTTCCCTGCTTCGTTCCTGCGGTCACGCATGCGCGGGTCGATCTAACCCCAAGAATTGGGTTCGGGTTGACACCCGGGGTTGTGGCGAGGATAACGGTGATTGGAAGCC